TCGTAATATTGTGCGTTACTGCAAAAGAGGCAAATTATTTACCAGGGCTGCCCTCATGAAGCAAGCGCTATCTACTAAAATATGTCCGGGGGAATTTCTCTTCCGGTTTTTCCGAGAGAAATAATATCTCAGTCAGTAGACAATTATTTATCAGTGAAATAACAAGTTTAAAAAAAGAAATGAAGGGTGACGTCATTTGCTTGTATTGTGAAATGAGATTCATTTATTTTGGTCGTTTGATTCTATCTTTTTTCTTTAGTGAATCATTTTGCTATAAATTTGAAATACTTCAAAAGAATGCTAGGCTGTCAAAAGCTGTTTATGGTATTTTAAAATGTTTTTTTGGTTTTTTTTATTATCAATGTACGATCTTAATTTCCAGATCACAGCAATACAGAGTTAATCAATAACATTTAGAGACCCTTTTTTATTTGCCTGCAGTATTCTAAGGGATAAAAGTTTATTCCTGAGTTATTATTCGTCTCAGAGTTCATTGTTTATCCGTTTGGTGATCCAAATGACTTAGATACCTAGATGAAAACCAAATGCCGTTTCAGGTTGCCAGTGAAAGATCTTATGATAATAACTGGGCACAATTATTTTTCAATTGGGAAAAAAAAGATACTCCATTGTTAAAACTCCTATCAACGTAATCATGTGAAATACAAAAGCATTAGAACCAACACAGCTGAAAAACGGAGACAGATCAGCTGACGCCTAACCAAGCTAAGGTTATGAAAAAAAAACCAAGGAAAGCTCATGTCCTGTCAATCTCTTCATAAAGGTCTTACCACCACACTAGTGTTTGCTGTTTACATATAGAGAAAAATTGTGAAGTGATATATTTTTTTTAAAAGAGGTCTTTGTTCGCGCCTAAACGTATACCTTAGCCATCGTTGATATTTACATCTTTCTTCTTTCTTTTTAATATTTGAAGGCAATAATAGTTAATTATGCATGCTTCTTTCCTTGTTGCATTTCAAACGGTTTTTTTCATACATGGAATTCATCAAGATTTGTCCAAAAGCATCTATGAATTTTTCAGATTATAGAACTCTCACATCTTCGAAATTCTGCAAAGCTCGGGAAACTTTAAAAAGTCTTGCTTTACAAATTGTTTTGAAATCCTCGATTTCGCCTCCACAAAACTCCATCTAGAGCCACCACGAAGACTATGAAATTTTCAGATTATAGAACCCTCACATCTTCGAAATTCTACAAAGCTCGGGAAACTTTGAAAAATCCTGCTTCACAAATTGTTTTGAAATCCTCGATTTCGCCTCCACAAAACTCATTCTAGAACCACAATGAAGACCATGAATTTTTTTCAGATTATAAAGCCCTCACATCTTCGAAATTCTACAAAGCTCGAGAAACTTTAAAAAATATTGTTTCACGAATTGTTTTGAAATCCTCGATTTCGCCTCCACAAAACTCATTCTGGAACCACCACTAAGACTGGATACATCAACAAAAAATATCTTCATCCTAATTAAGAGGTCAAATCGCTTGTATGCTTCGGTCGTTGTTATTGTTTACGGTAATTTAGTGTTAATAGCTAAGTTGAAAACGTAAATTGACCACCGTAAAGAGTTTAAAGGCTGACGTTTCGAGCGTCAGCCCTTCGTCATTCGCTCTGAAGAAGGGCTAACGCTTGAAACGTCAGCCTTTAAACTCTTTACGGTGGTCAATTTACGTTTTCAACTCAATTGTTAACACTTAATTACCTGTTATACTCTCCCACCGACGCAGCAACACAGTTTCTTTAGAAACTTACCCCCTTTATTCATTTGTTATTGTTTACTGCTCCTTCTTCATTATTAATTTTTGAAGGTAATCATAGTTAATTATGCATACTCCTTTCGAATTCGTTGTTGTAAGTTTAAGCGGTTTTTCCATACATTCCTTTTTTTCTAGACGTAAATATTTATCAGATCGAAGCATGTATTACAAATTCAAAAAACAACATAATAATTTTTTCAAGTTGGAGATAAAGGAATTCGAATGGAAATGCCGAGATTCTACGATTTCTTTGTCTTTTTTTTTCTCTCATAATACATCCCCATGTGGCCACAGACAGCTAATTGCTGGTTGTGTCTAGGATTTGAGCGCCCATGCTCCGGGATCATTTTCTTCTGAAAGTCCCGGATATTATACGGGCCTGAAACCATATTTTGAGATCTCTATCTAAGGAACAGTATATCGAACTGTGCCTCAAAATATTTTTTATCAGGCTTTATGTCCTGATATGTACTTTTTGAATACCAAAACGCATGTTGTTTCGATTTTTATTGCAAACAAATCAAACACAAAAAAAAACTTTATGGCACTGGTAAGTTGTGGGACGTTTGATGAATGAGCCCCTAAAGCGTAAGAAGAACTTTGCCGATGACAACATTTTAAAAGAGGCCAATATTATTTATAGGAGAATTTTAATTTGTTTGTCTAGGTTTTAATTCATACCCTCTGATATTTTTAAGTCTGAAGCATCATCCTTTTTTTTTAAGATTTCAGTGCGAAGAGGTCTAACTAACATGATAGGAAAGACATAAGATTTTAAACGCCTCTAGAGTATCAAAGACAGACCGAAGTATTTTCTGTACGTGAGGGTTTACGAAGAATACGATATTTAATTCATGATTACTTTTCTTTCCTTTGATTATTGCATATAAATAATTATAGACGCAAAATTATACGAGTGATCTGTTGTTTTAGGGCCTCGTAAAGAGCTTAAAGTGCATGTTTGGTGTTTCGCGGAATTTTCTGGATACATAAAATGATTTGTTTCATGCATGTAGAGGACTGGTGTAAGCTGCATATTTTGCGGGTGTAAATGACACCATTACCTGTGTTGTTTTCTTTGTACATTGCAAAAAATAAGAATGTTATGAATATGATGAAATATGCATCACGACATCGCCTTCGATTTTTAAAAATAGCCTTAGTCAGTTCATTAGAATAGCCGATTAGGCCTTGAAAAACAGGCATAGAAACTCTTTCATTATTAAAATCTGTATCAAAAGCCTCCTTCTAGAACGTATGAACATCTTAAATAGAGAAAAATAGCAAACGTCTTCAGCTGTTTCCTTCATTATGTCGCCAAAGTAGGCGTTAAAGACTTCTCTTAAGTGCTTGTTAACAAGAGAACGCAATTTAAATTACTCATTAGCAAATGCTTTGCGCTAATATGTCCTCCACCAACCAAAGAATCGTTGAATAATAGACGTTTGTTCATTAATTTTGTATTTGTAGATTATGCACAGGATAACAGTGTGATGAAAAGGCTTAATCGTGTTGATAACAACTAGACGCGTTAGGAGACGAATGATTTCAAGAAATCTGTTTTAATTGAGGTTCTGAAGAGAAAACGGAAACCGGCTAAAAGGCAAAGAGATCGACTGCTACAATATTTCACCGACTGTAAGCATTTGTGAAAAGTCCCCCTCGACCGAGGCATAAGTGACTGGGAAGATTAGTTTCTTTGAAGGTGAGTTCGCCAGTCTGCGCAAATTATAGTTTTTATGTGATACTTACTGAGTGGCATGCTCTATTCAATAATTTTCAGCAACTCCTTGCTGCCACTAGAGGCACCATGCACCCTCCATCACCCCACTCTGGCAATATCATTTAATTTGACTGTGGCCAACTACTAGTATTAATATGAAAAACAAGTCAATTCAAATACTGTGGGATTTTTGGGCCCTCACGTAGTATTCTCAGAGACATCTCATTGATGTTAATCTTTAAGACAAAATCAGTTTTGTCGTATCCTGCTGTATCTGCCCCGTCGTATACAGATTTGATAAACGAAACGAAACTTCTACCTCGTTTTCGAATAGAGTCAACTTGCACAGTGCCGTAAAATTTATACAATCAGCTGTTCTTCGCTTGACGTCTTTCATCTCGGTCGTACTATTCATTTTAGAAGACTTTCAAAATTCAAGATCTGCCGTTCACTTAAAAGTATTTGTTGCTTAGCAATAGATGACTAAGGATCACGCGAAAGATTGTAATTTCCGATGGTAATAGGTGAGCTTGAACAGATTTGAAATATTGTGCAACAACCTGTTGAAATTACTTCACCAAAAAATACATTTTTTGGAAGGCGTTGTATTCTAATATCCTAGTTGTTTTAGAAACCTTGCAAATGAGTTTGCAAATAAAAATTCACAAACATCATTTTAAGCCCCTTTAAGGCGAGTCATTAATTTGTCTGACTGTGACATTGTTTAGTCTACATCTAGTTACTGAGGAACGTTCTCGATGGTTTGCTATAGTTTACACCGAAGTAAACTGACGAGCCAAATTAAAGAGAGAGGAGATGAACAAATAAGAACTGAGACACAGTTTACCTTTCGTTTTAATCAATATATACGATTCTCCTAAAAAATTATTTTTACACCGAGATAACATGACCGGCCATGTTAGGGAGAAAGGAGATATAAAGTTAAGAAGTGAGACACAGGTTACCTTCGTGTTCATTACTATATACGATTCTCCTAAAAATTTATTTTATTTAAGAATCTTAAATAAATTCAAACTAAAACGTTTTTGAAACTGTTGTTATGAGAAAATTTCTGGAATGAATTTAGCCTGGTTATGAAGGACCAAACAACTTAACTTATCTCAATGGTACAGCTTATAAAAAACCTCCCTCAGATTTTCCATTTTAAAAATGATTTTTACAAATACACTTTAGCTAACTAAACCTGAAAGTTCATCCCCTTAGGCCTATTGAACACTCGTGAGAAAATAATTGCATTATCCCTCGTTAACGTACGCCAGACTATGTTGCCGTGACGACCCAGACAATGACATCCACGCACCACGTGATCACAATCATCAGCGTTCGGTCCAAAGGTTTTTTTTTGCCGATTAGATAAGATCTACATGTTACTTCTAAACAAGTCATACACATCCCTCCCAACTGTGGATAAATATCATCTAACTTTTTCTTCACCTTTCCCATTACCTTGAAGAATCTTAGTGTGATATCAAACATGGCTGTTTTAAAATCAAGCTGGAAGAGGTTCATTTCATGCTTGGTCGCGGGATTTTGTTTAAGTGTCGCCCACTCGAATGCAAGGTGAGAAACGACTCAATATATTTTTTCATATGTCTATGTTTCTAAGCATTCAGCCTCATGAAATAATAATGATAATAATAATTTATTTCTTATATAGCGCAAAATACATGTGGATATGATCTAGTGCGCTATAACCCTTTCTGTCGCCAGAAAACGTATTTCAATAGTAAATAAATAGGTAAAAACAACCACAAACTTATTAGAAGCAAACTTATTTGTTTTTTCCTTATCTATTTATCTGTCTTGAAAACGAATTCCACGTTTTTGACATGCTACAGCAAAATAAAGTTGGTGCTACTGAAATAAAGAAGTCATTTTAAACAGAAAGTAACATTTGAACGCATATATATCAAATATGTCGCGTAAATTGAAACGATTTTTACAATGTAATACTATAATACTACACTATCAGTCTACTATAAATTGTTTGTGGCTTTTTTCACAGAGTTTGACTTATTACCTCTTTATTCAGATGTTACCATTAATTTTCGGTTTCTACCATTTTGTTTCGATTTTTTAGTTAGTTAAGCGGGGAACAATGGCAACGTTTCAAATAAGTTTTAATGATGCACATACTAAAAACACGTCGAGTACATTTGCCCCGTCAAAATTTGCATTTTACCATTTTTCCTGCCATGTAAGTTTATCTTTAGACGTAATTTTACTTCAAAATCGTATGGAGTGTGTTGATAAGTGTTGGTATTACGGTCAGCTTCTAGAAAATTTTATGTTTTATCAAGTTTTCTGGCCACGTTAGTTGTATCGTTCCTCAGTAGATTAAGATTTAGTTTATAAGTTATGGTTAATGTTTTATAAGCTCTTCTTTTACTTTGTCGTTATGTCCTTCTAGAATTCTCAATCTCGGAGCGATGAAGTTGTAATAGCCCAGCTTAGCGGTAGCCTTCTCAACTCTCGTGCTACCGTTTTTCAAGGATGTACAAATTATCATTAGGTTTTCAGTTTCTATTAAAGTTGGTGTCTCTTAGAATAAATCAACCCCAGGTTGTTGACGCAATAATTCTAAACAGATTGAAAATTAAAGTGAAAAGCACCTGAACTCATTATTTTAAAATGTAAATCTTTTTAGACGCACGGCAGATGATATGACAGCCCTTCTAAACAAACTCATAAAAGGCTATGACAAAAGACTTCGGCCAAACTTTGGAGGTAAGCAAGGCAGCTTTGAATTATGCTCTGATGAATTAGCAGACAACTCTTAATTCATCGGCTATATATCTGACTATGCCGTTAACACGACCTCATTTTTATTTCATGGCTCAATTGTGATCTTACTGTAACTTTCAATTGTTTTAGATATTCATTTTAAAGTTCTGAGAAGTTCTTATTTTAACCACTTGCATTAACGTTTCAAGGAAACAAGAGAGGTCTAACGAGCTCGCTAGATATTACTTCGAGTCATTAATTACTGAAACACAGGTTTGCTTGAATGCTCACATTAAATAAGTTGATTTTTTTAAGCCTTCTTTTCTGATAAGTGCACACTCGGTCATCTTGTGGATTAAAAAAAAAATACGAAACTAGACAATTATCTGCAATTAAAGAATGGAACTTAAATGCATAATTCGCCGATAGTTAATTCATTTTTATTACATGAACTTTCTTTTATTTTTACTTTCTGCCCTGACCTTCTTCATCAATTACAAGAAGGTAAGAAGGTGTATTCAATTTGTTGTGGCAGTTATGAAAGCCGGACGAAATAAAAGCTGGAAGCAGCCACGCTGCAGATTAGATTAGTAGCTCCCTAACCGAACGCAGCTTTTTTTATCTTATTTTTCATCTAAATTTCTCATTTGCATAGTGACTGTATAAATAAACGGGATATTTCTTTTTTTGTTATTTCGTTCCACGTGACCGGAATGTTGTTGAAACTTTTTCACTGTCTAGTTAGTAAAAAGTGATTTAGCTTCATAACCATGGCACTTAATAAAATATTTAAGATAGTATGCGCACTCTCATAGGCGTGTTTACATTAGAGTATATAAACAAGGCTGTGGCGTCAAGCCTCGTTACTTTTGAGAAATATTTTACAATAGCATGGTGGAACTTTTTCCGTGTTTACATAGCCACGTCTACACACCCAGAGGCTTTGGCAAAATCTCAAAGTTTTCATAGAAACCCTCAACTTCGTTACGGGTTTGCAGAACGTTTTCGAGTTCTCTCAACGCCCTCGTGTTGAGATGAGGTTATGTTAAGGCAGAAAACTCCTCTATAATTAAATATTAGCCATGAGTCTAAATAATTTCTTTTTTACTTTAAAAAAGCTTTAAAGTGAAATGTATTAGGTAGAGTCGTGGTGACTCTTTAAGTTGCAAATCATTTCCGTTATTCTCCTGACCTTAATGTTTTATTTAGTGGTACTGCAGTGAAGAGTATTAGATGCTAGTAATTCTGAGAGTTTAGGGTACTTTTCGATTGAGTGTTGGAAAAATATCAACAAATTAATCACAACGGCCAATCAGGAGATTGGAGCCAATGAGAACTGCCTAATACGCGGAAAAGTCCTAATTGGTTTCAGTTTTCCATCTAATTGGTGGAGTGAGTGGTGCGAATTTTCTGCACCAATCACAGTGCGAATTAGAGCAAAACAAAGCAATCCCTGCTTACTTTTAACTTTCAACTGAAAATTGCTTTAGCTAATGGCACCGTTAATTTTAAACTCACCAACCAAAAGAGACTTTCCATTAAACTATTCAGTCACAAAGGATTTTTAGTGAGAGCTATATGCTTTTTGTCAAACATTATTTTATGTATCATATCATTGTCAGGTGAACCAGTTGTAATCACCGTTGGATTGTGGGTATTATCCATCGACTCCATCAACGTTGTTGACATGGTAGGATGGATCTCATTGTATAAATTTTCTTGTAAGAGCAATATCTCGGTTTCAAAGTTATTTTGTAATCTTTGTTACCCCTTATAGGATATACGCTACGACCTTCAAATTTATCGGGTTTTAAACCATCTTCATTAATTACTTATGCCGCTCATTGTCTGGCGTGGTCAAGTTATGGGAAAAGATTGTGGCTGAGGTAACGAGCAGCTTGGTGGGAAAGCGTTAGCTGCAAATGCAAGGGTAGGCGGGAGGGTAGAAAATTCCTGGAAAGTTACTGACTTGGTATTTTTTTTTTGAAATGCCCAAAATCGAAGCAGCAGGGTCATCCAGAGATATTTCACGTGAAAACTTAGCATAATGTTTCGTAATTACCTTCCAACGAACAGGGTTACGTATTCCATGCCCGTCAGACTTCCTCGGCATATTTATGAATGATAATTGTTTCCAGGTACTCATTTATACACCTGTGTGGAGAGAGCTACCGTAATAGAAGCAATAGTAGTCGTAGACTTTATTTATTGAGAGTTACATTTTACAGTAATAAAACTGATGAACTCATGTCCCTTAAAATAATTGAAAGTCGAAATAAGATGATTATCGAAAAAGTAACGAGAGAAAGATTTAAATAGAATATGACTATGAACATCGAAGAATACAAAAATAGTAACAGAAATAATTTTATTCCTTATGTGATTATTAAGAAATAACTTAAAATAAATTTATCTAGATGATTGCATGCGAATTTGATTATTTCAAATTGATTTAGACGGTAAAGGCTTAAAATGTTTATCACTAGAACTCCGTTTGAGTTTCGCATTAGGCATGATCCATTCCTTTATTTTGGGAATAGAATGTCTTGCCAAAAAATTGCGATGGCCCCGTCTTGGGAAGAAACACGGATCAAGCTCAGCATTCTTTTTGCTTGGCCTCCATTTCGTCCACCGAATTAATTTGATCTGAAGGATGCATCATTACTTGGATCTTTAGCCCCTGTCTTTTACTTTTCAAGGATTATAAACTGGACTTCTTCTTAAGACAGCTATGGACAGATCCACGATTACGCCACGACTGGAATGAAACACTGGCACTTGGTAATACTATGATGGATAAACTCTGGGTTCCAGACACTTACTTTGAAAATTCCAAAAGTTCAAAATTCCACAAAGTTACCATGGTCAATAAGTTGTTATCCATATCGCCAGATGGGGGAGTCCATTACAATGCAAGGTAAACTGCAAAGTTGTCATTCTTTACTTTGTTGGATCTGACTTGAAGCTATCGATGATCGATAGATGGCATCATTGTGGTCCTCTGGATCTTATTTTTAGAGTTTTGAACTATTTTGTACACGAGGACATTACATTCAAAAGACTGAAAAGTCTCTGACTTACAGGAAAAGCTTAATTTCGCCTTCTCGGAGACCTGTATTAGCCATTCGTCGATCAAAGAATCTGTCCAGGCTTGTGAAGAAATCTTGAAGTCGGCGAGCTATTAAACCAACAAAAGTCTTACGCCTTGAAAAACAGATTTCTTAGATTCAAATTATTTTCTAATGATAGATAAGGATGGAAGAAATGTGCTCCGAATCCCTGAGACAAAGAGCTGGTGGACTGACCAGAATTTTAAACTTTTATCACGCGTTTGTGTCTTCCATGGTTAAATTTACGCGCTTAAAACAATCGAAAATGTGGGCGTGAGCAGTATGAATTCGTTCTGCGAAGTAGCTATTGTACATGCAGAGAGTATTTGGATCACAGAAACGTATTCATTTGACGTCCTCCTCAAAGTGTTTTTCGTTTGGTTTTCAGAGTCACTGTGCGAGCAAGCTGTCCAATGGACCTGCGGCTATTTCCATTTGATCAACAACATTGTAATTTAAACATCGAGAGCTGTAAGTATGTGTTTTCGTTTACAAGTAAGGTTCTCGAATATCTATTCGACTTCAAAATACCAGCATCTTTCCCAAAAAATTATTTTCAGTCGATCTTTAATACCTCTTACAAAAAGCGTTCAAATGTATCTTGCCAAATGTGCCTTTCCTAAAAGGTATTAGTAACACATAAATTATCCCTGGTAAGGAGGCCGCTTTCAATTTAACTCAAGAGCCGTTATTGCAATGAAAGCTTTTGTCTTGACATCTGCGAAAACGTTGGGGCACCAAGTATCTTATCGGTTGGGAGTGTGCTTTTTGTTTTGTTATTAGCATCTTATGTTGTTGTAATATTTCAGATGGCTATAATGCTAATAACATGCAATACCGGTGGGAGAATCGAACGGACAAAGGAGTAGCAGTCAATAAAAAGCTTGATGATATGCCCCAGTATAACTTAACCGGCGCCTCGACCAAAAGTTATTTCACAGTTTATTACTCAGGTGGGTAGACTTTGATCATTCAGAAAACTTTAAACCATGATGCTATGCTGTTCAGAGGAAGGGATTATAATAATAATGGGAACAACTCTTTACAGCACTACATTTCTCCATGTTTTGTTTGCCATGAGGAATGTGTAATTGTTCTCGTTTTGTCGCTGTATCCATAAATAGCCTGACGAAAGAAAGCTGGAACGAATTTCGTTCTCTAGCATAATGGCCATGCAGACCTTAGTGTAAGCAAGCTGCAGCTGGTTTAAGTTTTGTGTCTTCTGACTATATCAAGCAATTTTCAATTCAGAGTCGAAAGTAATACCGAGCTTACTCGAAACCTCATGGTTCCCCTATTCTCCAGGCTTCAGCATTGATCAAACGACGCTCAGTTTCAAAATTGCCCATTTGTTAAAAATATATAATGAATATATTCTCTTTATTTCACTATAAGACCTTTTTCCTCTTTCTTCTTCGTTGTTGTTATTATTGCTTTGGTTTTGCTTTACTCCGCCATGTGATTGGCTCAGAAAACTTGCGTCGCTTTCTTTACTATTCAGACTAAAAATCCCAAATTGGTCATCCGTATTTTTCTACGCGATAAGCGTTGCTTGTTTTAACTTTTCGGTCTCATGGAATCCTTTTGATATCTTTCTCTGCTCTTATTGACTATTCTAATGAATTTTTATGTGGTTCTACGACTCTCTAATAGCTTCAGTATGAAGTAAATAAGTTTTCAGGCAATCAGCGTTGTTATCGACAATTACTAGAAGAACTGTTGTCAAATGATGATGAGCCTTCCCCATACTCTGAGAATTTCTCACCATGTGTTCTTTTTCACCAGGAAATTGGTCCCGACTGGGCGCTTCATTCGGTTTTGTCAGAAGATCAGGATATTTTCTTATTCATATCTATGCTCCTTGTGCACTCATTGTTATTTTATCTTGGATATCATTTTGTATCCCTCCTGATGCAACTGCTGCTCGCATTGCCCTCGGAATAACTTCCGTGTTAACTATCACGACGATATTAAATATGCTGAATACAGCTATGCCAAAGGTTAGAAGCTGCTGAATATTTACTGAATATGTAACAAAAAATGCCGGAGACAGAAAGACAGAAGACAAACAAAGACAAACAAAGACAAACAAAGAAAAAGACAAACAGGCAGACAAATATAATTTATTCTTGTTTTCTCGTTATCATATTCCCACCAATAACGTAACTCTATTTTCCCTATATAAACACGCACACAACCCACAATTCCTCTATTCACTCTGGCGAAGGGCTAACGCTCGAAACGGAAGTTTGTATCAACTCAGTTGATAACATTAAATTATCCAGACAGGTAGACATGACAATTATTGGTGTCTTTATTTTCGGTCCATCTTCTATGTTTATGTATGTAATTATCATCATGAATATGAGCAGAATGACATGATGATTAATTTTTTATCGTCACGTAAACGTTCATGAGTAAGGCTATGACAGATACATCGTTGGAAATGAAGGCAAATACATATGAATCTTACCTATAGATGAAATAATCACATTTCAGAATGAGAGGCTGAGTTACGAAATGATGTACAGAAATGATTGCTAACGATATCATGAAGAGTATTATAGTGTCAAATTTAAGAGCAAATGCGAAAAAATATGACTTCTGTCTGATTAGGGGTAGAAATCATGATAGCTTATGAATAAAGTGTTATCATTAGATATATTTTGTGTGATCCAACTGTTATTTTTTTCAGGTTTCGTATGTCAAAGCAATAGACTGGTATCTCATTGGCAGCTTTCTGTTTGTGTTTGGTGTGTTAGTTGAGTACACATTCGTTCTTTGGATCGTGAACGTTCACAATAAGAGACTAAGAAGGCTGATGATTGAGCAGGAGATCCAGGAAGCGGTAATCAGAGACATTTAGACAAAATATATTACTCCTTAAAATGAGAATTATAACGTACTCCACTATTGAACAAAGGGGGCATGTTTCTAAAGAAACTGTGGTGCTGCGTCGGTGGTATGGTATAGCAGAGTAATTTGGTATTGTCAACTGAGTTGATAACGTAAATTGGCCACCGTTAAGAGTTTCAAAGCTAAGCTATGTACTGGAGCTCCTTACGGTGGCCAAGTTGTGTTATCGACTCAGCTGATAATAGCAAAGTACTCCTTTTTTGCTTTTAAGGTTGAGTTTGTAGATTTGTCTTTGACATGGGGCTTTATCCTCAAGCACAATTTCCTTTATTGCAATTATTGGTACCAGATCAATTCGTCTTTTGCTGTCTACAAGTTTAACAAGTTTAACATTATTTAATTGTAGATAATTTTTGTTCAAATTTTCCGCGTTCCATGATCAACTTTCCCCTATAGAAAACAAAATGAAGATCAATTTAATCCTTCACTCACTGATTATCCTATGCCCGAATGACAGAACCTGTTTATGTAAACGTATCAAGGAGTCTAGCTAATGTTTAATTTAAGAACAATTTTGAATTATCTTTTGCACTTAAAGAACACAGCCGTGGTCTTTTTAAAAAACGCTAACGAAACAAATAGTCAAGAATTTGAGGATTACAGGAGCAGTTCCTGCTGTGGGCCAAAAACACTAAATGAGGATTCTTTCATGAAGCACTACTAAGTCAGGTTGTACTTAAAAGAATACTAAAGGCAAGTTTTTAAAGAAAATTTGATGCTTTGTCGGCGGAGAGTATCACAAGATAATTCGATGTTATTGATTGAATTGATCATGTAAATTGGCCACTATAGAGAATTTTTAAAGCCGGTTGAGGTCTCGAGCGTTAGCCCTTCGTTAGAACGAATGACGAAAGGGTAACGCTCGAAACATCATCTTTAGCAACTCTTTACTTTATCAATTCAGCTGATGAAACAATTTATCTTATACTTTAAAGAGCGTTCATCTCAGAACTAGTTCCGCAGTGGTCAAATCCAATAGATTAAGTTTACAAAATGCTGAATATAGATTCCCTGATAGCTGAGGATATTTTTCATGAAAATGATTCTGTTTGTTATTGCTCTATAGGAGGAAGAGAAGCAACATAGCTCGCGGAAGCATGGGATGAATGGTAGCGTCACAAGCAAAAATACTCGTGAAAGCCATGGTTATGATTACGAACTTTTTGAGGTAAACCAACTGCATTCGTTCTTGAGGCGAATCTTCCCATCAAGTTTCGTCGTAACTCCTTAAACGCGATTTTTCATTTGATTGTTAAAGGGTTCAACATTGTAATTACGATTTTGCTGTATAAGATACAAGTATCCAATAGAATATTCTCCTAGTTTTAACTAAGACAGTGCGTTTTTGGTTTTTGTTATTTGATTAAGAACGTTTATTTGGATATAATTTTCCACCGAATTAGACATGCATGGAAAAAAGTACACTTCCAAACACAATTTCGTTAGTACTTTCTAAGTTTTAAAAGTCCTCCTCACTTTGTTATCATTGGCTGTTGTGCTACTGTTTTGGAACTGGCTCGGATTTAGTTTCCTAAGTACAAGTAGTCAACAATTAGTTAGCCTTTTCCCCAGTGGCACAAGCACTTTTGTTTGTCTGCCGTTCCTCACACAGACCAATTGATAACTACAAATCTTGTTCAAGTTGGAGAAGGAACGTGCCCTAAACACTTTCCCCGCGAAAGGTAGCGGAGAAGTGAACGAATCTTAAAAGGAACTCCAACAGAAGTTATAATCTTCCTTTCTGAGTAAGTTCTTTCTTCCTTTAGAGTTATAGTGCATTCAGCGACAAAGCTAAGAAACCCAGCTCACATTTGTGTGACAGATCAAAGGCAAAGCGACATGCTTCCTCCGAAATGGAGCAGAGACCGTTGACCTATCCCAGAACTCCACATTGCAGGGCAAGAACAGTTTGTCTCGACCTCATTGATCCGGATTGCATTGATGACTATGCCAGGCTGTTCTTTCCCATCATGTTCATCCTTTTTAATGTGACATATTGGCTTAAGTTTGTTGTGCTGTAAGATAAGACCTAGGAGAAACATCAAAGGAAATTCTTTCTATTTTTCTATCGAAAAATCTAGCAGAAAGCCAAGGACGTCTCCTAAGAGATGGAAGAACATCTAACACTATTAGACTCCCGGATTGGACATAATTCATATGTCAAGGGATTTTTTATGGCTGTTTCTTTTGGGGCAATGCAGCAAACATGTATCAACATGATCGGAAAATATAAGATTGGTGCGAGTTCGGAAAATGTTTGAAAATAATAAGTGATCACATACATAAATTTTAAAGGAGATATTAATTTTGTGCAAGAAATTCTTGCTCAGATCATGTCTTTGCTGACCTTTGGTAAGGACTACGTAATAAGGACCTTTGAAATACAGTTACCTTATTGAGAGTCCCCATCTAATCTTTCAAACGACAGAGCACATGTAGCCTCTTTTACCGTTGTCATTATCCTCCCAAATTGGTAAAAATCTCTCTTAATTTATTCAGTTGCTATAACGTAAACTATGTTTTATATTTCCAGTACTGTTCATTTGCATGACTGAAGTAAGAGTCTAGGGAAGCGAGGTGCATGACGCATGATACAATCTATAGGCGATGATGATAATGATGAACTTTGAATAACTTTGGTATAGATATAATGAGGAACCTTTCTATATCTCAGTCTGACACTTCTTTTTTTAAAAGGCAGAATCTTGCAAGTTGAAATGTTTTTCTTACTGCCACGGTTTAATCCCTAAAAATCACTAAATAGGCAAGCAACTATTACCGATATGAAATAATACTGATAAAGCAAGCATGAAATGTAAGTAACTTAGAACAAGCAGCCTCTGGTATTAGATTAGCATTTAAGTGAGAGCGACGTTTGTTGAAGACTTGCGAAAAAAAATTACAAAGATAGTAACTATGGCGTGCTCGTTATGGTAATATTACATCTTTCATCTCGTAGGTTATGTTATTTTCTTGATCTCAGCGGCGAAATGTTCTTCCTCGGGATAAGGTAGTGCTGGCGATTGCGTATCGTAACGCCAGAATTAAAGAAATCAGCCAATAAAAAAATAGGAGAAAATCGCGCGGAACATAATAATTGACAAGCAAGCTGCATAAAGCACGGGAAAATTACCTGAACGAGTACTTCACAAGTGTTTCCAGTTTTGCCTCTGTTCTGGTCACTCAACTGCTCAGTAATGCAATGTAACTTAGTATAAGATGAAACATTGAACTGATCGTGGCTGAGGGTCAATAGGTTAAGCTGTTCCATGTTTTCCATCCACGTATAAAGCATGAATTTAAAACATATTTTGAACTCAATAAAATTTATGTCAATTTCGCAACGCCAATTAGGCCACAACTTGCATAAGCACTGAGCGAGACTTTTATAAGGTAAAAATTATCAGTAGTGTAGATGTATGCTATTTTAGTGAGGACCAAATAGTTTACTTATACTTAACTTAGAAAGAAGTCGGTAACATATAAATAAAGTAAATAACAAAAACAAAAGCAGCTCGCTGCCTGTTTAGTATGGATATGGCGAAATCCAGCTGTAGTGCAGTGTGTAGAACCTTCTATATGTTACAATATTTTTATCCCGAAAAATTGCAATCAAGGAGACAATATTTTTCAGTTAAAGGAAGTTCAGATCGTTATTGGCGTTTTTCTTTTGTCATAGATGGAACGGGTAAAGGAAGACTGTTATTTTACAAAATTTAGATGCAGCCTCAGTCCGAGCTACTGGAAAAATTAACCACAATTTTTTCAGCCTCTGCACCCATTTAGTGTTCCCTTACCCTCGAAACTTTTTATCATATGGTTTTTTTGTACCAAAACTAATTTCGTACAACCGACATATAATGTAATCATATTCCGTGCCATTTTCTTGCGTTCTCAGTGAACAATGTCATCAGTATGGAACAGAGAATAAGTTTTAGGTAAGGGACAGATCCAGTTTCGCGTGCTCACTATGATTGATCTGTTTTCTTGCCTTGTCAATTTCAATTTTGTCGCTATTCAGCACCTTTCAATTTTCTCTCCTCTCCGCAGGTGCAACGATATATCTCGCAGTCTGTCTTTTATTACGTACAGTTTACTTCTTTAGACCCGGCTTCACTGACGATAAAAATGTCAAACAGTAGCAATCGTTGACAAGGATATTTTTAGACATATGGACGTCACGCAACATTATACGTGGAGTGGAATATTACGAGACAAAACTATGACTTACTTGTACCTCGACGAACTATCATGACATAAGTGCTTTAAATTTAGAGTTAAAAACATCCTGTTCTGCTCATGAAGTTAAGCTAAAGGGAATGTTGCTACGTCAGTGAGCACAAGAGGAACCACGTTCGCATGAATCACATTTCAGGACACCTTCCCCTTCAGCAATGGCGGAGATTTCGACCTTTATGAAATAATTACCAGGGCGTATGATCTTCAAAATTAAGAAAGCCACCAGACTAGACAGTACAGTGAAGAAGGAAAAGCAGAAGTGACTTTAAGTCTTGACTCCACGTATCATGGCAACAAGAAAAATGGTGCGAGACAACTGGGATTTTACTGCAAATTAGCAAGAGATTTTCATTATTGCAATTTTCACTGATATCAGATGATATTTGAATATTTTTCTCATCATTCCTAAAGGGCTCAATTTTCTTCCTGTTTTTGGTCTCCATCGCATGTTTATGTGACCAGACATCTTCGTATCGTGGTAAGTGAAATCAAATTGGTTTCTGTCCATAAACATTTAACTTTACCTTGTAGCAACTAACAATAACACAGACTGCTTTACTTAAAAAATGATGTTTCGCGTTGTTAAAATGATAAGAGCTTCGAAGGTCGACGATTTGAAAGCTTCCCTTGGTAAAGAAAAAAAAAAAGGCTTGACTGGTGGCCATAAAAAAGGCCAAAAATTAAGCCGTAAGGCCTAAAAGTTCAATTGCTAGTCATGAAAAGTTAATCGTAAAAATGTTTCGTATCTGTTATGTGATAAAATATTAGACTGTTTCATGTATATTATGTGCAGTCCAATTCTCATAGTATCGCAATCACTGTGTTACAAACTTTTTTTTTTTTTTATCCCGGAATGGACTTAATCATCTCATCATCAAAACCCTCTTACACACGTCAAGTGCTGCAAATAAGAAAAATTATTATACAATAATCTTCGTAAAAATCCAGGGAGATATTTTAGTGTGAATATTTGATTGTACTATCATTTTTGCTATCATTTGGCCTGGTTTATGATCGCAACAAAATGACTTTGGCATGACGGCAAACTATTTATTTTCACTGTCATATGACATGTGCTATACTGATTCCTTTCAGTCAAGAATCCTTTCATTCTTTGGCAAAATTAATTTTTTCAAAGTTGGAGTGAAAAGCTTATTCTGGTGACTGAAATGCTCCTTTTCCATTTGTTTATCGCCACAGGATGTCTTCTAATTCTTCTTGTATTCATTCATTTATTCGTTCATAAGTTTGATTATTGGCAGAAACTTGGCTAACTGATTGCACTTCAGAGCTCGTAAATATCACAGGATACAATTTTGTCTCCAACCATCGTAAATCGAAAACATGCGGCGGAGCTGGAATTTATTTTACAAAACGACCTTGAATACAAACTTCTCGAAGAATGCAAATTTTCAGATCCGGATGTAATTGAGTCACTTTTCTTGGAAATTATTGTTCCCCACGGAAATAACATTATTGTTGGTTGCGTGTAAAGACCACCAAATCAAAACACTGCTATGTTTAGTGACAAATTCAGCAATATTCTCTCACAAATTTCTAAAGACAATAAACACTGTTATGTGATGGGAGACTTTAACCTAAACCTTCTCCAATACAATTATCATGTTCCAACACAGGAATTTATTGACAGCTTATTTTCACACGCCTTACTTCCTCTCATCTCCAATCCATCACGCCTCACCTCATACTCTGCGACGCTAATTGACAACATATTCACCAACAACCTTGCCCATAGTGTTTTTAGTGACGTTATTTATCTGACCACTTACCCGTTTTTTGATGCGCACATTCAATGACGATAATTTGCGGTGGCTTCCTGGGTCTCCTCGCCTTCTAGCTATAACCGCTGTAAATAAAATTTTTTGTATTGTGTAAATAAGGCAAATAAAAGATGATGATGATGATGATATTTAGGTATTGATCACATTTTTCTACTTCTTTCTCTTAACATTGTCATTATTATTATTATTATTATTATTATCATTGTTATCAATGTTTCTTTTAATGTCATCACGATTATGGGTATAATTACATTTATCATTATCAATCCCGTTTGTGTAAAAATTTTTCCCTTTTTCTTTTTTGTAGTTGTCCAAGCTTTTTCTATATGTCAACCAGACTCTTTACGTCGGAATTCCAGTTGCAGACCTAAGGATTGGGTCTTTAAATGCAAATATCAATCACCCCACACCCGAGAGGTCTCTTTAAGATGCCGCGGTGGTAAATGTTCAGGCGGTGTTGGTCTTTTTGACCCCAGCAGAGTTTGCTGTGAATTCACATGTCCATGAGAACTTTCCTCTTTGAAATGATTTCAGATTAATGCTAATTTTTGTTGTTTACATCTTATTGTAAATTGATTTTGTAAAATTGATTTTGTACAATCAATATTCACTGTAGAAAGACCCAAATGTGCAATAAAATGCTTTGTAAAGCCATAAGAAGTTCTTGACTCTTTCAACTCAGGTTGTAATTAGCATGTAGTTTGTCCCTGCAATAGCCACACATTATCCAGCAAACTGGTTAGGGTAATAGACAAACGAATAAGCTGGACGGCTTTGCCTCGAAAAAACATCGCATTCCCTCAATTAATTCAAAGGGATATTTAAAGTTAACAAACCCACTGGGTTTGGTAATTTCATGATTTTTCATTCGCTTCGAATTACTTAATTTAAGTCATTTGATAATCAAACGTTTTAATTCTTTTCAAGTTGAATAAAAGCAATAGCAGAATAACATTATAACTGCTCTTTTTCTTTTCAATTTCAGTAAAAATAAAACGACTTTTAAAAACATTTTGAAGCATACTAAACGTGAGACTCCGGTTGTTCGAAGGGGTTGATAACGCTATCTACCGGATAAATCTCTATTCGGTGGATAGCGCAGTATGTTTTATTAACACTTATCCGCAGGATAACGATTTATCCGTTGGATAGCGCTATCCGCCCTTTGATCAACAAGGCCCAGGTGCATGAAATCACTATTTTTCGAGAGGTGCGTTCCTACCGACATATGTATCAGCACAGACAATTAAAAAATTCTGATTTTTCTATCCTCTCTTTGTGATATTATTTTGAACCGTCATTTGTCATTTACTGTTCAGTTTCGGTAAAATTTCCGCACAGCCCCATACTATTGTAAAACAGATCTGTTTTCCTAATGGCAATGTATTGTTTTTGTCATTGTTTTCTCTATCCAAGAACTGAATGCATAATATAGTATGGGGCTGTGCGGAAACTTTACCTCAGTTTCTACTAGTAGTTAAGATGGACCTCTTCTTTTAAGGCAATCTCTTCCATCTTAGCAGGGGCTTTTATGCGTTCAGGTACATGTCTGGTGTTGCAGATTAGTTCCACAGATGGCTTGAACTAATGTATGATTGGGAGTTCATAAAATTAAACCTATCACAAGGTGACTAGGAGAAAACTGTTCAAATTGTTTTTCACCTCATGAATATCCCACACCATAACCTGGGGCATGAATAATCACCGCTTTTGACGATGCACTTCTGGGAGTGAGCATTTTGCACCTTCATCTCACGAACGAAATGAAAAAGAAAGAAAAAAAATCCAGCCAAACAATAAAAAGCATACTACGTTCATGACGAATGATCTTATAGCAACTACAAAAATCTTTTGAAAGCCACGGCACCTCCCCTCAGTCTGTTACCGTCTTGATAAAGTTCCTTGGAAATGTTGCAAAGAAATGAATGGGGTATTTCATATTCTTTTTTTTAACAGCCTTGAAATAATGACAAAAAACTTCATGTAAAAAGTTGAAGAACTTTTCAATAATTGCCGCACTGAATTTTTAATATAATTTTGCTCGATCAAACTTCCCTGGGGTAAACACAAACAAAAGATGCCACATTCTTTTCAATTATTATCATTTTTCTTGATAGAGAGATGCCAAGATAGAGTGTGCATAATTTATGAAACTGTTTGACATTAGCTGAAATACTTACCTATTGAAAAGCCAGAATGCATTTCAACTGAAAGCCTACGAGCGTTAGCGAAGCATACAAAATAGGCGCTGTCAAGCAATGGATGCGTTTAGTGGTTCAAAAGATAAAGTTACCGAAATCAGTAACACTGGAGCTGTTCTTTAAAAGTTAAATCTACAATATAGTAAGTATCTGCTTCTACATAATTTCTTTTTGAGGAAGGATTTTGGACAAAGATCTTTGTCAGTAGAATGTTTAATCGTTGACCTGAACGAAATGATTTTAACACATTTTTATCATCAAACACAAAAATATTCGCACTGCTCACATGAGGGTTGTTAATGAAAATGCGTTTATATCGTGGAAAAAATTAGAATTAGAGCGATGAAGTGTTTCTTGCAGGTGCTTTTAGTTTTTAATCAACAAAAAAAATATTAAAATATTTGACAGCGCGGAGTCTTTTATCGCCTGTGGTGCGTTTCATGTTTGATTGTTGATAACGTTGTAAGAAGGTTTGCCTTGGTTTGAAATTAATCTACCTCATCTCCATTCGACATCATCTTCTCTGCTGGAATGGGATTACAACTAAGTCCTTCATCTCCACTTGGAAAGGATTGGATGATTTTTGTTTTCTTTGGCAGACTTAATAACTCCCCACTGTAACGGCGATTTAATTACTACTCTCATATCTCGAAATGTTTTGTCGATTGAAATCCGAAAAAATCTCTTCTATACTTGTTCCTTTCCGCTTCTTAAGTACCTCCAGTCTTTTCTTGTTTCCATTCTTCATGCACAGAGCTGAAAATTTCTGTAGTCTCTGTCAATATGAAAGTAGTTTTCTTTACGTCGATAAACGACTAAATAATTTCGTGATGTCAGTGACTTCTTACGACTGAGAATATTGTGCACTACCTTGTTAAATGAAGTATTCTCATATCAGAAGCGGTAGGACGCCTAAAAACAGTTTGAAACACAGTTTGGAAACATAGATATTTTTCATTTCACATTATCTGTTTTTTTTATGCCATCCAGTTGTGGCACACTGCCGATTACCTTTGGCGGGTAAAAAATATATTGATGAAGCAGCTGAGCTATATTTTTTCATTGTATGACTTAAGTACACAAAACATTATATACATCACAAGATCACTCGTAATGTTGACAAATATTTTTGTAAGAATGCTTCCAACTTGTTCTTAAACTAACTGAAATGAAAACAAAAATTGACTTTTAATTGATCATAGCAAAACAGAAGTTCAAACACGCAATGTCTATTCGCTAAGAAAACGCTAGCTTTCGATGTGCTTGGACTGGACCACTGTCAAATTATTTGAAATAATTTCAAAACTTTGACGAAATTCGCCGACGAAACATGTTATGTGAATCGGAGAGAACTGGTTGTCATGAAATGGTTTATATAGTTTAGATTAAGTGTTGAACAATGTAACGAAATTGAACATAAAGGAAAGGTTGTGAGGTTGGGCGTTAGTTCGATGTCGTTCGAAACTTGTCTTTCGATGGTTGCAACGAAATTGCATATGAAACACTAAGAAAAAAAACAAACTTTAAAGTAAGTGGTCTTTATTTGTACATTCATGTTTTTGTTGAAAGTGAGTTTTCCATGCAATATTCATGCAGGCACATACAAGTCACATCGATGTTGAATAGTTTTTTTTCCAATTACCAAAAGTCCCTATTATTTGTCAGGCTGCCAGTGGCTTTTCATGTGGCATGAGTATTTTGATACCTCTCCTGCTTCCTCTGAATTTTATTCCCCATAGGTCGTCGAGTTATCCCTCCTCCATAGATCTGCCTTTTGAAATCCCCCTCGACCTGAAATTTGTGCAGGGCTTCACCCGGTTGGAACTTGCTAATTGTCCCTTGATAAGTCTTTTATCAAAGTTCAGAGCTAAAAAAAGCTTTTAACTCATTAATTCCTGCAGCGATTATTTTCAGGCACAAAGCGCGCAAGTTGGTCAGAGGTGAAAAATTAACAATTATTCCTTGAGGGCGCGTTATGGAATAAGCATGATTCAAGTTTCATCAAATAAACGAATTCCGATTTTCCAATTGGCTGATTTGTACCACGTGATACTGGGTGGTAACGTCATTATCGTGGTGTACATTCAACACACCACTGTCATTACCCCATGGCTTCGGCTGACCTAGTATATAGTGGTTTCAACGCAGTGTTTCTTTGTGCAGTGTATTCAATTTGAATAATAAAAATGCTAGCGCACTCATTACTCGGGAATTATCGGGATTTACTCGAAATTTTAAATACCGCACCCGGCAAAGCCTCGTGTGGTACTGAATCTCTCGTTTATTGTTAGTGAACTCATGCCGGTAAATCCCAATAATTCACTCGCTGAGTGCGTTAACCTGTAGTTATATTATTAGATTTCATTAAATCCTGAGCGATTGGGTATTTGGAGCCTTTTTTCAGCTCCGTAACAGTTGGCGCAATGCATTTCCATTTGAGGTGACTCGGAATATGAGTTGATAACCGGAGTTGAGTGAACCAATCAAAACATTAGAAATAAAATATTTAATACATAACAAAGGATATTAGGAGTTTGAGCACCAAATCAGAGCGCACCTTTGAACACTACCAACAGCTCTAGGTCATAGCAATTTAACTTATCACAAAATCTATTTAGTTTTGTAGGATAGACGCTTCAAATGCTGTTAGGATAATGAAACACTTTATATTAATCCTGTACGCCTTCATGAGCTCTACTCGAATGTGCCTACTAACAGTCGGGAGGTAAGCTGTATTTTGACTATATTTGATCACCTGAGGCAGATAAAAAGTTTACTAAAAGCGAATAACGTTGAAATACAGGGAAAGGCAATCCTTCGATTTCAACCGAAACCTGTGTTTCTCTAGAGCTCCGTTACATAGCTAACGGCGGAGTAAACATTTCGAATAAATTTTTAATGCTGTCGTTCAGTTCCAGTTTATTCAAGGAAAGGTGCAGCAACGAAGCAAATGTTTCTCATGTTAAGGCATACTATTCCATCGGAGAGCTACACCGATGGATTGAAAATAAAAATACATATAAAGTTCATGACAATTCAGAGTAGCACCTTCAATCATATCTCTTACTCTTTTGCTTCACTGTACATCTTACCGGGCCCCAAAATGAGCAACCTAAATATTTTCTTTTTCACTTCTCTTCACGAAGTCATGTTAAAATCTGCTGATCTTTGTGTCTCTGCAGAAGGTCCAGTTGAAGTCTCAGTCGGGTTTTGAATTTCGTCCAGTATAAAACCAGAGATTAAAAATGGAGGGTTAAATTATAGCTGAATCCTTATCAGTCCTGAGGGTGACTATAGCATCCAATTGCTCACTTGCATAGCTCTGCCGAATCAGAATTTGATCTCCAAGGGTGACTAGTATCCAATTTCTAACTGCTATAGCTATGCCGAATCAAAATTTGACCTCTACGGGTGACTAGCATCTAATTTCTTAGTAATATAGCTCTGCTGAATCAAAATTGTGACATTAGGTTCATGTAATTTAAGTAAATGTTTTTTTCACCAAATCGTCCCTGTCAATGCCATGGAAAATGTGCGAAGAACAGAAGGATGGAGAAGATACATGTTGATGTTGGGGTGTAAAGAGTTAAGAAGACTGTCACAGATTAAAAACTATCAAATCCACTAGAAATGAAAGATTGTCCACTATTCTTAAACAAGTAAACGTATTCCGTGGACCCGTAGACTTTGTTTCCTTTTTTTTTTAGCCACGGTGAATGTCGATCTTATAACATTCAATTGCATTTTGAAAGGTCCGTGACCCCGCCACTGACATTCAATTCACTACATTTGCTACTACGACTAAGGGAAAATTCTTTTTTCCAGGAAACAGGAGCCAAAAGGAAAGGAAATCTCAGAACTGCTGACAAGGCTTCTGGATTGCACTCGGTACGATGGCCGACTTCGACCAAATTACGGCGGTGAGATCTTAACTTATAAGTGGTCAGTCAAAATTTATTGCCGGCGGAGAGAGGGGTTGGAGTCGGAGGAGACACATGTTTTTCATGGGGAACGGAGGGGCAATCAGTCGTCGTCAACAGAGTATAAAGGGTAACTATAGAAAATTGACCGCCAAAAACTGTCGATGAAGGAGATCATAAGAATATTACTGAGCCATTTGGGAGGATCAGGTAAATTCAATCACTCACCCCCGGTGACACATACGGACCGGTTTCGAAATTAGGAGCTAAATTTGTCTAAGGTTTGTTCGTAATTGAGCGTCAATTGCGCAAGTTTTTACTACCCGAGCTCGTGATTGACTTTAGAATCAAGTTTGCTTTTCGTATTTCGGTTCAAGAATTTCTACTTTTCTAAAGCTTGGATACTTTGAAGAGGTCAGTCAATCATAATACAGATTATACATTGAAATTGTAGGGGAGAGCTACACCGATGGGTTAAAAATAAAAATACAGATTAAGTTAAAGGCATAAAAGAGTAGCATTTTCAATCATATTTTTATCCTATCGCTTCATTAGCAGCTTACCGGGTGAGGAGCAACCAAAAGGTTTTTCTTTTTTACTTTTCTTCACGCAGTCATGTAAACATCTATTGATCTTTGTGTCTCTGCAGAAGGTCCAGTTGAAGTTTCGGTCGGGTTTTGGATTTTGTCAATTGAAAGAATTGATGTAGTCAACATGGTGCGTAATTACATTAGAAAGAAGTTTGAGGCCGATGTTCAAATATATTCTTTAGCATCCATTAATAAATCCACTTGCTGTAAGAATCTGAAAGCAATTAACACAGAAAAAAATTGAGTTTTCATTGTTAAAAGAGCATTAGGTCGCTGCTTTGAAGTGATCCTCTTTCCCAACTTCAATCCATGAAGCTGGCTGATATCTTTCACTGCTGAGTTTGAATTTTCTTCTTTTCCCATAAGGATTTCACAATCGACATATTTCTTCGACAACAATGGACCGACAAGAGACTGGACCACGGTCTGAATCACACCATCACACTCAGCAGCCGCTGGGCCATGAAAAAGATCTGGGTCCCAGACTCATATTTTGTGAACGCGAAAACTGGCCGCATGCACCAAGTAACCACTCCTAATATGATGCTTATGTTAGGTCCCGGAGGAGTGATAAAATACAATGCAAGGTACTTTAGTCAAATCTGTCTGTTGCTAGCGTTCTATTAGTGAAGACGATGTGAAGCTGTTGTAATAACTAAATGTCTGGAACAAGATTGCATTACAGAAAGGAAGAAAGTTATATTTGTCAATGAACTCTTCGAGTCGAAAAAATGTTAGGGACTAAATAACGGGCGTGAAAGACCGAACATTTTGAGTCTGATGTGAGGACTCGAATTTCAAAATTTCAGAGATCCAAGTCTGGATCTGACGCCATCTCGGTCGGTGCTAGATCATCAGACCGCGAAATGAGAAAGTCTTACAACAATCTTCGGAGAGACAAGGATTTATTTTTTTATTCGAAATATTGACGGTTGGTAATTTTTTATTATTCAACAGGATAACAATCAAAGCAGCTTGTCTCATTGATTTGCGAAAGTTCCCAATGGACAGTCAAGTTTGCCCGCTGGTGCTGGAAAGCTGTAAGCTGAGTTGGCTTTACACGCATAGTTAAAATACGACGGTGACAGACAGGAGGATTTGATTTTTAGGGGAACTGTCCATGAATAATTGCTGGCGAATTCGTAAATTGCTTACCAACTTTGTGACTGACTGAACGACTGGTTGACTGACAGAGATGCTGATGTGTTGACTGATATACTGATTTACAGGTTGATAGACTCTTTGATTGCTTAACTGACTTACTCACTGAGTAACTGACTGACGAGTTAACAGACTGGTTGATGAAGTGTCTGACAGGTTAACCTGCTGGCTGGCCAACTTAACGAATCACCGTCTAACTGACAGACACACTTACTGACCATCTGACTCCCAGAAGTTTGATTTTTGACATCTGATTGACGAAGTTAGCCATACCTGCTGACTGATAGAGACGCTTAAGGACGGACAGACAGAGATAGGCCGGGACACGCCTAAATATAGGTAGATGGACCGAAAGAAAGAACGCAAACAAACGAATATATAGAGAGATATATCAGGCATAAAGAAAAAGAAATAATAAAAGTTGTCCTATGCAGTTCATTTGCATTATTTTTGTTCTCCAAGATGGCTATAGTGCAGAACATATTCGATATAACTGGGAAGTCTCTGGAACAGACGGCCAGTCTTTTGTTCCATCCGAATTCCGCCTTATGCCGAACTATAACCTGACAAACATCAACCTCTCGCTCACCATGAACAAATATGTTGTTGGTGAGTAACAATATTTCACTTGTTTGCCTAATTATCCTTTTACATCTAGAAACATGACGTTTAGAGTTTGGTGATTTTCACTAGTTGTCATTAGAAAAAAACACAATAATCTCTTTTAAAAAAACTACCCCAAAAGTGAAGAAAATGCCTCAAATTTGGTCGACCATTTCCTTGTGGGCAAGGCAGATATTCTCCTCAATACGCTTTATAGGTATGTACCACTGCCAAACGGTACGGTTTTTCTGGAATCGTTCTTGTCTGAAAATGAGGAGAGACTTTTGAGCACTATACTATGGTCTAAATCGGGTGTGGTTTTCGAAGAACCAAGAGAGGAAATAAATGTAATTGTTGTTTTCAACCTCACATGGATAAAAGAGAAAGACAAGTATTATGTCATTCAAGCTGTATCTTGGGGCAATTTTCACGAACTCTCACCTTCTACACTAATTTCTAAATAACTAAATAATTAATTTCGCCTCAAAACCAAAGCTAGCTTTAAAACGGGTAAGGATTTTGACGGCTAGGGCTGAAAATTGGTTTTGAAAATGGAATGTCTAGTCTTTTCGTCCCAATTAGAATCATGTCAGGAACTGGAAAAACCTGGCAGTTCATGTACACCCTCTCTCTATTCATTCCGAGGGGTAACTCCTTAGGTCAAATTTTGAAACACCAACTGAGGTCATTCCAATTCATTTACAAATATTGCAGTGTTCTCTTTGTCTTTGTTATCAGGAAATTTCTCGGGTGTATGTGCGACATTTACCTTCAAACGTTCCTACAGCTACTTTTTAAGTCACATATATGGCACAAGTTCTGTAATTGTGGCTATATCGTGGATTGGGTTTGTTGTTCCTTTTGAGCAAACCGCTGCCCGAGTTGCTCTTGGCATTACGTCGTTATTGACGGAGGTCACCATTTTGAACATGATGAACAACTCTATGCCAAAGGTACACGTCTGCTAAAGTATCGGTATTAATCAACGATTGCATCAGTTTTGCTTTATTTTGCGGCGTAATGTTGAAATCAGAAGATTGCTATGTTGGAGTAGTCATGAGTTTGTTTGTTCCTCTTGTTAAAGGTGAGTTACGTCAAATCAAGCGACAAGTATCTGATTGGTTGTTTTGTGTTCGTGTTTTTGACCCTCATCGAGTACTGTGTCGTGCTGTTGTTGAAAGCAAAGCAAAAGCAAAGGAGTATCAAGTCCCGTAAAACTACCAGAAAACAGGTGAGGTAAATAAACTAATAAAAAATAAACTGACAAGTAAAGCAGAAGTTCACGTTAGTTTTCCACAGGATACTTTTCTGCACCATGCCAGGGTATTTCGTCTTTAAGAGAAAAGGAGAAACGACAGCAAAAGCAACTAAAACCATAGAAGACATTAGATTGTGAAACGGAAAAATTGGGAGCCTTGAAACCAAAGTAGATAAACACAACTATCAATTTTTTTCATTCTTAACGTGGTCACATAGAACATTTCTCGTGTGGCTCAGTTTAAAGAACAACAGCCAACCATAACTTTATTCACGAGCACCTCTAACCAAAGGCTGCTTCAAATTAAAATAACTTTATTCATGAGTACGTAGCTCTGACCACGAGTACTTCTAACCTAAGGCTGCTTCAAATTAAAATAGTTTGACCAATAATTAGTAATAGGCTGGAGAAAAAAAAGAAATCTTTGTCACTTTACAGCCGCCGTTTTTATTGATCACTATGCTATAGACTGCTGTTGGTTCTACTCTATCGTATTACTTATGCTGTACGTCCTGTTGAGCCAGTATAATTAACTCATGTATCTTAGCAGAAAAACGATGAGAATTGTGACCATGTGGAAGCGAAGGACTGGATAAGGAATGGCACTCTAACCAACACAAGGGAGAATGACCTCAATTTTCCTCATGGTAGTTTGAAGAAAGCTACAAACAAATACTCTTCAGGGTACACCTTGGCTACTTTCAGAGATGCTGATGTTGGTGCTCTCCTTCCCTGTAACAAATCACAGATGCACTGTAAAACATTTGTTAAACAAGTCGAAGCAAGGATTCTTACAGATACGTTTATTTTGAGCATTGACGAGTATTCCTTCAGACTTTTCCCTCTTGCTTTCGCTGTGTATAATGCTTGCTACTGGATGGAGTATATTTAATTGGACACTGTTAAGCCAGCTCATGCAAAAGAGCCAATGTAAAAAACCGTATCTACAAAGAACTTAAACGAGAGATCGAAACTGAAGTCTGACGAAAGCCACCAAGTCTTTATCCCAGGAAAGTAGCCTGACCAATTTGCTCCCAGGAACCAGACTTGTAGCATCTGATTGGTAATGGTAAGAGGAGCGAGTAGAGTCCAATTCGGTCTGTAATACGAGTGATTAACAAAATCGGAAAGTAGTTGTTGCTATGGTTATTGTGATCAACTCTGTGATTGGTGGATCTAGCTGAGTGGAATTAGTATGATTGGCTGCTTCAACTGTTCGGTTACAGGTGTCGGATTACAGCCAACTTTCCGATTACACTGTCCGATTACAACTGTACAGAATGATAAGGGAAAAATAAAGCAGCTAATGCACCAATCACATTTAAGGAAATTGTAACGGTTATGATTAAGAGATAAATCTTAAATTGACCCAAATGATGAATTTCGCTCAGATTTTCGAAGCTAGCTCGAAGAACAAAAGCCAATTTTCCGAGGGCCTTACTCAAATTAAATGCTTTCCTAAACTACTTTGTTTTTCTTTAATTTGCGATGTTATGCTGGCGTTGTGTATTAATGTTTTGTGATTTCTCTACATGACGTCGCAATTGTTTAAGATCCTTCAAAAAGCTTCATCCACCTGGGGTTTGTTGAAGTCCTAAATGTAATAACTTTCCGAAATGTGACAAACTCCTAAATGTAATAACATTTGGTCCTAAATGTAATAAAGTCCTTCATGTAATAACATTTAGTCCTAAATGTAATAAGCCTCCAATGCAATCGTTTAACTCCTTCAGTGCATTGTTGTTATGGCGGACATCCACATTGACATGTCAAAGTGACAGCTGTTACACCAAAAAACCGCTGACCAGTATATATATATATATATATATATATATATATGTCACATTGCGGGCTCGCTGATATAAATCAGCGTCTTTCTACTTGACATAAGACATAAGAAACATCAGCGGTCAGCGGTCTATTGATCGAGTTGAAGAAAATCATTTCCAGCCCAAAGTGGGCTAGTGCTTGGCTGGAAGCTCAATAGGATGGAATTGATTACTACGTACTCATTAAGAATTTTTTTGACGAGAAATTGACTACAATTGATGATGAACTAGCATGCTATTGTTGATGTTATCGTTCGTGTTAAAGTCTTCAGTAGTGATGCACCATTTTAGAGCAGTTTGAATGACTTCGCTGTGTCACATGTTAATCCAAAAGAAAATTATTATTATCAGTAGTGTTACTGACATTTTGCACATCAATGTTATTCAGTGTCAACTGATTTTAATGAAGCATTTGGGTTCATTTTTAAGAATGACTATCCTGATTTATTCAATTTTGAACCTGGGATATTGCATTTCTAGCCCTCTATGGCTTTACTCCACCTCGGTAATCAGTTCATGTACCATATGACTAAGTGGAAACTGTTGAGCTTTCTTTTTCATCCATCTATTTATATATTCATTTTCTCCCCTCACGGCGGGGAGGAGATGACGACAAAAAAAGTAATATAAACTTGAGATCAACTGTAAAATGTATGTTTTCCCGATACTTCGGTTCGGGAACTGATGAACCTGTCATAATGGGCTAAAGGCAGAAAAAAAGAATGGTTCATTAGACCATCAACTGACCATCTTGTGTTGAATATTGTAGCTCAATGATTCAATTTCACTCTTGCGCGGAAAAAAGGCAACATCTCGAGACCTATGATCGTGAAATGGGATAACATATGATTGGTCAGTAGATATATTGCTCTGTAAGTCACTTTATCATATAGCTAGTAGCGCACGCGGGCAAGATGAAGTGAATCCTGTGTTCTGATTGGCTACCTGAGCAGGCATGATGGGCCCACCCTCGCCCGCTCGGGATTCCCCGTATTGATCCCACGCAAGAAAACTTACAAAGTTCGTAACTTTTGGACAATGTTGGCATAATCATATAAAAAAATTAACGACCTTCTTGGGTTTATTGTCCTGCAAGCACAGTTGGCTTTCACTATCGGCTCTCTAAATAAACAGGCCATTCTTGATTCTTATCAAAGCGAAATCTTTTGCTGTACAATGAATCCTTTAATGATTAAGCCAGGAGAATATGAACTCTCTTGACCAAGCTTGTATGGTCAAGATTTCTGGGTATTAGCCTCGTTCTTTTTCTACTTTTTTATGGACCGAGACTTCGTCTTAGTCCATAAAAACGCAAAAAAAAAGAACTCGGCCAACATCCAGCCATTTTGACCTCACGCTTGGTCGATAACACATATGAATATATTTTATACCGACCCATACAATTCTGGCATGGGAAGACAGTACAAAAAATGCACTTCCGAACCCGGAATTTGTCTAACGTATAAGTCGGTGGACTTCCTTTTCCTTGTAATTCGGTTCATGAAGTGTTAATTTCAGCACTGATATCAGAAGTATATCGTCAAAATCTGTTACACTTAAAAGTCTGAGCCAAGGATATAAAGATAGCTATTGGTCAGCGTTCTCATTGCTTTTGCGTCCGTCAATTTGAAGCCAAAAGCACATCAGTATCAGTATAAGGTTTTGTAGCCAATGCTTCTCAATCTACGTCTTTAGCAAATAAAAAGTCGCTGATTAATATCAGTGAGCCCGCGATATGCCATGAATACTGGTCAGAGGATTCTTTGGTGCAACAGCTGTCACTTTCACATCTCAATGTTAGCGCAGTTAAACGATTGCATAGGAGCCTTATTACATTTAGAACCGAACGTTATTACATTGAGGGCTTTATTACATTTAGGACCAAATGTTATTACATTTAGGACTTTATTACGTTTAGAACAGTTATTACATTTAGGACTTCTACAGGCCTATCATGCCCACTCAGGTAGCCAATCAGAACACAGGATTCACTTCATCTTGCCCGTGTGCGCTGCTAACTATATGATAAAGTGACTTACAGAGCAAGATATCTACTGACCAATCACATGTTATCCCATTTCACGATCACAGGTCTCGACATGTTGCCTTTTTTTTTTTAACCATTGAGCTACAACAATCAACACAAGATGGTCAGTTGATGGTCTTATGAACCATTCTTTTTTTTCTTTTAGCCCCTTATGACAGGTTCATCAGTTCCTGAACCGAAATATTGGGAAAACATATATTTTACAGTTGATCTCAAGTTTGTATTTTATTTTTTGTCTTCATCTCTTCTTCCCGCCGTGAGGGAAGAAAATGAGTAGATAAATAAATGAATGAAAAAAGAAAGTTCAATAGTTTCTAATATCCCAGGTTCAAAATTGAATAAATAGTCATTCTTAAAAATGAACTCAAATGCTTCATTAAAATCAATTGACACTGAATAACATTGATGTGCAAAATTTCAATTACACTACTGATAATAATAATTTTTTGGATCAACATTTGACACAGCAAAATCATTCAAACTGCTCTAAAATGGTGCATCACTACTGAAGACTTTAACACGAACGATAACGTCAATAATAGCATGCTAGTTCATCATCAATTGCAGTCAATTTCTTTTCCAAAAAGTCTTAATGATTACGTAGCAATCGATTCCATCCTATTGAGCTTCCAGCCAAGCACTAGCCCACTTTGGGCTGGAAATGATTTTCTTCAACTCGATCAATAAACCGCTTTAAGGATCATACTTTGACTGCTGATATTTCTTATGTCTAGCAAGTAAAAAAACGCTGACTGATATCAGCGAGCCCGTAATGTGACATGTATGCTGGTCAGCGGTTTTGATGCAACAGCTGTCACTTTAACATCTCAATGTGGATGTCCGCTATAACAACAATGCACTGAAACGATTGCATTGGAGGCTGATTACATTCAGTACTAAATGTTATTACTTTTAGGACCAAATGTTATTACATTTAGGACCAAATGTTATTACATTTAGGACTAAATGTTATTACATTTAGGACCAAATGTTATTACATTTAGGACCAAATGTTATTACATTTAGGACGGTTATTTCATTTAGGACTTCAACAAGGTTTCTTTCAAAATCACCCTTGTCAAAATAATGATTATAAACTCCTGTGCCATTGATTAGTCGGATTAATTAGACTGCTGATGCGTCGATGACGCTTATCATAACTTCTGTGTTAATGAAGACCAAAGAAAAGTACGATCGCAGTAAAGCCGTAAAAGATATCGAGTGTTTTTTGATGGCAAAAGTGCAACCACATAAGCCTCTTGTTCTAACAGATCTTATTTACAAGACAAATGCGTTCCCCGTTGTTTAGGAGATCAAACAGCACAGCAGTCGTTTTTAAGAGAGCTGAAAGTGCAAGAAAAGTCCACAAAGGGGGGCTTTAGTGTTGTCAAACTTCTAATTTCGTATGCATCCTGATCGAGTACTTTGCGGCGAAACTAACTCGATCTGTTAAACTATGTAACGACGCTACAAGATTCTTGATCAAGAAATGGAGGGTATCCTTACCCAACAATGGTGCTCAGCGTTGGGTTACAAACAGGTAAGTTAACAGAATTCATGTTTGAAATTCCATAAAGCATTACTCGGAACAGCATTATTATAATCACGACTTAACTGTTTTGATTCGGTAACGGCCGTGAGAAACCAAAAGTCGCATTTTACATTGACATCCCTTTAAAAACGGACTAGGGTTTTTCACCTTGAATAAGGATTCTGCTTTAAATTTTGCACTCTTAAACATATTTATCGCAGCAGGATTAAGCTATATTAGATGCAGTTATTAAGAGCTAATAATGTCAGCATGCATCAAACAAACAGCGGCAAGTAACCCAACCATAATTTGACCATAATTTGACTTTAGCCGGTAAAGGAATCATTAATGGATCTGGACATTTTAGTTTTCTGAATGAAGTAATTCCTGAAAGGTTTTTCTAGTTGTCATGCAAAGAGGAAAAAATACCCATCTCTTTGTATTTCGGAGGTTGATTCATCTTTGAATTTCTGTGTCACGCTTGTCACGCAGCTGATATAATAAGATAGAGAAGATATGTAAACTGGAACTCAAATCTGGCTAGAATGTGGTAGAGCATAATTAACGTGAAACAGCTGATAAAATCATAAATAAACAAGGTAAGAGTGTTCTGTTAGATTTTTTTGCAAATTGTAGTGATTTATGTCAGTTAACGGTGGCGACAAGTAGGCGCACCATGTATATTTCATGGTCGCTAGCAAGTAAATTTTGCCGGACTTTGAGTTCGTCTCAAGATAGAACAATACCAATACACAAGGAAGTTTTTACAGTACCTTAATAACCATCCTTTTGTCTTTTAAAAGTTTGAAGCTCAGTAGATTCTGTCATATCGGTCAGTGTTAAAACTGTCTTTGTTTTGATGCTACTTTTCGGCATAGCAAAAGTATGTCGGACAAAAATATTCACCAAAAAGTAAATATTTCTTTGCCAGCTTCAATAATGAAAGGGGATCAAGTTTAGATGATAAAACAAAACATTATGTTGACAGAAATGCCGGAGGTCAAGTGGAATCGTTACATGAGGTCACACAACTCGGGTAATATTTAAGGTGAAAATTTCTATATTTGAGCGGTCGAACGAAAAAAGTCATTTCTCAAAAACTAAAATGTATTTTCACAAAAAAAACTACACCACAATTATTAGAACATATTGGGCTAAAACATATTAAAGTAGGAGTGAAACGAATTTTGGGTGACTTGCCACAATATTTCAAATTTGTTCGATGGATGCTGACATACTCTCTTAAAAATTTGTAACCTCATCGTCGTTATGCTAAATCTGGTAAAAAATGGAATAGTGTCTCCTTTTTGGTGAAAATCAGAGTAGCACGAAGTAAAGCCCCCGCCATGGAGAAAAAAAAACATTAAGAACGTGCTTGGCACCATTTAACATCACATCACCTTTATTTCACCTCGGACTTACAAGAGTAGCTGTATAACTAATTTCTCCGAGAAAGAAAAAAACAGAAAATAAATAAATAAAAATAAAATCGTATATTATATACAGTACATTAACTACTATCTACATAAATTACAATTGCATTGATGTTCGAAAGAAATTTGGCATATTTTGGTTCTGAACTCATTCAAGGACGTTAATGACCTTAGGTCCTCTGTTAGTTTGTTCCACATGTTTGCAGAAGTGTATCTGAAGGAAAGAAGACCATAAGTGGTTGTGTTAACGTATGAGATAACAAGTTTCCTTGATCCTCGTAATGTTGCTTTCAGTATTTGTCATTTGAAAAAGACCACGTATGTACTTCGGCATCGTTTCAAACTGAATTGCCTTAAAAACTGTTTTCATCATGTCTTGGCACCTGATACTATACAAATCACTAGAATTAAATTTGCTCAGTAGCTCCTGGAACGATACCGTTAGAGGCGACCAAAGAACCTGGCGGAAGTTTATCAAATGATCATCGTGAGATCACACTTAATTTCCTTGACAATTCTATTTAGGTCATAATCCATTCTTGAACTTCTTGTTTTATCTCAATTTCATCCAGTAGGTATGGAATAGGTTTAAGCATAGCTAATGATAAAAGGACTCGAGCTGGGAGGTTGTCCATGGTTTTATATTGAGGCTATCCTGCCTGAGTTCGTAAAGAGTCTGAAAGAATAAACAACGTATGGTTTCCTCAAGTAGACAAAATAACAGAGATGGAAACTTTTTGGTGCGTCATTTGAGTTCGTTCGGTGAGACCCCCTTTATCATATAGAGATTTATAAACGTTCCTTTCTCTTTTTAAAAGGTTTTAATGTTTTCTTTCTTCACTGGAAAATGCACAAAATCTTTGCAAGATGTATTGTTACGTATCAAATTAATTTCGCGAGGCATATGCAGTGAAAAGAAAATCGCTATGATGAAAACATCGACACAGATGCTTTTATAATCCTATACATTCGTAAGAAGCAGAGGAGAGAAAAACATATTTTTTCATCAATTATTTAACTGAATGCTTTTTAACTTTTGACCTTTAACTGAATTTTTAAAGTTGAAGTACTTTACCGAGCTCACTTTTGGATTCCTTATATTTGCAAAGCTAAGCAGTTGACTTAAAAAGTACGACGAAACAAAATTTGCTTGCGACAAAATGTCGTTTTTCAAATCTTACAACTGTGAAACCTTTTAAAATGGAAAACGCAGCTACATATAGGGATGGTAATTTCTAAAAAGGTTGTTTTGTTAGCTGCACAGCCTTATTGAACAGAGAAAGTGTGGCTTGATAGAATAGGAAATGAATTTATGAATATGTAATAATTTTCCTCAAACGACTCTGAATTGCGTTGACATTTTCAGAAACTATCAGCGAAAAGCAAGAAATTGTATTTAAAAAAGAGAATTTTATGAATTTCAGGAGAGGGTTATTATGGTGCTCAATTATTTATAACTCTAAACGGATCTGGCGGTAAATTTCGTGAATTATCCACTCATTTAGCTACCTCTTATTCAAAAACCCTTTTTAATTTCCAACTTTGAAATCACTAAACGAATAAACAAGTATTTAAATAAATATACAAATGAATGAAGTAGTAAATAAATTTAACTTTTTTGTTTGTGGCGATTTAAACGCCGCTATGATCGCTGCATGAAAACTTTAAAGTCCTCGTGAGTTTTGATCCACTGAGTACTTTCAAATTGTCAGTGCTACGCGGAGAATTTCGAGAACAATGTCGCTACGAGAAGCAATGCGTGGGAAAGAGATAATAGACGAACATATGCCCAGCATGTCAATAGAAATTACAGGCTCCTCGATCATAAGTTCTGATCTTAATTTTAGAAGCGATCGCTAACTGCGAAGGAAATTACTTCGGTAGCTTAATAATCCCTTTGTAAAGGTGAAGTATTTTTCCCGTTTTTTATTAGCTTTACTGTATATTTTTTCAGTGTTTACAGTTTGTGACCTTACGACTTTCAGATGAATTAACCAAAGGCAATAGTGACAAAATTGAACTCGTTTGGCTTATTAATATTTACAAGTACGAAAGCCTTTGGCAAAAAGCGAGAAAGGTCTCAGGTCTGGTGTTTCAGTGGGGAACAAGTTTAAGGTACCAAGTGGTATGTTTATGTTAAATCTTGCCAGCAAAACTGGCCCTCAGCTGATAAATTGCAACTTTACTTCTTAGTTATCTTTATTTCCTTTACGGGATCTGGAGACTGAAAGTTAAATGTGCGGGTAGATACGTATATTAACGAATCATACTGTATTTAAAAGCTCGAACTTGGATGTCTAAATAGTCATTAATTACCTCGAAGTTAAAAACAATATTTTAAAGTAAACCTCAAATGTCGATTGATTAAAGGGACGAGATCCAAACTCCGACACCTTCAATAGAAATGCAGGATTTTAAGACCCCTTGAAAAGGCTGAACAAGATTTTGAGATAAGATAAAAAATTATGTGAGACTCCGCGATTCGTGAGGGCCATAATGACGTATTACGTTGGTGTTGGCGAATCGGTTGCCTGTGGGAGTGGGTGTGCAGAGTCTCACCGGTACACTCATAGAAAGCGATTGAAAGCCAACTTTGCCAGTGTTCAAGGGAACAAGGTTAAGGTTGATACAGTCAAAACCTGTATTAAGCGGACATCCACGGGGAATGACCGCTTCATACAGGTTCCACAGAATAAAGAAATTACAAAGGAACGATAAAAAAAACGTGATTTTATTCCATAATCGACCACTTAATGTACGAAATGCGTCAACAATACTACCATCATGGATAAAGACCACTGAGCAGAGGTGACCGCTTAAGAGAGGTGAAAAGTACAGTACTTCAGTTGTAAAAAATTCGGAACGTTGCCGCTCTGTACAGGTACGAATGCGATGAAAAAGAAGGTTAATCTTTCTATCGTGATACGGGCGTATGTTTTCGTCAAGGAAATGATTATCGAGTGATATGAATTATATTGTAATGGTGATCAGTTAGCTTGCATACACTGTCGAATGTGTATGAGTCTACTTTTAAATTTTGGATATAATTAAATTAGCGAGGGAGCCAATAACAGTAGTTTTTGCAATTGTGTGGGCACAATTCCATCTGCATGGACGATCAAAAGACATAGTCTTAATAGGGAAGGATAAAATTAACTAAATGACCATCGGAACCTTTATCAATTATCCAATCATAATTCTGGTGCATGCCTGAAGAGCAAACATTCACATGTGGGATGCGGCTGTGATGATAAAATGATTTCGTGATTTAAGTTGAAAGGGTGCGCTGTAAAAAAAATTAGTAACACTTGCTGGTTTCTCTAATCTTTTTTCTCTTCTTTCTATCTCTTTTTTTTCAAGCGCGCCTTTTAGTCAACATTTCTACAAATTGGTATAAAGTACTATATTTCGAATCTGAATTTTTGTTGACATGAATGAACGTGTGGGATCTTTAAAAGCTTGGATGATGTCTTGTTGTTGTTGTTGTTTTTCCTCGGTATAAGCAAAACGATAATTAAAAATAATTGTAAAATCAGGCAAAGAAGCGGTTGATAATTAATTGGTTAGGATGCTGTGGAACTGTTGTGTTACAATGGCCGTTTTTATGCTAGAGACGTTAAAGTTGTCTAAGACGTTAAAGTCGTCTCTCCAATAACTGCGGTAGCATTCTTGCCTTGGCGCTTGGAAAAACATAATTACTGCAATAGAAGTACTCCCGCTGAAACTAAAACAGGTACACACGGTATGCAAATCGGTTACCTACTGATTTTGCTTCAAATGTTTTTATTTTTTGGTTATGTTTGATGTTTCCCGCCAAGAGCACCATTCAAAGAATGAACTTTCGATAAGACAGCGAAGAGATATGAGTAAATAAGCGTTGCAATTATGACATCAGAGATTTGAAAGCAGAAATTAAAATGATTGCTCCGTTGAGGCCGAGGCGATAATTAAGATTTATTTCAGCTAGATTTCTAGCATGATATCTTTAAACTCGGGATCTCATGTAAAGAGAGTCAATTATTCATGTTATTTTATTGAATTGAGCAAAACATCTCTCTCAAAGAGAGTATCCAAACAGAAGAAATTTCTGGTCTGAGGTTCCTTTGTGTCTTTCATCCTCCCTGTCTTTTACCAAGAATTTAATTTTAAAATACTAAGATGATTCAACTTTAAATTGCTATTGTGTGCTTAAACCAAGTAATGTGTTGATTTGTCTACTAACACAACGTGCAAATTTTCCTTTACATCAATAATTCATCGCTGTTATTGTACTCAGAGAACTCGCTTTCTCATTGGCCTTGGTATTTTTATTTACCCTACGTACGACAGTATTTTATTAATAGTGATTTCTTCACAATTATAGAATTAGAAGCCCCTCGAAAATTTTTTAACAAAAATACTACAATTTGTCAACCTCTAAATCGTTTTTGTCAATATTTTAGGTCACAATGGGAATCCTTAGAAAACTCTCTCTGGTGGCTCTTCTCTGTGAATTTCTCTACATGGCTGGAGCCAGGTAGGTTATTCGTTTGAATTTAGCACATTTATTTTGACGATTTTTCCAAAAAAAAATTCTTTCAAAGAATACGCTACAGCAGTCTTTCAGATATATTGTTCCATGTAAAGTCATTCTCGCAAAACCAAGACGAGTTCTCATAAACGAGGTTTATCGGTTGGTGTGTTTATCATTTGCTCGTGTAACGCCAAGGTGGTCAAGATAAATACGGATAGCTCTGTGGTGATACATCAAAAAGGGTATTCTCACTCATGGCCCGAAATTTTTGTTTTTACGTTTAGCTTGACTGTAATTTTCATCATCGAGAAAGCCGGAGTACTTAATATTTACCTCTAATTTGATTTAAATTTTGAACATGTGGCTCATTTGTTTGGTCTGAAGTAGACTTTGAATGGTATGAAAAAAATTGTGTCCCTCATTTGAATCTGGTATGGTGACCTCTTAGTACACGGAATCTACCGAAATACGGTCTTCGCAATAATCGAGATTATAATGCATCTTGTTTGCCCCTTTTTATTAAGTATAAAATTTTCAAACACCTGCTTCACCATATTGTTCCAGAATCGAATCTAACTGCAGAATATGCGGAGTAGTTGCACTGAGAAAGTCCTTAGTTAATCGACTGTAGCAGTGTATCGTTCTCGTTTATTGCGTTAAGGCTCACAAAGAAACTCCTCTATTGTAGTTGCTTACGCACCAAACGCTTTTGATAAGTACAATTTTGATTTTATAAGGACTGAATTCACTCGTATTTTTATTATTCATATCCTCGTATCTTAAGTTTGGAATTTCAGCTATCACTAATCATTGCTCTGAACAGATGATTTGTTTTTATCAAAGACGAAGGGCTAACGCTCGAAACGTCAGCTTATTAACTCTTCAAGGAGGCCAATTCACGTTATCAACTCAGTTGATGAAACCAAACTATCTTATTCAACATATACTCCCCGCAGACGCAGCACCACAGTTTCCTCAGAAACTTTTCCTCTTTTATCCATTGCTCTGAAGACACTAAGAATGTTTTTTTCACGATAACAATTTTCCGTTAGAATCTTTACGATGTCAGGCTCCGGTTCTGTGGAGGTTAAAGACACCCAAACCAACCAATGAAACAGGACGGACAAGTGCGTGGGCATGATATACAGAACTATGTGTGAATTGTTTTTTTTATCAACTATTGTGGTCACCTGTGATCTATAGCTAAACAGTACAGACAGAAATTAGCTCTTTGGAAATTGTCCCAAAACCGCAAACCTCGCTGATATTACTTCTCTTCAACAGCAGTTCAAGAAACAAGACCGTGTCTGAAATTCTTGACAGACTATTAATGAAGGGAAACTACGACTCGCGGTTAAGACCCCATTATAACGGTAAGTATATTTGATAGCGTTCCTCCTCTTCTCGTTTCGTAGATAGATATTCTGATTATTATAAAAAGAAGTATATTAAACTTTACCGCTTAAATCTATTAGAATCCTTCCCTGAGGAACAGTTTGTAATGAGCCAGCTTCCCCTGTGGATAGAGTCGACAGCCTAATTGATTAATGAAATAATTGATTGACAGGTGGGCCTGTAGATGTGACTGTAGGCTTCTGGGTTCTTTCAATTGATGCAATTAATGTGATGGATATGGTAAGTTATCAACCGTAAATAAGTGTTCTCATTGCCTTATGTCGTGGTTGACAGCCAGGACATATTTGAATACATAGATTACACAAGGAAAGTTCTGCAGTACGATAGCGCAAAGGAATCCTTTATGACCTGCCTTAATTTATTTTGTATAAGTAGGCGAAACCTGTATGAGCTACATCAGGAGCACTAAAGGTGAATGCTACTGGCTTCAAGTATCCATTTACAACATTTCCTTTACTTATCATCTATATGATACGCAATTCTCTCTGGTAGGGCGAACTAAGAGCCTTCTTTGGCTTTTGATTTCTAAACAGGACTTTTCGCTGGACATCTTTTTGCGTCAAGCGTGGCGAGACGAGCGACTTGACCACGGCCTCAATCAAACCATGTTTCTTAGCAACTTTGTGTTAGACCGTATCTGGATGCCAGACTCGTATTTTGTGAACGCCAAGCAAGGCTCTTTCCATAAAGTCACCACGGACAATGTGATGATTATGATCAAACCAGGAGGGATGGTTTACTACAACGCTAGGTAATAGTCACGTGGTGACCAAGCTGAGAGGAATGTTTAGCCATAAGAATGGTCAAAAGAATGATCTTTATTGCGGAGGGAGGGGCGGGGAATAAAAACCTGAGTAAGGATTGTGACCCCAGCTGAGCCTGCAGTAAGATGCTCCATGAAGTAAGCAGCACAGAAATTGTCAGCGATCGAAGACACAAGCAATGTTGAAAATGTTTGTGGGTGTTAGACGTAGTTGTAGTTTAGAGTTCAAAAAAAGGCAGTATTTTGGCTGACTTTATTTATCTTTGCAGGCTGACGATAAAAGCAGCCTGTCCTATGGATCTAAGAAAATTTCCCATGGATACTCAACATTGCCCGTTAACAATTGAGAGTTGTAAGTCTGGTTTTGGAAATCCTTGTATACTTAAATAGCAACGACAGTAACTATCCAAAACTAACAAACCTGCGAAACAGAACAAACAAAGTGATCCCCATTGTTGAGAAGACAGCGTAGCTTACTTTGTAGAGAGCGCCGGGGTGGAAGATTATAGGAGGGAGAAGAGAAGAAGGAGCCATGAGAAGGGTGTTGGGAAGATGAAGATGAGCAGAAGAATGAACAGGGAGTGGGAAAGGGGGAGAAGAAGCAGAGGGAGGACAGAGAAGGAGAAGTGGGAGGACAGAGAAGGAGAAGTGGGAGGACAGAGAAGGAGAAGAGGGAGGGCAGAGAAGGAGAAGTGGGAGGACAGAGAAGGAGAAGAGGGAGAACAGAGAATGAGAAGTGGGAGGACAGAGAAGGAGAAGTGAAAGGAGAAAGATGCAAAGTGGAATAAGGTGGAGGAGTTGGGGCAAAAGGGGTAGGCAGTGAACAGTGGAGATTTTCTAAATCTTATCGCTGTCAAAATTGATAGTGGAGCCATTAACTTGTGGAAGCACTCAATTCTTGTGACTGGAGTTGGCAGCGCCACTTGTATGTCAATAATCACTTTTTCTTCTTCCTAAATTTTTCTTAGTAACGATTACAAGTGAGAGGCTTTATGGCAATCAAGAAAGAAATATCAGCAACACCTCAATGATTATAAGAATGATTGGGAGAAAACAATGTTCTCATGTTCTTGATGCTGATATGCTTTTATCGATAGATGGCTATAGTGCTGACCACATCAGATTCAGATGGGAGAATGAACTCACAGATGGAATGTCATTTGTGCCCGGAAGCACCAAAATGCTGCCTCAATACCGATTAACTCAGCTCAGTCTGGAAAAGACCTACAACAAATACGTAGTCGGTGAGTGTGACTAGATAGGATTTTAGTCAAAGTTAATTTATAAAGGTGGCAACATTTTCAAACAGTATCTACTTCGTCGATACAATTTCAGATTATAACATTGGAAAGCAAAAGGTATAAAGCTCTAGGGTTGCAATTAATTATTGAAACAAGCTGGGCACATGATTTCACTTGTCTTGCGCACTGAAATATGTCTCGTCTTCCTGTGTCCCTTCTTGATTACACTTCAGCGCGTAAAGTGTTGTCGGCCTTTCGCATCCGTAGCAACGACTTGTCTGGAGATGAGGCCTTTATAATAGGGACAGGGAATAGGAAATGACGTCAATGATTTCTCGCTGAGCCACCTAATAAATCGTTAGGAAAAACATGGAAAGGGCTTACCAGTCAGAAAATAATTTTAACCTACTTCTGTCGCAGATGGCTGAAAAGTAATCTTTATCATTTTTTTTAGCTCAAAACACGACCCCTAACAAGTATCCCAACTATACATTACCATTCGTCAGAACCCAAAAGATGTTTCTAAACAAAACGTACAGGAAGTAAAGAAAGACGTACAGCTCCCGTTTTAAAAGTTTAGATCAAAATATTTAAGTTTTAATTTCTCCCCAGGAAAGACAATTCTCTTTTTTTTATCCCCACCAGGTAACTGGTCGGGTATAAAGGCAACATTTACGTTTGAACGAATGTCAAGTTACTTTGTAATCCACGTGTATGGCCCATGTGCATTGATCGTTATCATTTCTTGGATCACTTTCGTGCTGCCCCGCAGTTCTCCTCCTGCGCGCGTCACACTGGGAGTTACTTCTGTCCTAACCGTTGTTACCATTCTTAATTTGCTCAACAATTCCATGCCAAAGGTAAAATATGAACGATCCTTGATAAATCTAACTAACTCGAATAAGCGAGTAAAGTTCTAATATCTGTCGTCCAAATCCATTATACGAAGTGAAACATGCTATTTCCTAACGGTATCTGTAAACAAACTTAACTTTCCTTTTTCCCGCGGACTTACGGTCTCAAAAATAGTTTTAGTTACAGTGGTGAAATGCTCTGGAACAGTCTACTACTGTAACATTAGAAAGACAGAATCGCTAAGTCAATTTAAGCATTTACTCCATCTCAAATTTATATATGAGATACACGGCATCCATAGAAAACAAGCTTTAGTTGGTGAATTAAGTAGAAATATATGCACCGAAGTAAGTAATTTGTTTAGTTAAGATAACGCTCTTGGCTTTGACTGTTCACGAGTGTATCGGACGTGAGAGTGAAGCTAAATAAATGCTTTGCCAGACTTGACTTTTGCTTTTAGTTTTCATTGCAAGGCATTACATTCAAAGGAAGGATGTCTAATATCTTGAAGATGGTAGATTTTTCGTCAATGTAGCTCGTCATTAATGTCTTCCTTTGCTATTCTCTATACAGGTGAACTATGTCAAAACCATCGACAAATACCTGATTGGATGTTTCCTTTTCGTTTTCGCAAGTTTGATAGAATATTCACTGGTGCTGTTTCTGGCAAGAAGAATGAAAAAATATAAAGAATCCGACAATCACCAGAAGAACAATGACAAAAACATTGCAAAATGCTCTTGCAGTAACAGAGCAATCAGTAATGGGAATGTCGCCGTTTCTAGGGTAAGAAACACTCCAGTCTTTCTAATGGAATGGAGATCGAATCTCTTTGCTATCCACGTTCCTTACTCAGTCGTTTCTTCGAGGTACGAATCAAGCCCAAGCGTGATTATACCTTCTTAACTAGTTACAGAAGAAACGAAAATATGGACTTGTCGCAGAAAGTAGTGAATGTAGCTCCCAGTGTTGTGGTCTAACCTTATTTCCAAAACTTCGGGGCGCCTGCAAATTTCCTTTGAAATTGTAAACTGCTCAATGCTGTCTTATCAAGTTCTCCTTAAGTTGTTGTAAAGTGCATTAGAGTAAATTTGTAATGGCAACAGGACTGAATGGAATCCAACTTGGAATGTAATCATTCGGGTGATTTTTCAATCCCGAGTATGATGATAGACCGAGTTGATCACCACTAAGTCCTGTTATCAATATTATTAATTACACCATTACAACTTCCAAATGAGAAAATCCATCTAATTCAGAAAATATCTCGTGTAAAAAATTACTTGATTTTGGAAATTCCCTAGTTTTTGCGATTGATGGACTTAGCTGAGTGGACTTAGTATGATTTAGCCACTTCTAATTGTCTGATTACAGGTGTCCGATTACAGCCGACTGTCTGATTCCACTGTCCGATTGCATCTCTGCAGAATAATTAATGAAAAATAAAGCAGCTAATGTACCAATCACATTTGAGGAAATTGTAACAGCTATGATTAGTAAAGATAAAGCATGCTTGATGTAGAGGCCTTGTGATCGAACAAGGCAGAAAGAACTGAAATAACTTTTAAGTGCGGATTTGGATGTCCTTAACGCACAAGTCAAACTTGATCCTCTGTTCATGTACACTTTTAAATTAAGCAAAACAAATCATCAATTATTCGGCATTATCTATTGCGCTTGAGCGAATTCTTACTTAAAATGTGGAAAAGGAACATTTGCAATATCTTATAAATTATAAAATCCTACATATTTGAAACTAAGACGTTCATTACCATCGTTTACAACCTCCCTTAGTTGCCATTCTTGTTTCTTTTTGTTCATCACACAGAGATATAAGCAAGACAAGATCTGCAGCCCGCAGCTGGAGATGGTTGAATTTGCAAAAATGGAGCAAGAGCTGATGATAAGTGATCCTTCTGCAGATAAAAGTGTTGAAAACAAATGGCTGAGCCTCGAGAAATGGAGAAAGAATTTGTACACAGAGGCCAGTGTTCTGGCAGTGGACGAAATTTCACTTGTATTATTTCCAGTCAGTTTCGGTATTTTTAACCTCATATACTGGACTTCTATCGCCAAAGATACAGTATTGTAAAGGCTTTGGCTGTTCAAAGCCTTCTTTCCCTTTCGATTCGCCTCGTTAGTTTTTCCTCTTAGAGAAGTGTTTGATCGAAAAGAAAGATAAACAAGCGAACAAGCAATCCAGCACAGAGGCGTACTGACACGTAAAAACAGAGCTTACATCGGTTTCGTGGCATGAAGCGACAAAGCGTTGTAACAACTATCCCCTGATAGGAAGTTAGTTCGTTACATGTTGCCTCCAACATTTGATCACTTTTCTTGCTTGACTCTCCACATCCCTGAGTGGAGAAATGGATGTGTCTCTACCTAAGGATAATCCTTCCCCTACGTCTCATCGTGCGTGGGTGTTTATAAGTAACTAAATCGAACTGCCAAATGTTGAGCTAAGAATCCATTCATATTAAATAATCATATTCATTCCGTTTGCCCAGGAGGACGGAGTTTCAGCAAAGATTTGCTTTAATCTCTTATTAGAAACATAAATTTATTCTTTAGTAGGGGATCCTAAAAGGAAAAAAGCGATGAAATAATGAAGACTGTTTAGATATGATCATGGGTAAATAAATGATGGTTTGGTGATGTTAAAGCCAAATAACTAGTTCTGATAAATATCCAGCCTGGGGCTTTTTTGGTACAAGGTACGACCACTCTCAACACTGACAAGCTGAAGGCAAACACTTACTCCTGGGGTCGTATCCACAACAAAGAAAACACAACGTCGATAAACATCAACAAAATCCACATAAATTGTGTATAAAAGTTGTTTACATTATTACTTAGCGTTTTGATCGAGATAGTAGTAAAATATAAGTTGTTTTTCCTTTAACCTTACAAATAAAGGAGAATAAAGTAAAGTTGTTTATGTTTGTCAATACACTTTGGGACTTGACATGGTATTTTCATATTAAAGACTCCCTTGGTAAAGCCATAAAAGACTGACCCCTGCTTTCTCTAACCTAAATTCCGTTAGTAGCAAATGCTTGCCGTTAGAATCAAAGATAACGGCATATCTAGATCTATGGGATACAATACACAGCGTAGATTTAACATGTTGTCATGTTATGCTACAGGCTCTATTTGAGCTAACAAATTTTCGCTTTGCATACTTAATTTTCCTTTCACAACCATGATCATTGACCAATTTTCTCCCAACTGAGAATATGTTGACCGGCCCTAATATAAAAAGGAGCAGTTGCTACACTTTCTCTTTTCTGCACATGCCTAAGACATGTTAAGAATATCTAAGGATGATAAACTGATTATCATCAAGGACTTTGTCGGAGGTTCAATTGCATTTACGGTTTACTTCCTTCATCTTCGTTTGACACAAGTACGAATTTGTAGCATTATCAATGATTTTCACTTCTTTTTCCTATCTTAAGATAGAAAAAAATAAATCAACTACTTCAATATTCAAAGAATGAAAATGTCTTCACGTGATCACGCACTAAAAGGTAAGGGTAAGGGAGCACAAACTCAGTTCACGCTAACTCTTTCGAGGTTCACTTTAATGTGGTTGCAAATTTCCCTCTTCTTGGCTTTGACTGGTACATCGCGGGTGTGCTTGGTTGTGTTTGTTTTCATAAGATGTTGTTATAAGATGAATTCTTTGGGAAAATATGTAAAATGAGATAACACTTTCCACCTGCTGCGAGTAATTTAATGTGGTTTTAATCAACCACTTTTAATGTTTACGACAAGGACACTAGGACAATCGAAGACTCATTACGAAAATAGGAGAATATTTAATCGAATTATCTCATTTCGTGAGTTTTTTTTTCTAGGGGACCGAATAAACCCAGAAAAAAAAAAGAAAAAGTAAAAGAAAGAAAACTCAAGTGGAACCCTGCATGTTTTTTTCAAAGGCCTCGAAATATTTTGCAAATTTAGGTCTCTAGTACCATGAATAATTGATTAATTTTGTGAAGTACAAACGCTTCAATATAATGCATCTTGTGAGCGATTGACAAACGTTTGTAAATGAGGTAGCAGTGAAATAACGGTCTTTCCATTGTGTTATTTATCGCTTGCTGTGTGTATCAATTACACAGCATTGTCAGGGTTCGTAAATTTAATGGATTTGTTTACTTTTTGCTGACTTCACCGACAACGGGGCGTTGATTTGTCTACGGTACGTCTTCTCATACTTTCCATTTCATTAATAATGGACCTTAGAAAACTAATCACAAGCAACGCTTATTTCTTATTGGCCTTGTTAATTTTTTCCAATCTATATTTAATTCTGTTTTGCTTCAAAGTGAAGTCCTGGGACTAAAAATTTTAAATCGACACACGGATGATTTACACTGCTGTCAAACTCCACGAAAAACAAAGACCGGAACAATGAAACATCGAAGTAGTTTCACTTTAAGATTTATATTCCTTGGATTTCTTTGCATCGAAAGCGCCAGGTGGGTCACGTAATAATGTTTAATCCAACACGTTTAAATTTACGAATAACTTGCTTAACACGTCCGCTGCTCGGCGCCAACGGCATTACAACTTGGTGTGTGTATTACGCGTGGACTTGATTCAATTAATTGCAATTCGCCGTCTTTCCTACTTACATCTGTTACTTTTCTATTATAATTTGTTAGTCAGCCTCGCTTTTATCCTAGTGTGGCGGTACATAATCAGTACACACCAGCCGAGCGGATAAAGAAACACTGAGAGACAACAGGCGATAAAACATTATACCAAACAGGAAGCAAGCCATTTTGAGCTGAATATTAGTCATAACTTACAACGAAAAAAAGGCGTTCCAAAAACACAGTTTAGGGAAAGAGCTGTTACAATTATCTTTCACCTATTGTTCCAGAATTAGCGTTTACAATGTCCACATGATCTTGCCGCGAGTAGTTTCACGCTGGCATACAGAACAGAAGAGGAGACAGAGAGAGGAGTGGGGATGTGTGAGGAAGAAAGTATACAGAAAACTAACAAAAAGACTGGCATATGATTTTATTGCCGATTCTGAGGGGCAAGAGCAACGTGGAATCGAATGAAGGAATGTAAATGAAAATTTTAGTTTTACTTCGGAATCAAAATACTTTCCTATGCGTCCTTCGCTAAAATGGAATGTGAAATTGGAAATATACATTAATATAGATCTAGGTTTTCTCACTAATTGATGGATGAAAAGGGTGATCCAAAATCTATGAGGATAGAGCTAGAATCACGGCGCGGCACTAAGCCTTTGATGCAAAGCTTTAACGTTGAATGAAAAACGAGGTCTGATGCTAAGATACCAGAGTCTGTATTCAAAGGTGTGTTATCTTATCAATGCACCAGCGCTTCTCTCTTAAACATTTTGAGAGGAAAACTTTCCTCCTAGATTTCCCTTTGATCCATGCCGAGAACATTTAAGGCAATCATATAAATTTTTAGCATTTGTTCTTCCATATTTTTTCTTAAAGTTTAACAAAGATCTGGTGACGCTCAACTATTGCCGAGATCGCTTGCGAAAGATTACAATAAGTAGTGCGTGTAACTAAGCACAAGTTGAAGTATCACTTGGGAAACAGGTTTTAGAGTAAAGTAGAAAATCTTGATAACGATCACCTTATTGAAATGGATTACTTACAGACGAAGCCATGATTGAAAGATTATAAGACCAAACAAGAGATTAGGATCAGGAGCAATTTTCGCCCGTCTATGGTAGACATAATTTTTTTTTTTAAAACGCTCTTTCCCTTTAGTCTATAGATTTGATGTGCCTGTTGTCATTCATTACCGTTCACTCCGAGATCGACACTATTTAAAAGCTGGACTCGATATTGCCTCAAAAATACTGCAAAAGTGCAGTTATGGGTTATACAAAATTTCATTTTCCATAAGAAACACACAGCGGGAAATTTGTATTTTCTTGTATTCGTAGACAGAGATTTTTATCGTAGAAAGCGGTACCTTTGTGCATAGAGTTTTGCTTGATTGTTTTGCTATTCATTGCTGAAGAATAAATATGGAGGCTTGTCAAGATATGTGGACTGATAAGGATTAACTAGACTGGTGTTGACTGAGAAAGAAGTGCGATTGGAGGAATTACATAGATTGGAGTGGAATTACTGTATCTAGCTACAGTTTAGGCTTAAACATGGCATTTGTGTCTTTTTTTGGAAGACATAGTAATAATTTGATCACTAAATTGTTACTCTCTGTTTTGTCTTTCGAAACTACAGTGCAAGTAACAAGACTGTTTCTCAAATTCTCGACAAACTATTGATGAAGGGGCACTATGATTTGAGGCTAAGACCCAATTATGATGGTAAGTTTCTTATACAAGTCACTGTCCTCAACTCAGTTCCCTCAGAATAACGAAGCAATCAAGATTGACACTAAAGGATGATCTTTCTTTAAATCTTAATTAATGTCTGGCCCCGGTCTTTCAAAGTGTGAACAACACCGTCTATTGGATAAGTCTCTACCCTTTAGATAGCGCAGTGTTTTGCTAATACTTACCTGTTGGATGTCGATTTTTCCTTTGGATCGTGTTAACCACCCTTTGTACAACTGAGCTCTGGCTAAAATAGATTCGGGTGGGGCAGTTTCGCCAGTTCCATTTTTGTCAAAAACATTGGAAACTTGTCGCATGTACTATATATCATACCGTGTTCATTTTTCTGTTTTTCAGCACTAAAGGTTTTATTTACTTTTTGTAGGATTGGACACCGTCATACCGCATGAAAATATTCATGATGAAGAGAGAATAGTTTTTCGTCTTGTCACAAGCGTGAGGCAAAGAAAAAATTCTGAGTCCTTTGAGGAACCGAACCTTAGACCTTCGGATTCCGCGCTTCGATGCTCTATGTCGAATCGATACTCCGATGTCTCACGCTCTCACGCTCGTGACAAGACGAAAAACATCTCTCTCTATTTATTTTCCGAGCTCAAAACTTAACATCTCTCTTATTTCTATCTACAAACATTACGCTATCGACATTACTGATACTAGCAGTATGGAGGACGCGTGTCAAATGAACTTCGTAATAGACCTCGCTCACCATGGAGTCTCTGTGGCTCAGTGGTAGAGCATCGGAACGCGGAATCCGAAGGTCTGAGGTTCTGTTCCTCATGGGGACTCAGAATTTTTTCTTTGTTTCGCGCTCGTGACAAGACGAAAAACATCTCTCTATTTCTTTATCGAGCTCAAAACTTACCATCCCTCCAATTTCTATGCACGTTAACGTCTTGTATGTGAAGACAAGTATCTTAACAACTGACTGTCAAGAGGGTTCACTAAGTGATTAATTGACTGTCAGAATAATTAATTGATTCTCTGGCTTTACTATGGTGGTAACCTCTATGAATTGAAAAAGACCTTTTTGAGTTACTGACCGAATCTTTGCTTTACTGAATCACTGATTGATTTTTCGAATTTACGCGAGATTGAATAACTCAATGACTGACTGATTGATTGTCGATTGATTGACAGGTGGTCCAGTGGATGTTACAGTTGGTTTCTGGGTTCTTTCCATCGATACCATTAATGTGATTGATATGGTGAGTAATGAAACGTAAAAGTCTAGGGAAGGAGCGATTAGTCACCCCTTACATTCAAATAATGAAAATACACCACATACTTTATCTTTCAAACACTCATTTATTAGGTTCTAGATATTGTTTATGTAAAAACCTTTTACGCTACCTGATTTTACAGTTATTACGAATCTTAATTGTGGTATAAAACAAACAAACTTTAAAACATCATGTGAAAGAATATAACATACATACATATTTAACATTAATTCAACCATTTTCTAAAATAGATCTCTTCCCTAAATCAGTATACTTCTTAACAGTGCAAGCATTGCAAGAAATTACACTCAAGAGACACTTGTGAGTAAAGCTTCCCTTTTCAATGACTTAGCAAATGCGGTAATGTAAAGCAGCTTATAATTAAGACTGATTTAAAGTACAGAAAATTATCAAAATAAGACAGAGGCAACAAATGGTCCAGTTCCTGCACAAGAATATAGATCTTGTTTGATTTGTGCATATGAAAAACAAAGAGCCTTAGAGCAGTAAAGAGTATTCTTCCAGTGGATTTGAGAATACATGCACTCATATTGCTACTTTAGATATTATCAAAATATAAACTATCAGCAAGTACTACCGCAGGTATTTGCCAAGTCATTGAAAATAGAGGAAACAGTGACAAGAGTCTGCCTGTGCCCAATTTCAAGCAATGCTTGCTCTAAAAAAAGTCAAAATTGCCTTTGACCGATTGTAAGAAAATATAAATGAGCCAAGTAACCCAATGAGAGCATCAAGAATCTTTTCTTGTGAGAAGTGACAAAATTACACTTCCCTCTGTTACTATATTCAGGTGATCGATGTATTGAAGATCTCCAACAATTAAAATTTGTGCTGGACATAATCTCTGATTGCTGAATCAACATCAGCTACTCTATGCAATAAAAACCAGTTTTACAACCACATTAAAATCAAGCCAAAGTACAAAAAGTGCCTGTAGCCAGAAAAAAAAAAAAGAATATATATATACACACTTAAGTTAAAGAATTAAAGAGGACGCATCAATTCTCTGTGACTGAGTTTTGTGCCTAAGGGCTTGTCAGACAGAAAAGTTCTGTCTGACAAGTGCTTAAATGCGAAATTCAGAGTCACATAGAACTGATGTGTCCTCTTTAATTCTTTAACTTATGTATACTTAGCTCTGCTACCACAGCATTGAGCACTTTATGCCAAGGTAGACTCTACCCCCACATTTACATATATATATATATTGTTTTTCTAAAACTACAAGCTAAAACACCAGAAATGGAAGTGGAAGTTTAGCTCAATGTGTGTAATTTGTCTCCCATTAAAGACTTGAAAAACTAATGTATGACTCCCAAAATATCTGAAAAAATCAGCTATTCTATGTCCAATATTTATCTAATGGTTTGACAACAGGAATATTTTAAAAAATTGCAAAATCAAAAAATCTAAACAAAAAGGCAAAATTAATACAACCCCAAAGTACTTGAACCTTTGTATCTGGACTTCATTGGCAAATGGGCTCAGAAATTTTAGCTGTTCATCTTAGTACCAAAGTAGCAGTTTTTTGGACTTGTACCTCCAAAATGGTCACAACTTCATTAAATGCATGTGATGACAAACACACAAGAACAAAGGTCATGAACTTAAAAGGTGAGAGTGATTATTTTGCAACTTTTTAGTTTAAGTCAAGAGATTCAGCACCACAAAATTGTCTCTCTTCACTGCAAGCAGAAGAGGTGAAGCAATAGATTTTTAGACCATACCAATCCATTCAGTTTCCAAGTCAACTTAGTCTAGTATCCTGCTAACCATACAAGGCTACTCTGCAATAATTTTTTTTTGCAATCCACTGTTTCTCAGAGTACTTTAGGCTGCTGATGAGATATCCCTTCTTGGTATCCAACTCTACTGAGGCAGAGAACTGTACAAAAAAACAAACAAATGAGCAAATTAATTTGTTGTTGGAGAACAGTAAATTTTTGCAACTACAAAGTTGCAAAATATTTGTAAGCAAACTGTGCATAAGAAGTAAAAACACAATAATGGTGATCATCAATGATGTATTTTCACCAAACTGTATATGTACTTATCAAGAAAAGAAATCATACCTCTATGCACTTCAGTTTTAGTTCAGTATTCATGAATAAATAAGGATTGCTTGTAGACTTAAAAAACAAAACAAAGAAAAGTTTCTTACCCTCGATGGTAGTTGGAATTTTGAAAGCCATTCAGGAGGAACCTGTAGGTAAATATTTGTTTTCAAAAAAATTAAACTGTCTGATAACATCCTATCAATTCACTAATTTTTTAATTTACCTGATTTAAAAATTGGGTTTACTTTGTTTTATGCATGGTGCAAGTAAATACATATCTAATATATTTCAATAAAAATAAAGCAAATCTCGCCATTTTTGTAGGTGCAATCCCCGAGATTTGTCATCTTTAACTGACCAACTGGCACCTTGTGTGTTTTCCTTTAGGATATAATCGAAAGAAAGTAATCGATAATGTACTCTTCACCATCCTGCTAAGTTTAATATACAAGAACTTACTTAGACAGTGCTCAGTTCTGTCGCCTCGTCCGTAAAACAGAGATCCTTGGGCGATTTACCCTTTTCTTTCGGTGCCAATGTCACCTCTAAATTTTCATAATCGCTGATGTTATCTGAATCATCAATCGACGTTTGAACCGTCTTACTCGAAGGACTTGATTCTGCACGCTGAAAGAGTGAGAGCCAAAAAATCAGCTTAAGTGGATGCAAACAAAGACATAGACATAAAAATATCAGTTCATCTTTTCAAGAAAAAGATTAAGAATTCAGAGTGAGAGATCCTAAAATCAGAGAATCTTGAAATAAGTTAAATCCATCTTGTGCAAATGCAGTATTCGAACTGTAACCGTCTCTATCTCTCGGCGCCAAAATTTGATCACGTGACTTTAGTTGCGAAACCGCTGAGACTCAACAAGACTCGGGAGAAGAGGCGAACCATTCATGCGTCAAATTCTCTGGTAGGAAAATTAATTATCGTACCGACGAAGAACTCGTGTCATCTCTAGGTTCAGCGTTCATTGCAATCAATTTCTTGAGCTTTAGACGCTCTTTCATAATAGGGATGTAGTGCCTTGGTACGTCTGCATCTTGGGCGATGGCAAGGAGATCTTGACCATCGCAACCGTCTTTTTCTGCAAGATAAGATACGAACAAAGATCAATGGAGCGGTTAAGTTTGTGAATGTAAAGTTGCAGTAAAATACGTTGTTAAGAAATTTCTTTTGCCTACCTTTCCTTTCTTAAGTCTCATTCCATGCGACTGTAGCCAAGAAACAGCCTCTTCAGTGACGAATTCGCTGCTATAATTCATTGTTTCCGACGCACGTGGTCTAGGTTCGACTAATGCCATCACAGGCAGCTCACGCTCACGTCTCGAGAAAAAGCCAACGATTAATTCGTTGTGTGACTCGGTGTTCAGTTACGAGAGGAACCGTTGAAAATTTGAACACTTTATAAGGAATAGTATAGGGAACGAAATATGGTCGAAAAAAGAAAATTATTTTTTCTTTTTTTTTTCAAAAATTGCACCTCGTTGGGGCCAAATTGGTCAATCCTACTTGGCTCTTGGAAGGGCCAAATTGAGAAAAAGTTCCAAAGTAGAATTCATAGGGGCCAATTCAGATTTTGGAGGGGTCGAAATGGTACCTGTCCCGCCCGTTTTGGCTCAAATAGTCCAAAACGAACCTTGATGGGCCAAACTGGCCCTCGAGAAATTGGGGCCAATTTGGCTTTTGGGGTCAATTTGGCTCTTTTCATTTTACAGTGCACGGAAGCTCTCTGAGTGCATGGCGGCATGACAAGAGCTCTCTAGATTAAGCAGAGTCCGTCATTTTCGGTATCAGTTACCGTTTTTTTTCCTTTTTTCCAAATTGTTGATGACAGTGGGACTGTTAGACATACATGCTGAGCAATCGACAATACTGATTATCAAAACCTGTAACAAGAAGAAAGGAAAAACTTGTGTCTTCATTTGGTTGCCTGGCCACGATGAGGGGATAGAATTAGAAATAACAACAGAGGGGGGGGAGGAAAGGGGGGACACGGGGTAAGGAACGGGGGGCACGTGCGTCGCGATCAAAGCTCAATTTAGAAGTTTTAATAGAATTGGCATCTTCCTCAGATTGCTATTGGCGGCAGGAGATACCGCCTAGATAATATTTCTTTAGAGAATTAACAGCGCGTAAGCCAACAATGACGATCTTTATTCTGAAAACACTACGATTACTCGTTTCCTCAGGACTTCTCATTGGACATCTTTTTTCGTCAAGCCTGGAAAGATGAGCGTCTCGATCATGGCCTCAACAAAACCATGTTTCTTAGTAATTTTGTGTTGGACCGCATCTGGATGCCAGATACTTACTTTGTGAACGCAAAACACGGATCGTTTCACAAAGTCACGAAAGAAAATGTAATGATTATGATCATGCCTGGAGGAATTGTACACTACAATGCCAGGTAAACTTTGGGGAATACTTTCAAGAAGTTAAAGTCGTCTGAAACTGAGACCTAAGCAGTACGTTTTTGTGACAATTGCTAAGCGCGATTGAGAACACGGATAGGAGGACAAGAAAATTTAGTTAAACGTTATTAATTTGCGCGACGCCTTGTCTAGTAGCTGCTCTGAGTTTTTAAGGACGGATGGGGGCTGCCCTAAAATAACGTTTCACAATCATGGTTTGTAAATTGGTGTTCCAAGAACAAAAAGCAGTCGACAATTGCTCGTCCATCTGTCCGTTAGTCCGGGAGTATGCCATCAGTGATAGCGCTTCAGTAGGAGCGTTTCTTCGCCTGCAAATAAGTTTGAAGCGTTGAGAAACGTGAGCCGGCGAGATGTAAGCAAGTGGTCTTATTAGTGCCACATCCCTAGCCGAACTCTCGTCAGCTCGCTTTGCTCAAGGCGTTAAATATACTCGAAAGCGGATAAACGTTCGTGCCACAGCGTTTAATAGTAATGAAGGCTTGCTTTCTTTTTGAACACACGATTTATGCACCGTCCATCGACCTCCAGACTCAAAAGCAACCTCTTCTGGTTTGCAGCATGAGATTCTCGTGCTTGTAGAGGTTAGTTGCATACAAAGGTATTGGGTTAACACAATACCATAATGATTACCTTCAAAAGCTTGCTTACGTACCATTCACTACAGGTAAAGAGATTATCCTCTCAAGTAAGCTGCAGTTAAAGAAATCTCTAAAAAGAAGCCTACAGGCTTCGACCAGATTTGAACCCGCGCTTGCCAGTTAATAGTTGGGCGCTGTCATGAATGCTCACTCACGAGCATCACTTATTTTATTTGTATTTCATGCGCAGGTCAAAATATGATTTATTTCTTAAAATTGTGTACCATTTACTAAATTAGAATTTGGAAGTGTGCATAATCAATTCTTTTCGCCTCACCAGAATCACAATTAAAGCAGCCTGCCCTATGGATCTAAGAAAGTTTCCGATGGACACTCAACACTGTCCTTTGACAATTGAGAGTTGTGAGTACTTCTAGCAGTTCTAAAAAAAAAAATGATAATTTAGACACCACGCCAGAGATTTCCCATGCGTTCGGACTTTTATAGGTGACACTTCTCTGAAGTAGTGTTATGACAATGAATTTCAAAGAAACAAACCGCAAACCTACGTCGGCATATCATGGATATCAAAGTTTGTGTTTCGTTTTGAAGTAAACTGAGAAGAGTTCAAAACAAGCTATTTGATGTGATAACGTTGAGATTGACGATGACAAGAAAGGCAACAGAGATTATCATGACGAGGATAACTAGACCATAAGGATGACGTCTGTGGTTACGATGACGATGCTGACGTTAAAGATGACTCTAATGCAGACCCCGATGATTGGTAGGACGTAAACGATAACGGCTGAAAAAAATTCTTCATTTGACTCTGATAATGACTTCCGCTCAGGTCATCGAAACGTCAGTCACTTCTACCGAGAATAGTCCTTCTCGAGACTTCTCTCACCTGAACGATCAGACTACACGATAAAATGATGATGATGATAGCCACTTCTTACTGATTCTACTACCGACCTTCCTTATGGTTTAAACTGTCATTTTCCATGTGATAATTTCTCTCAACAGACGGTTACAGTGCTGACCACATCAGATTTAGATGGGAACAGGACCTCACTGATGGGATATCATTTGTTCCCGCCAAATTGAAAATGTTGCCCCAATACAATTTAGTCGAGCTGAGCTTGAAAAAGGATTTTAACAAATACGTCGTTGGTGAGTAAACATAAACAGAATTCTGATGAGAGACATGCTAGTTATAAATGAACGAAATTACAAGTTTCTATACTAAACAATTTAGTCGAGCTGAGCTTGAAAAAGAACAAATACTTTGTTGGTTAGTGTGTAAACAAAATTCTGATGACAGGCATGCTGATGATGAATGCTCGAAAATATTACTTTATAAACAAAGCTGTTTTCGGAATTCAAACTCTTCATCGATGAAAATTGTTAGCGCTTACATGTAGACTGTTCAAGTATTTTCAGCTATGTCAATTGTTTCTTATTTTAATTTATTATCAAATGAGACTAAAATTAACAAACTGGAAAGTCTTGAAAGTACTTCTTGTTGCAATTCCCAAAAAACTGTGTGGCGCAAATTAATATTAACCGTGAATTCAAGGCAATCTGCGATGAGCCAGGCAAATTAGAATTCATAGTCGGAGAATGGTGGCGTTGCCCAAAAGAAAAATCGTAGCACATTTCAGTGACATAAATTTATAAGTTACAATCATTTAATTACCACTGATATTTTATGTACGATGAGTAAACTAAATGGTAAGACTAATTGACTTCTTCCATATATCTTACGCTAGGAAACTGGTCCTTCATAAAGGCGATATTTACATTTCAACGAATGTCCAGTTATTTCTTCGTCCACGTGTATGCACCATGTGCATTGATCGTTATCATTTCTTGGATCTCTTTTGTGCTGCCACGCAGTTCTCCTCCTGCGCGTGTCACCCTGGGAGTTACTGCTGTCCTTACTGAAGTTACCATCCTAAATATGCTCAACAACTCTATGCCAAAGGTAACTTGCGTTGAAAATTGTTTTTGATATTTAGTTTTATAGAAGTAGAGTTCAACCAATGTTTAGTGTGCTAGCCAGTTTAACTGACTGGCGAACTGGTATACTGTCAGACTGATTTAATGGTTGACTGAGTGGTTGGGTGCCTAACTCACTAACAGACTGACCGTGCTGACTAACTCACTAATGGACTGACTGCACAACTTAGACTTTAACTGACTGACTGACTGTTTGACTGCTAACTAACTGAAGAGCTGAATGAAAAGTTGACTGATGACTTGAAAATTATTTACTGATTGGATGACAGGTTTTGCCCAACTTTATTCGCTACACACTATACATGACCAGCCTGAATTCACATCATCACAGTCATTCACTCGCACAAATATGAAAATAGCACAAAATACGAGAAAGAGAGAATAGAAAACAAAGGAAAGTTAGAATTAAGAAATGTTTGTTTTAATCCTATGCAGGTAAACTATACAAAAACCATCGACAAGTACCTCATCGGGTGTTTTCTGTTCGTGTTTGCCTCATTGGGAGAGTATTCAATTGTGTTATTTTTGGCATCCAGAATGAAGAAATATCGGAAAATCCAAGAGTTAGAAAAGAGTAACCACAAACCCAATAACAAAGACGCCTCTGATGATAACAAGGAATGGAGAAACGGAGACGGGGTTACAAACAGAGTAAGTGGAATGGTAATGAAGGGCAACTGTTTTTCATCAACAGGGAAATCGGAATTTTTATCGCAAAATAATCCAACTTCCTGGATAGATGGAATGGGAAGGATATGTAGAGGTGTAGGCTAAATGCAAAACGTTGATGTGGTTTTCGGTTTTAAGGAGAAAAATTAAGTGCACATGTGAACTTCGTTTGTGGTGCGGTTAGCTTGCCAACGAAATACTTGTGGCTCTATTGATAGAGTATCTTGCTTGACATATGAATGTATTGAGTTGATACGAGTCCGTCCCTTAACTTCTCAGTCGACCAGGAGGTGGTGAAGAGGGCGATATTTAGGGTTAATGTTGGGGGGAAAGATTACAAGACGAACTTTCAATACAGTCGAGATGCATTAGCACAATACTCGCTACTAAGATTTGAATCCGAACTTACAATGCGAAGTGAAGTACTTCGCGACCATTCTCCCTCCTTTCCACAACAAGAATTGTTATGTTTACCGCGGTGATGTTCAGGATTTTTCACGATGCATGCTTGCTTCAAAAAGGAACTTATGATTTTTGAGAGGGGATTGGGCACAAAGCTAGGAAAAAATACGAAAATTTTCATCAATGAATTCTCATCGCTGCCGTTTTAATGCACAGAGAGGCAATCCAGACAAGATATGTAGCACACAGTTAGAAATGATGGAATTCGCAAAAATGGAGCAAGAACTGATGATAAATGATCATCATGAGGTTAAAGCTGCGCGAAGCAAATGGCTGAGCCTCACGAATTGGAAGAACCGTTTGTACACAGAGCAAGCTGTTTTAGCTGTCGATGAACTGTCTTTGATAGTGTTTCCCATCAGCTTTGGCATATTTAACATCGTTTATTGGATGGCTGTAGCACGCGATATGTAACTGCAGGTCAGTTTAAAGTAAACATTAATTATGAGCGCAGCTCACACGCAGGAGTTCTTTTTCGGAAAAGGTTTAACGAGCCGTTTGTCCAAAAGTTTTTTTCCATACGTTTCTTAGGTTTTTACGAACGCGATTACAAGTTATGCCAAGTTCGGCACATGATGAATTCGGCGTCTCAATCAAAGCCTTTACAAAGTTACAATTTCAGCTCAAGCGGGGCGAGAAAAACGGTTGGGCTGTTCCAAGTTGAAAAAGCATTTGTTAGTGATTCAAACGCGGAACAAAGCATGTACTTACATGAGGAAAATGCTCTAGAAATCATCTTTAGGTAATGTTTATTTCCACTGTGACGCTAGTTGTAAAATATATACTACTTCTTCCGTTGTGGGATTCCAACGAGTAACATAACCGTTCGAAGATTGTATCACTGTTCCATCATGATTACAAACGTCGTCATTTTGAAAACGATTCAGTAACCTGGCCGTAGACACAAAGCCAAAACAGCCAGTGTTCTGGACATCACAAACCAAAGACAAACAAAAACGCCAATAAAATAAGCATTTTATACCGGAATGTATCATTGAAAAGCTCCTGATAATTCCAGAAAGTTCGCAAAACATAGCAAAAAGACGAGTAAAATCACGGTCAGCGGCCAGGTTGCTAAGCAAAACTCAAAATGGCGACGTTCGTTGTCGAAAGGTTTATTGCATTCAGTTTGAAGACGATTTTTGAAACGTTAGGTTACGGTTTGGAACCTTAAATAGCAGTCTGTGCCAGACTAACGGTTTAAGTCTGGCTTCGAAAACAGTCTTAAAAGATATAAAGCGACAACATAATCATGCATGGACTAAAGTGCTACGTGCACAATTAAGTTTCTAACCGAGATATGAACCCTAGGATTTATCAAATACTTTGTTGGGAGTTGGTCTGGTGCAAACAGTACATGAATTAGAGTGACCAAAGTTTCTGGAGAGTTAAATTTATCAGTGTCTGTATCAGAGAGACTTTTTCATCATTTGAAAGGAGAGTGCCATAGAGCGAGTCTTGCTAAGACCTTCCTCGATAAAGAATTGACTTTCAATTACACTTTAGGTGATTCCTCAGTATTGCATTGCGCATCCTTCACTGTGCATAAAATCACGTAATCAGGCGAATAAGCGCTCGCGCATTCCGAAAACACGGTATTGTTTTTCAAATTATGTATGAAATTGTTCCTTACGCTTCAGACTTTCTACCTATCAAGTTTTTTCAAGTATTACTCTAAAAACTCTTGCTTCCATTTACTGCAAAATGTACCGTTAACCGATGACATGACGTGCATGATTAGTGCCAATACAGGCATAAACGGGGTAAGTTTGGCCCATCATATCTCTTAAACAAACACAGTGATCTATCTTTTTATCATACATTTGTAGGGAACAATTATAAATGCTAAAAGGAAAGTTAAACGAAATTGTTCGACAACTTTTTTTTCTAAGGGAACCACTGAACTGTATAATATATAATATAAGGTATAGTATCAGATTGTAAACACAATTTATTTTGCATGGAAATGATATTTGTCCAAGATAAAGAGAATAATAAATGCTTTGGTTGGAAGCCTTCATTGTATTATGACGTTAAAGAAACAAGAAAAATACAAACACGGCCATGTGTATTGACTTGTTTATCATTTTTCTTCGTCGCCTCTTCCATTGTTACTCGTGACATGCGCATAAAGCGTAGCAAATGTCAAGTATCCCGTATGTCCCGTCATCTCCTTCAGCGGTCTGCCTGTCAGAATGTTCGCTTTGTTGGCTTTCTGTGACATAACTGCTCGAACATTCCGCACAAGTCCCGAAGCAGGGTCAGTGTCCGTGAAGTGTGGCGCAGATTTTTCCGCCGCTTTTCCGTTCGATATTTCGCTTTTATGTTCAACGTTATCCGTGGGAGTCTTAACTTCACTGGGAGTGTTTTCAACCAGTGAAGATTCCATCAATTTCATATTTACGTGGCCTTCTTGCAATGCTGAATAAGTCTATCCAAATGGGAAGAGAAAAAAGAACAGAAGGCATCAGTAGGGATGAGAGATCTAAACGGGAATACATTTTCACGATGATTTGGTTTCATCAGCCGAGTTAACTATGTAAATTGGTTACCGTAAAGAGTTTCTAAAGCTAACGTTTCGAATTTCAGCCCTTCATCCAAGCGAACGACGAAGGGCTGACGCTCGAAAAGTTGGCTTAAGAAAAGGTCTTCAATGGCAAAGTTATATTCAACTCGGTTGATAAAACCAAATGATTTTATAATGCTTCCCAGTGACGCAACACCACAGTTTCTTGAGAACTCACCCTTTGTTCATTTATAGGAGTATGTTAGACCACCTTTGATATTAAAGATTTCTTAAGAAAACACAAGTAAACAATTGAAACAAAAATATACAGGAAACAACAAAGTATTGGGTACCGTGTCACATGATTCACTTTCTTCTTCAAGTTTTCTCTTCCGCGATGAGAAATCACTCGGCGTTGGATCTGGTGGTAGTGAATTCTGAAAAGTTCAAAAATTTTTTTAAACTTTATAATTAATAATCTCAAATAAGGACTTTCCTTTGGAATTCTTACTTTAAAATAATAATAATAATAAAAACAAACACTCACTTCGGGACCGAAGAAAGGAACTTGTAACGGGACAGTTCTTACTTCGAACGTTCTGGAAAGACACTCCATCACCTCTATGTCTTCAGCATTGTTAAACATGGAAAAAACAGTACTAAATTACAAATTCATAACCATGCAAAGTTTATAAAATTCTCTGTTTCCTACATAACAGCCAAAACAACAACACCCACCCCTTTGTCTGCGTTGAGTTTGGAATATGGACGAGAGAGACAAGATACTAGTGACTTTAACATTTAGTAAACGGAGGTCTTTCATTCATCAAGATAGAGAATAAGGAGAGATGTAATAGAGAAAAAAAAAGTCACTTTTTTTGGATGAAGAAATAATTAGGAGAGAAACATGACTTTTTTGTTGAAAACTTTATGTTTAGTGTTCACCTCTAAATCCACATGTCCTTAAAGATTCACAGGTTCTTTGTACTTGTTCAATGCAAGGAGAAAAAGAGCAAATCTTTCCACCCTCTGCCTGGTCAAAGACACAAAACATGATGAAAGTTATCACTTATTGTTAGTGGGCAAGTTGGCAGTCTGGCAGTGCAAAAAGGATACTTTAACCCTTTACTCCCAGGAGGGATCAAGACAGAATTTCTCTTTACAATATCAATACATTATCAAGCAGACAAGTGATGAGAATTGAGAAAAATATCAACTACAGTAGGGGATTGGCAGTTGATCCAATAACAAATTCTCTCAACTTACAACATAAGAATTGTATGGTCGACAGTAACGAGAATTACTAATGAGATCATGGGAAAGAAAGGGTTAATATTTAAACTCCCTTGACTATTTCCTATTTTCCATTCAAAATTATAGGTCAACTTTATCCAGTAAAATGTTTCCTCATATGGAGACAGTGTGACTGAGTGGTTAAAGGGGGTAAGTTTCTAAAGAAACTGTGGTGCTGTGTCAGTGGGGGAGTGTAACAGGGTAATTTAGTATTATCAACTGAGTTGATAACGTAAATTGGCCACCATAAAGAGTTTCAAAGCTGACGATTTGAGCATAAGCCCTTCGTTAGAGCATTGCATTTGTAATCTGGTGGTTCCCAGGTCCAACCCTTCCACACTGCTACTAACTGGATTTGTGTTTGGTTAATGCAAATTCAACTTCTTGGCTGCACTTTGCATAATTAGCCAACTGGCCTGCCTCCAGCCAGTTGAGGTCTTTTAAAAAAACATGTTTATTCACAATGTTTCAGTTTTTTTGTGTTGGCCCTGAAAAGCCCCATGGAGGGAGGGGTGGGGGTGATCAATTAAGATTATATGTACATACATTTGCATACATAAATACACATCTGTACATCCCACATGTAATTTGTCCATTATCATTGTTGACAACTGGAGAGCTACTCACTTTGAGGGTTTCTTTGGAGTGTTTTATTGCCTCCCATGGAGCAGGTAAATCAAGAAAGACTGAAAGAAATGGGACCTCCGTTTACTTATCTTACTGACTGACAAAAACAATCCTTCAATATAAACACTAAATTAATGAGAGAATTCTTTTCATATCCTTTGATAACATAATTCCAAGGTTGACATTTTCAATGTGAGTTATTTCTCTCTCCAGAGCAACTCAAATCACCATTCACAAATTCTCCTCGTACCAGTTTAGTAAAAACAAATCAAAAGGTTGCCTTTACTTTTCCTCCAACACATTTGATTCAAACTCAACATTATCCCTCTTACTCATTAATTTTTATCAGAGACTTTAACAAAAATCAGATCAATTCAAAGCAGTAAATGTCAGTCTCATGCAATAAATCAAAAGTAAATATCAATAAATAATTTAAACAGAGAAATTTCAAAATCATAAAATATTGTAATTCCTCTTCCAAGATGTCCTTTTACACTGACCTGCATCTGCAACTTGATGAAGTTCAAATCCTTCCTTGCAAACATCACGACATCTTACAGTTACCAGATGACCAATTTTGTGTTCCTCAAATTCTTTCCTGTTGAGAGCCAAAAGTGGATGAAATATGATAAAGTAAATTGTTTATGCCTCTGAGAGTATTGGAGTTTAACATTCAAGAAAATAACTCAACCAGATCACAGTTATATCAACCTTAGAGTGTTGTAGACTGACCTGGCTGTTTCAGCTCTTTCTGAATGGAATTCAAATGTGTGGAGATGACCAGATGGAGCAATTGTCCTTATTAAACAATGAGACATTGAACCACTTCCAGTTCCTGGTGATTTAAAGGAAATAAACCGAGCATTTGTAATCCAACTTTATTAATCTTTTTAAATGAGATTTCAATGAGTGCAAGAGTGATAAGTTGTTTCTAAATGATAGAGATTGTATTTTAAAAAAGATTTCTTTGTTTAGACCTGTTGTTGTTCTGTTTATAGTTTTATCAATCATGTCAATTTTTTTTGATAGAAGGTCGTGGACTCTTTTATTGCCATACAACAATTACTTTGATGTCAGGTCAGAGAATTTGGTATTGGATTAACTAAGAATCCTCTCATTGACAATTCTGTCTTAATTCTCATCACTTGTCTGCTTGACATTGAATTGATACTGCAAGGAGAAATTTTGTTTTGGTCACACATGGGAGTTAATTCTTTAACCCCTAAGGGTGACTAGCATCTTATGTCTCCTTACAATATGTGACCCTCCACGGGAAAATGGACACTAACGCTTTTCCGTTTAAGCTGCAAAACCGTTTACTATCCGTTTATATCCGTTTAAACGGTTCATGAAAGCGTTTAAACGGTTTGCTTATCCGTTTAAAAAAATTTGCATCCGTTTAACGCTTTAGCTAAAACGTTTAAGCGGTTTGCTCATCCGTTTAAAAAAATTTGCATCCGTTTAACGCTTTTGCCAAAACGTTTAAGCGGTTTGTTCATCCGTTTAAAAAAATTTGCATCCGTTTAAAAAAATTTGCATCCGTTCAACGCTCTAGCAAAAACATTTAAACGGCTTGCTTACCCGTTTAAAAAAAAAAGCTATCCGTTTAAAGTTCCACGGAAAGCTTTGGACTGTTTGCCTATCATTCTGTTATGGGCAGTTCGAAGTATCAATCTTACGTTCGCTCGATACTCGCCGGTTCTTGAAATACAGAAAGACCGTATCTTATTTTGGTTTTATCTTTTGCGTGATCGCAGACCCCCAGTCGATGGACTGCTAAATCGGCTACTCTCTTTCTGTTTATATCATCTTGATTCATCTTTCTTGGTTTTATTGACAATCATTTTAACGGCCCCGCTTGGTGCGTGACACCGATTCGACCTTTTTTTTGCAATGGAACTTCATTGCGTTATTCGACCTTGAAACGTCTCGGCTTCAGACAAGGTGGCGGCATTGCATATGCAACTTTGTTTCGCGAAACTTCCGAACAGGAAAAAATGAAGTTCATTTTCAATAATAATAAGAATAAACAAAGGAGAAGATTATGAGTTTCTCGCGGTAGCCGTTCTGGATATTCGGCAGCGAAACTATTCTCAGTAAATTGCGCTTATTTCATGAATGTCACACGAAAGCCGCAGTAATTAACCCAGAAATAAAATGCGCAAGTATATGCTAGTTATTACTTTTCAAATTATCATGCTCAATATTTTCGCTTTAAAGGATAATTATCCGTTGTCACTCTGAAAGTTTTTCCGCAGAAGATCTCGCCGGCTCAACCACAGCCGTTAAACATTAATTTTTAGCTCATCGTTTGTCGATTTTGGTCAACCGTTTCTCGGTTTAAGCTATCCGTTTTTGGACTTTGGTCAACTGTTTAACGTTTCGGGCTGACCGTTTTTATTTTTGGTCAACCGTTTAACAGTGTGAGCCATCCGTTTTTGAACTTTGGTCAACCGTTTAACATTTCGTGCTATCCGTTTTTATTTTTGGTCAACCGTTTGAAGGCCTAAGCTATCCGTTTTTGGACTTTGGTCAACCGTTTAAATTTTTTGCCATCCGTTTAAGCGGTTATGGCATCCGTTTAAACGCTCGAGTTAGCCGTTTACTATCCGTTTACAACCGTTTTTCGAGACCGTTTAACGGAAAAGCGTTAGTGTCCGTTTTCCCGTGGAGGGTCACATATCACCCCTGAATCACGCAGTAAGGTCATGAGAATAAAGAAAATTATCAGAGGCAAAAGAAGCTGTTGATTGTTACTCAAATTCTCCTTGTCAGCACCTTAAGGAATGTATGGGGAACAGTATGGAGAATATGCATACTGATGTTAGGGTGTAAAGGGTTAAAGGATTAGGTATGATGCCTACCAGACTCAACAACAACAGATCCAGGTTTAAGAGCCAACCGTAGAATGATCATACTGATGTCTGTAGAATAAAGAATCTGTGTTCTGTGAGGAAGGTTTATTGTCCATAGTTCAGGCGTAGGATGAAGAAGGTAGACCCAACCCTTTTTGTTCAGTGAAAACATCTGAAATTTATTATCAATATAAAATACATTATTAATCAACTGAGAAATATATCTGTTTTTTTAATATTACTTTAACTTCAAATTCCATTATGTAATGGATAGCTGCTGATACCCATTCCCAGTTCCTGTAGCACTGAGTCACTAGGATCTCACAGACCAAACAGACCAATATAGTTCCAGGGGTACTTTTATTAAAAATCATTATTAAAAAAATCCCTATAGCTGTGCAGGACTTGACACAGTGATTAGGGCCACGAAAAGCTATAATGAGTCCTAAGCAAAGACCCACAAGATGCCTACTGACTGAATACACTCAGGAAGAATGGAGATATCTCTGGCTCTTAGTCATTAAGTATGGAACATGTTGCCCTTGGTCTCAACACATCATGACTTCAAGCCAAAATCTACAGTCACACAAATTTTCCTACACACTCAATAAATACAAAGCCTTGGTTCTCACATTATCTTCCTTCTATACGAAGTGCAAGTCCATTGCAGGAAACTCATCCACCTCCCCACCACCCCTAGAATATTTTTCAGGTTTCACTCTGAGCTTACTAGTAACATTTTTTACCCCTGGGTGGGTGAAGAGAGGCACTTTGGCAGTAGCATCCTACCAATGAATTGTAACACGCTTAAAGCTAGGCAAATCTTGTCTTCCAAATGGCACTTCTATAAAATCCAAGGCCAGCCTAATAGTTCATAAAGTGACAATTTAGTTTACCTTTGTTCCAAACTTCCTTCCAACCATGTCTGAGTGTGGAAGAGCACCATATTTTGTCTGATGTACCTTTCCTGGTGTAACTGTCAGAGTTTGCATAGAGTTATGCCCCTAGGGGTACATTGATAACAAAACATAAACAGCAAATCGAAAAGGATGTATAATGGTATCAAGGGTAAATAAGAATATTTAACACTTCTGGACCATACCATATGCATGACGTACTTCAATAAGCATCGTGAAATAAGCCGGTGCTGAAGGAATTCTCCAGCGATCGTTGGTAACCTAATCATTTAATTAGATTAGTCATTCCTTATCTCAAGTTATGAAGTCCACGTCGTAGATTTTCGGCGAAATAACATCAACTGGATGCAACCCAACTGCAGTGTTACAAACCTCATGTGCAATCTGCTGAATCAGGTCTCATAGGAAGCTGTACTCGAGAGATCTTTATTATGTTAGATTTGGCTTTCATTATGAATCATATACTCACAAGGAACAGAATAACAGTATCCCCTTCAGATATCCGTTCTTTATATTCCGCAAAACTCATGGTTCATAAATTAATTCTCAAAGAGAAATTGAAAATCTAACTGCTCTCTCATGGGGAAACCCGCTGGATCTATGTTCCATCTGTACATGGTAACGACTGCCTTGAATGCTGGGAATTTTAAACAGTTGCTAACCGCGAAAGGTATACAAATATGGCGGATTGTGGATGAAAAGTCAAACTTGACATTGACTTTCATCTAAAAAATGGATGATGAAATAATTGCTACTGAGGCGATTAATATGTGCAATGGAAATAAAGAGCTATGGTTGAAATTTTCCAAGAAGAACATGACAAACATATTGCGGAGAAATTATCAAAATGTCTGATCCAATTAGCGAGGTGGCCTTTTCGCAGCCAAAACTTCCAGCCATCGGAGATTCAAGGAGTTTGGTCTCACAACCCACCATTACCACTTCTTCAGGCTTGAGTGATGCTAGCGATCAAGAGAGGCTGAATACTTCTCGGCCTAAGAGTAGCGTCGATTTGGATAATGGCGATGTTCAAATTTTGCTGCAACAAGTTTCACGCAGTTTCGTGAACGCTTTGCAGCTAAACACGAAACAGTCCTGGTATCACCTCTGCGAAGTTCTGGATATTATCGAGCCATACTCGCACTTTTTGAGTGGAACTCCACAAATAAGGCATTACGTTGACCGTGTTTACGTTAAAATCAAAGCAAGCGGGGATGAAAATGATTATGGATTTGTGGAAAAGAAACTGCTGGCTGTCTTTCCTGACGAGTTATCTGTCTCCCTCGGAGGTACTAGACAACAAGCTTTCTCATTTCCAACTGAACCTTCTGTGGACAGTCTATTTACTCCAAGGGGGCAACAGCCATCGTTATATAAGGGGGTAAAAGTCCCCCGTGGGGTGCCAATTTTTCCAGGGGGTACCACATACATTTTTGATCATTCAGATGGAGATGCAAAAAGTCATGGTCCCAAGCCATTGTGTATGGAAGATCTCAAAAGAGCTCTTCCAGGAGTAGTGCGAGAGATAGCTATCAGAGAAGCCACACTGGGAGGATCATTAGGAACAACTGCATTAGCATTGGATATTGATCTCCCACAAACACATGTTCCCACTCCTCCATCTATTCCAAGGGGGTCACCAAGTTCTCCTGTCATCAGGATACCATTGCCTGAATCAGGGAGGGTCACTCAACAGAGTGACGTTAAGAGAGGGATTTTGGGAAAGACTGGCAGAGAAGTTGTGGAAAATTTTGTCAAAGGACGATTCCTTGGTCAAGAAAATTTTGCCTTTTTGAATGTTGCACCTTCAGTGCGTTATGATCCATATAACCTGGTGGTTGTCCCTGAGGATAAAGTGAATCCTGAACATTATGTGATTTCATCACATTGTGTTTTGCATGTGAACCCTAATGGTCCATCAGAGACACAGTCATTGGCAGAATGGTACAGAGAAGCATGCTTGTTTAAAGCAATTTCAAATATTGGTTTTTTCAAGAACTTTGTTGTCACCAAAATGTTCAGGAAATGGAAGGACATAAAGAAATTCAGTCAGTTTCTCAAAGTTGAAGCTGAGATTGAGAAGTCTCTCATTTCAAATGTCCCCAGTTTTGGATCAGCTTTAATAAGGATTTCAAGTCTCCTTCAGGACCTGGAAAAGGTCACTTTTTTACCATTTCAGATCAATTTCTCATATTCCCTGGAGGAATTTGAGGACACTATTTTCAAAACTTGTGGCACAGGTTACAAATACATGGAAAAGTTTTTCAGCTACTGCCAAATGATTGTAGATAAAACACAGGAGAGTTGTTTTGAATATCTAGAGTACTGTGAAGGGCAAGTAAAAAATCACCGCCATAACTATCAGGAATCACTAGCAGTTGCAAAAAAGAAGAGAGCAGTCAGACAACACAATTTGAAGCTTGCTCGAGATGAGTTTAAAAGGCTTGGAACCTTTGTACGTTTGGTGGACCACATTATTGTTTCGAATCTATTGAAATTAGTTCAAAGGAACATTTCTAGATTTGTGGATGAAGCAATGCCTGGCCCACAACCTGAAAGGGATGGGCTTTTTTCGGCTGAAATTGAGTTTGGGGATGACCACAAGCTTACTTTGTCGCCATCTGTAAAGCAGTTTTCTCATGCTGTGTCTGTTGCAGTGGGGAGTGTTATAAGTGCTTCCTGTAATCTCTCACATGCCATGGAGTTGGGAAGCAAAGCTAAACATTTCCAGAAGAAAGCAGAGAATGGAATGCATGAACAAGTGGATTGTAGTGAACCAAATGATTTTCAGTTTAGTGACTCCATGAAACAAACAAAAACTGGAGACAGACCAAGTGATATTGAAAAGCTGATATATGGTACTGAGAAACAATCTGAAACCTTAATGACTGGTGGACAACAACCCATGTCTACCAACACGGTAAGAAATGACTACCAGGGTACTTGTTAGTTACAATATTATTATAATTATTGTAGTTTGAGGTACATGAATATAATGAGAGAGTGTAGGTGAGAGGATTCTTGAAAGATGGAGAGGTGAGTTTCTAAAGAGATTGTGGTGCTGCATTGGAGTGGTGTGTTGCAAGATACATGTAATTTGGTTTTATTAACAAAGTTGGTTAACTGCAAATTAGTCACTGTTAAGAGAGGGACATTGGGATTTTCGGTTTTGCAGTTTTGGCTATTTTTTAGAATGGGTTTTAGGTTTCAGTGCCAAAAAACTTCAGTTTTTTTGGTTTTGATGTTCATTGTGCTTTGCACTGGATTTTGGTTTTTTTTTAAATTAGCATTTGGTTTTGGGCTTTTGTAAAAACCATAATGGATTTTCAGATTTGGTATTCGATGTGGTTTTCTGTTTTTCCTATTTGGGTTCCAGTCTAGTAGCCATGAAAGCTCTATTTGTTCTACTTGTCACTGTCAGTATAGGATTGATTAGGGTTTTGATTACTGGGATGTAAAAATTTATTGGTTTAGGCAGTTTTGCATGGGGTTTTCGGTTTTAATGGAAGTTCTTTGTGATTTTGTGGTATTGGATGATTTTTTTAAATGGTTTTTTGGTTTCTAATAGACCCCGATGCCCCCCTCTATAAAGAGTTTCTGAAGCTGACATTTTGAGTGTTAGCCCTTTGTCATTTCTCTGATGAGGGGCTATTATACTCAAAATGTTAGTCTTGAAAGATTTTTTTGCAACCAAATATATTTCATCATCACTGTCAAGTAATGATGGCTTGTGCTTGGGGTTAGAGACACAAGTCACTGTAAATGATATCAATTATCTTTAGAACTACCCTCATCCAGGTGATTGCTGCACATGTACATGTACATGTACATGTACATGTACATGTACATGTACATGTTAGAAGTTGTTTGTGACTGTCAAGCTTAAGACTTGTTCAATATCTCCTAATTTCCTAATTAAAAATACAAGTAATGCATGAGCTGGGACAAGCAAGGAGTGGGAATGGTGAAGTGGTGAGAACACTGGTTCAGGTTCAATTCATGGACTTGTTGTCACATTTGGGTTGAGTTTGTTGTGGGTTCTTGTTCTTGCTCTGACCCTTTTTCTCCATATCCTTGGGTGTTGTTGCCTTCACAAAAATTGACATTCTACGTTCCAATTTGACCTGGAAACAGTGGACAAGAAGAGCCACCTTGTGGAAGTCATCTGCTAAATTCTCATTATTATCCCATTAATTTAAGGTTATGTACTCTTTGGATGGGTTATTTCACAGAACAAATCTGCATGTTTGTCTTTTAGACAGCACATCTGCAAACCCTGCAAGGAGATGATCAAGGTGATGTCCTAGAAATTTTTGGAAGCCCAACCACAGTCACAAGGACAGATGATGAAATCTATGAAGACTTGGATGGTTTAAATTCTGATCTGTCAAGTGCAAGAGATATGTCAAGACAGGCCACTCTTCAACTTTGCTTTCGGCAAGAGCCTGATGGAGGCCTTCTAGTGGAAGGGCAACGCTTCCAGGATTTTTTAATTGATAGGAGTCCTCTAACCAAGGAGAAACTAATGGAGATAATCCACAAGAAGTGAGTTGTGTTCTCATTGTTTCTTGAATAGAGATAAATAATGTCAAGGAAGTACAAAGAAGTATTTATATATCAATTAACTGAGGCTTCTCTGTTTTTTGTTTCATTTTCTTTAGTAAACAGATCACAGAGGCTTTTCAGCGACAAGAAGATCTGCTATCACAAGCCACTGAAGAAGTGGAGCAGTTTTGTGATGATCACAGTTGGGTGGCTGTAATCCATGAGTTTGTTTCTTCTTGGGGAAGTAGTGACACACATAAGTTGAGAGGTCAACAGACCAGTAAGATTGAGGTATGGTATCATCATCATCATCATCTTTTTTATTTGCCTTATAACAAAAATTTATTTACAGCGGTTATAGCTAGAAGGCAAGGAAACCCGACAAGTAGACAATTTTTACAACTTAAGTTTCTAAGTTCACCCTGAGTATCTGCTGGAGAACAAGGACTGTCCTAGGAGTGACAAGGTTCTAATTTCTCCTTTTAAAATCTCCCTTGAATCAAAAGTTTAAGTCACAAGAATAAAGGAAATGATCAGAGACTGACAAAGCTCTTGGTGGTTTTACAAATCCTCCTCGTTAGAACCTAGGAAATGTACAGAGAACAGTATGGAGAATATGAATAATAATGTTAGGGTGTAAAGGGTTTGGAGAAAAAGAATAGCTTGATGAAAATTTGAGCGTAGGGATGCTATATTCCATGTCACTGTGCATCTCTTCAATGATAGATTGCAGATGATGTCAAGAAGTGGGGCAGCCAAGTATGTTACTGATGTTTGAACCATATTTTGACTTCTTTTGTGATCTACTAATGCACAGACCCATGGCGACATGGAATCTATTTTTTATGAAATAAAGAAGGACAAGACTGTTCATTATGGCATCATCAATGCATCTGTCTTCCATAGCTCATATTGAATTTAAATAAGAACCAGTTGAAATGTGCATGTAATGGAGTTATTATATAATTGGTGATATTTGCTTCCAGCTCAGATACAAGAATATTTCCACCTGCACTATTTTCATTATTTATAAGAATGCCAGATAATTAAGTGGGGAGATGAAACCAATTTTTTTTTTGTACGGTACATGTACATGATAATTTTGGATGGGTACACAAATGCACCATAAACATTTAGTCATCTTGAATTCCTCATTGGCCAGATGCCCATATTCAACTAAAAGGTACATGATTCATTTGATTCACTTTGAAATGGAAGAAGGAGTTATATGCTGGTGCAAGTGGACAGGTCTCCCATCATTGCAGCTTGCATTCATTACCTGGTTGACTGGATGTCACTGTGGCTTTAATTTATTGTTGGTTCATCTCCTTTTATTATGATTTGTCTCTTTTCTCTGTTTTCTTCCCTCCCCAAAATTATCCTTCCAAGCTCCAACATCACTGAATAAAGTACCACCTTGTGGACTTGCCATCACTAAAAGCTATAAACTTTTATTGATCATTTATTTATTTATTTGATATTTATTTCATAGCAACAACTGAACCAGATCAAGACATGGAAGGAACAAGTGTTCAGCATGGCCAAGAGTTTTTGCACTCAGAATGGAATATTCTTTGTGGACTGCCATAAAGTACAGGAAGTGCTTCTTCCACAATTGAACACCATCTTTAAGGAGATGATGCAGTTGATCATTACAGATGTCATTACATTTTCTGATGAGGTGATCAAGGATGTTGACAAGCTATCTGAGGTATGTGTGCTTATGAAGCTATTTCGTTTTATAATGTTATCGTTAATATTCAGCAGTAAATTTACTCTTCTTTGACATACTTTCAATAAAGTTGATATTTATGGCCTTGGTGGGTACTGTTCAACCATGTCTAGTCCTGAGATGTGACCATGATTCCATTGTACATGTGCATCTAACTGTGTAGTCAGATAATAAAGATACTCATTCACAATCCACAACTTAACTATCTACTTATCTACTACTTATCTACCTACTGTACTTCAAAACGTGAAGCAAACTGTTTATAAATTAACAATTAACAGGCACTTTATTCTTTGAAGAAGAGAGGCTATTACTAACAGTTACTTTTGTTGATATTTTAATGAAACTCAAGATGTCAAAATAATAAAATTTTTTTTGTTTTACTGTTATTGACATTGATTTCATGTTTGTATGACCTTAGCTTTTGAAAGATCAGAAGACAGACATCAAGGGATTTTCAGATTTCATCCAAAAGCTTTCAACTGTCAAAAAACATGTGCTTAGTTTGAAGGAGAAGGTGGAGTGCATCAAAAATCTTTATGAGGTGAGGTGAAGATTTCATAGATATGTAGTTGTGGCACAGAAGATATTAAAAGGGTCAGGGGGCTATTAATTTGATATATCAATTATGAAAGACATTCTTGTGGTATTTTGCACTTTGCTGCAGGTGATCAGGAGTTGTTACAGGCAACTGACCCCTGAAGAGGAAATGATGGAAGAAAAGGTATTTGACTGTTCTGCCCGGTTTTCATTGTCTAGCATGATTGTGTGTAAGACTGTGTAGGTTGTGTGGATTGTGGCATAGTTACATAATTATTCTTACCTTAGGATACAAAATAAACTTTTTACATGTATTTGCTTGTCTTTATGCAATCATTTTATATGTACATGTATTGAGGAAACAAAAATGCTTTCCTAACACAAATGGCATGTTCTATTTGATGTTATAACATAGCTAATAAATTTGACTGTGTAATCAAATTCAATTATTGCAAGAGCATGCTTCATATTCCTATTGTGCACGCTCATGATGTTAGCAAACAAATCCCTTGAGAAAAAAAATTTTCCATCAGGTTGAAAATGTTATAAAACAATTGGTTCACACGTCAGCTGACTGTGTTCATCTAGATATGAAGCACTTGGGAAGTTTGGAGAGCACTCAAGAAGCTAGAGTTGCTCTCGGCTATGCCTCGAGCAACTCTTATGCATCTTTCATGCTCTCCAAACTTCCCGTGTGCTTCATATCTCGATGAATGCACACTGATGTATGAACCAATTGTTTATTCTATTCTAATCATGTGGTTAACTCCTTTCCATTAACTGGAGATGCTGTGAGCACAAGGAAAAAAAATTTGTTTGAAGTCCAATGTTGTTGAAGATAGACCAGTTGTAAGTACAGTGGAGGAGTTGAATTTTGAGCAGCTGAGAAACAAATTCAGTCTGAAGGCAGCTAGATCAGAAAATTTTATTCAGGGATCTCCTAAAATCAAATCCAGAGCCTTTAACTATTGGACATTCATGTACCACCTGCGTGATGTACATATTAGGAATCCTGCGACTTGCTTTCTTTGAGGTCATGTGCAGCACCAGGTTTTTTTTACTGTAGAATCTGTGATAAAATACTGTGATGAAATGCTGTCGGAACTATAGATGCTAAGTAGCAAAAACTTATGTTTGCTGCTTATATCTAGCCCAGTAATTTTTATGCTTTTTAAACTTGTTACTTTTATTATGTTTTTAAACTTTTGATTATTGAATTAGTAATTATTATATATAATTTAAACTTACTGTCTTATAATCTGTTCCCAAATTACATTATCCTTTTATCATTCATTTTCTAGGTCTGGGCCACTTGGGAAAGTTTCTTGTTTGGTCTGCAAGAAGCATCAGACTTTGTAGAGGTCCACAAACCACAAGTCTCAGCAAAGCTGATAGAAATAATCAGTGTGAGTAAATTTTTCAGAACTGTTTGTGGAAATTGAAAGTAAGGGATTCATGTTGAAGTCCACTTTTACTTCCTCAACATAGAGTGGTATTTTAAAATAAAATGATCTTAACTTGTTGAGGTTGGTGTTATTCGTTGATGTGCTAATCAAAGCCAAATTGAAGGGTTTTCAAGGCTACACCCAATGATGTGGACTGAGTTGTTGACAAAAAGGGAGCTACAATCTACAAAAAAAATTGGTTGATGCAATATTTACACAGCCACTTTAAGGGCTGTTTTTAACAAAATTTCAAAAGTGCCTAGCCTTTCACTTCCCATATGCCATGTTTAACAATCGCAGAAAACAAAGTGCATCATTATACACAGGGGAAGAGGACATGAAAGGTATGGTTTCCCTTCAGATCATTGACACTGAGCTTCAGTCTGTTGATCTGAAATAAACCTTTTTTTTGTCTCCAGGCGCTACAATGTACTGCTGAAGAAATTGGCCAGACTGCTACTACAGGGAAATTTCTTGATCCAAATGAGAAGCCGTCTTCTATCTTGCAGGACATGAGGGAGGTAAGATTTTTGTGCACATTAATGTTCATGAATGTACTGGAAAGATTTAGGCAGTTAAATACTACTGACAAGAAGTAAATATCTGTCTTGAAGAATGTACAGTGTAGTCAGTTACTTGTACATTAGTTGGTATTTATTATGTGTAGTTGTGCAGTTCTCAAATTTTTTTTTTCATTTATTTGGTAGCTGAAAGAGAAATTTGTTGGAATTCGTGACAAGCTAGCAGAACTGAGCAAGTGCCAAGCTATTATGCTTGGGAGTGAATATGACTTGGGACACATCACTGGCATCCTTCTTGCCATAGAGAAAAGGCAAGAGCTGTGGAAGTATTGTGATTCATCATCTTATACCATTCGGGAGTGGATGCAGACAGTTTTCAAGAAGGTATAGATTATTATATAGATTTTTATATGTATGTCACTAGCAATGTCATAAGCAGATGTAATTATTGTCACAACTGTGTAGTTTCAGTCCAAAATTTAAAGGTATTCTGTGGAGAACAATGCCTGTTCTGGCAGCCCTCATTGATAAACAAGAGATATGCCACCAGAACATTCAACACAACAACTTCCTGAGCAATTTTGTGTATTAGGAAATACTCTATGGAGTGCCTTTGTATTACTGGAAAGGAGGAAAGGGAGGATATTAAGAGTGGTGTTGCATTTGTTTTCAAGTGAATCCATGTATAAATATGTGTGCAATGTGTCAGACCCATTTAACCCTTTTCAACCAAACATCTGTTTGGTAATGCTACCTATTGTCTGTTATACAACTCTAATGAGGTTAGTTTGGAGAATTTGGTATCAATAGAATTTTTCTCCTTAGCCTCATTGCTGGTCTGCTTGTCATTGTATTGATTTTGTAGGGAGAAATTCTGTCATGGTCACTCCTGGGAGTTTAAAGGGTTACTTACAGTGTAGGTTGATTTCTCTAGGAAGAATCCACTGTCAGACAATATCAAATGTTAGAGTGCCTTTCATCAAATAGAACATGCTCTTTCTAATGATGAAGAACAGTTTACTCTTGCTAATATTACATGCAACTATTGGGTAACAATGACAATTTTAAGCATAAGGACCTTCCTGTATATCACTCAAGCCCCTGGATTTCATGGAAATGATCATCTTTGGTACCATTCATAAGAGTTACTGTGTTCTCAAAATAACAGAGCCCAAAAATAATTTCCCATCAACATACATGTATTCAGTCTTATTGCTCAAAATTTAGGTGTTTTCATGCTATGAATTTTTAGAAGTATAGAAATTCTACTCGTATAAAAAGCTAGATCAGTTGTTTATCTTGTATGTAACTGAAGGTGGTGGCCCACGTGTTCAGTAATCATCATGGCTTGTTGTAAAAGTATACAAGCTCCATTCCAAATGTACTTTTAACACTAATTGAACATCCTGTTTATTTATTTATTTTTTTTCCTGTAATCAAAGATATTAAAAAATTTTTCTCATGGGTTTTCAGGGAACCAAAAAAATAGTTCCAGATGGGTTCACATGGTCACAGGGTATGGAAAATTGTTTGCTCTGGGATTTGAAATCCTGGGGCTTGATCACTCTTAGTCATCTACAATAATTCTGTAATAGTTTTTTTACAGTCTAATTATTCTAAGGGTTATGAGAATGAGAGTTTCATTTTGTCATGGGTATTTCCCCACTTTAATTTCAATTTCCTGTTTTTTTCAAGGGGTCCTGAGATGTGATCTTAAATTTTTCATGTGTGTACTTACATTTTACCTATGCATAGCCAATTTAAATCACATTGAACTTTTATCAATGTTACTTTAATGCTGACTATTTTCAGATGAATGTTAAGAAGGCAATGGACAAACTCTCAGAATGGGCCAATGCTGGAGAGAAACTGAGAAATTATCTTCCTGAGAATGATGAAGTTCTGGTTTCCTGGCTGTCTCAGTTGGAAGAGTTTTCTCAAGACTTGCCTTTCCTACTTCAACTCTCTAGCGATGCTCTCAAGGTACAAAGCACAAGTCTACTGTTGAGACATATGTACAGTAACACACTGTATGGGTACAGTCTGTTCTAAGTCAGTATACCAGCTTTCTCAAGTCAGTCTCGAAAATCGTTAGTGCTGTTAGTTAGGCAGTCCCAGTCAGTTAAGCCTGGTTCATAAGACAATGATGTTCAGCAATGTTATTGTTGACATCACCTCTCTTGTCACTCAATTGTGTTCAGTCAGTCTTATGATTTCAATTGAATTCCTCAAGAACAGCAGATCTTAGGTAATAATAAAAGATTGAAACACTTACTTACATATACCAGTCCAAGAACCACCCACAGATTAAAAAATTGTTTGCAAATTGCAAGTAACCATAAACACGATATTTATCAGGATGATTTAAAGAGGTTGGTAATCATGCCTGATTAGGCTTTGTGTTTGAAAGCTGCTGGCTTTTCATGGGACAAAACAAGACTATATTTACTTGATTTAGCTTCGCAATCCAACTCTTTCCGAAATCTGGATGCCAAAATCCTTCTGTTATGTTATAGAATGTGCAGAGCTGTAGGAAGAAAAAAAATTGAAATGTACATTGTATCTTTACGTTTTGACTTCATCCTTTAACAGCCTCGACACTGGAGAGCTTTGTTCATAGGAATGGGCCAAGATTATGATCCTTCCTGGGAATTCACAGTGGCAAACCTTCTTTCTTTCAATCTTGGCCGCTATAAAGATTTAATAACAACAGTCTGTGCAGGGGCTGCAGCAGAATATGCACTAGAACTTCAACTTTATCACCTGGCTCGTGCCTGGGAGGAGAAAGACTTCAAGCTCGCAAAGCATATTCCACTGTTGAGACCACGACTGGGAGGTTGGCAGAAAGGGGGTGCTAAAGGGAAAAGGAAGACTAGGCAAACTGGAGCTGAGGTAAATGGAGATGCTTTATTGACATTTATTTTCTAATGCCTTTTTTTGAGCATGATTAATGAGAAAATGATGAGTGGTTATTCTGTTGTAGTCCTCCTTGAGCCAGCCTTGGCCAGTCATTTTTTGTTACCACCTTTTATCCCCTAGATAAAGTAACTTGCTGGTAATGATTATCCAATATTAGAGCATCTTTTGCAGTGATTTCTTCTCCATTTTCAATAAAAAAACGTGATAGATGGTTGATTATTTGGAGGTTGAATTTGAACATTTAGTATTTTTCTGTCTTAAGCAGAAGGCAAACGTGAAGGTGAAACCCAAGACACCAGCCTCTGTACCAGATATGTATATCCTCATCGGGATTGGTGAATTGAAGTGCATCATTGAGGTAAATAGACATGTTAAAACCTATTAAGCATATTGGAAGTGACTTTGAAATAAATGGCAATGGACTTCCCTATGGTGCTTCAATTCTTGTCTACTGTTTCCTGATCAAATTGGAATTTGGTGTGTTGAATTTTTAGAGGGAAGAAAACTAGAGAGAAAATCCCTTGGAGGATGGGGAAGAGTCAATAGCAGACTCAAGTTGAAGACCCACATGTGGTGAAAGGTTTTGGAATAACACCAGGGTCACAGGAGGAGAGCCCTTCTCAATTACACCATTCCTTTGTCCCTTTATGTCAGTTTACCCATGATTTATATAAGTATTTCATAAAAAATGAAGTTAGCGCATTGTAGTCAGTTACCATTGGATCACTGTGAAAACTTTATTGTTACTTACAAACTGACAGAAACTGGGATCTACCTACAACAACTTACAGAAGATAATTGTCAGCATGATATGCGACGAATTAGTTGCCCTGTCATTGAATGCTTTATGCAAACGCTATCTTGTCTTCATTTTTTCATTTTAGGATAATCTCGTCACTTTGCACATCATGCTGACATCTCCTCATGTTGCTGACTTGAAATCAATGGTAGAAACATGGATCACAAACTTGCAGGAAATTGAGAGCATTACAGACATTTGGGCAGACTGCCAAAAGAAGGTTTGTACATGTAGTATCTAAATTTTAACTCTTGATGTGGCATGCATTCCTAAGGGGAGTCGTCAGTTAACCCGATGCCTTAAATTTCAAATTTGTAAATTTTACTCTTTTTTTTGGTGTATCTTTTTGGAGGAGGGGGCAAAAGGGGACTTCCTCACCTTTATGGATAGTATGATAATAACGTGATAATATGTGAGGTTATTGATCCTGTTTTGGTCTCGTAGCTGGTATCAATTTAATCATCTGGGTCTAAAATTAGACACGTGTGGGACCCTCTTTATATCCGGGGTCTTGACTTAGTTGTGATGCAGTTGTTTTTGTTGGATCTGAAGCTACGTAATGAAAATAACTTAATGTGGTCTGAAATAGGATGAGAGTGTTTCAAGAAGCATATCACACAGCATCAGCTATTCCCAGTGCATACACATGCACACACATATCAGACTACAGATGTAGATGTAACCCTTATATGATGCCTGGTGTCTTACATTTCAGTGGCTTTACCTCAGCAATGTTTTTGCGGAGCCAGAATTAAGAAAGTCTTTGGAGAACAGCAGCCAAAGTTACCTTAAAGTTGATGAAAATTACAGAGTAAGTTCATTCTTAAAACTCTTTGAACCTGGTATTGATGAAGTACATTTGATTTAGTGTCGTAAAACCATAACTAAAGTGATCAAAATGGCTAATCAGGTAAAAAAAAAAAGGAAAACAGCAAAGGAATTCGATGAGATTTCTCAGTTAAAAAAAAAAAGCCTCACCCAAAGTGTGAAAACGAGGACCGGTTGAAGTTTTGCATCAGATTGGTTGAAATGATGGCAGGAGTTTTCTGGCCAGGCAAATTGAGCAACAAAAGACGAACCGAAGGAAATTCAGGATCACTTTTGATATTTGATTTAAAATAGCTTAGTATACAACCTTAATTTCTCTATTGTATCTACTACAAACTATGACACAGTGATTTTATTGATTTTAGAAATACTTTTAAAACGATTGGATTTTTTTACATGACTCAATTGCTTGCAGTACTTCAAACGTTTTTGATCATTTGTTTGTTTTAAAATTATTTTATGTGGCCTCAATCTTTTATCTTTATCCAAGGAATTTGTTCAAGTAATCTTGAGGGATCCCAAAGTCCTATCGGTGTTGCCTTTGAAGAAACGAGGGGAGAAGGGCTGGAGAGATCTGCAGGGGGATACCCTGAGGGAACAGCTGCTAGAACTGACCAGAAAAGAGGTGATTTGTGTTCATTTTTAATTGCACAATTTTATTCATTATCTAATATCTTCATCATCCAACATCTATCTTTTCTGTGGATCGCTGATGGATTGTTAGCTGCAGGATCTGCAGATCTGGAAGCTTGGCGTCAAGATTAGAGCTTTTGGATGTCTCAGGCCCAGTTCAAACGTCGAACTTCACATGAGACAGACCTGACTGAAAGAATTAAGTTCTTGTTAAGTTCCACGTTTGAATCAGACGAGTTTGTCCAACTGAATTTAGACCGACCTAGACATTTTGTCCGTGTGAAGGTAGACTATGGGAAAAATGGCGATCTTTTCATGAATCGAGCTTGATGAATAAGTTACAAATTGCCTCGGTTGAAGTCCTGCTGAAAGATAGATTCGTTTTGCTGCTATAAATTTGGTTCGACTAATAGTGATCAACTAATTTTGTTGTGTTAATTGTGTTCGAAGAATTGTGTTTGACGAATTATGTTCGACGTTTTTCTAGCTGTCTTTATCATGCATTTTCAGACTATGCTTCGTGTATACTTAAGTAATTCCTTTTTCCTTGGTTCTCTTTAGGAGGAATTGATAAAAATGGTGGGTGAATACATAGACAAAGCCCGAGTCATATTTCCACGGCTCTACTTCCTCAGCGACAACGACCTACTCGGTCTGTTAGCTTGGTCCCGTAATCCAAAAGACTTGCTACCATTTGTAAGAAAGTGTTTTCCTGGCATAAAGAACCTTCAGTTTGCTTTGCCAAGAGATGGTAATTTAAGGCTGGCCAGCACTTTGGACACAGCACTGAATGGTAATTATTGATTTGTGGTCTAAAAAGAAAATTAATGAATCTTAGAAATAAATTGCTCTTGGTTCCTTTCCTTAGTTCTTTGGTTGATCACGCAGGGAAGAATGATTCATAATGTCGGGCACACTCGGGATCATCAAAGTCTTAACAAGGTCTTTCAATTGTGCTTTCTTTCTTTCAGCCCATCTTTTGCAAGTCACTGCCATGGAGGGTGTGTTGGAAGAAGTAGTTCCTCTTCTATCAGTCATTCCCGCTTCGCCACGTCCACAAAGTTGGCTCGTCACACTCGAGGAGAAGATGAGGAACACATTAGTCAAGAGTCTTGCTGAATGTGTGGACAGAAGGCTCAGGGGAAGACTGAGTCCCAGCAAACTTTTGGAATCAATAACTTCATTTGGTAAGGCTGTTGTGTTTCAACAATTCATTCTAGGGCAAGCTCGGAGCTTTGAATGCATGCAGATGGTTAAAAATGTCTGAAATGACGCGTGAAAAGGTAACTTGCATGAAAATAGGGGGTTTCACTCTAAAGAAAAATATAATGTCGCGATGCTCTCGTAAGTAAGACCTCAGCCTTACCATGGTTAAATCATTCATACCTTTCTTTTCTTAGAAAGAAAGAAAGGAATTCCAAGTAAGGTTGGAAAGTTTTAACACACGGTAGCTCGAGGTTGATAAAGGAATTCTTGGGGATAAATTCTTGCTGAGAAAAAAAGAATAGACTCGTAACTGAACTATGGATTAACTTGCGTGCATCGCTGTGCCTAAGGAGGCGATAATTCTAACATCTGTTCTTCTGTTATGTAGGGGAAAAAGTTTTTCTTCAAAGTTCTAACACAGCGAGTGATTCCAAGCAGACTTCGAAAGAAGAGCAGCGTGATAGCTCACAAGCAGACCACGTTTACTTGAAATTTCCAAGTCAGTGTGTTGTAACAGCAGAGGCAGTTCTTTGGAACAAGGAAATGACTGAGGTGTTACAAAATAAAAGTCTGCGGGGGCTGTCTAACCTCAGGTGTGTTTGTTATCTTAAAATGTTTTTTAGATGACTTAATGTTATAGATTACATATCATGGATTCTAAGTTATTAATTTAAACTTGAAACAGGACACTACATCAAGGAGAATTCTACATGGACGTATAGCGAACCATTACATGTTAGAATAACTATACTAGGTTTCTATCAAAATGCTGCAATCTTATTGGCTACCTTACTCCATATTTATTAAAAGATAGAGGGTGAGTAATAGAAGCCTAACACTGTGCGGTTTTAAATCAAATGAGTGTCTTACCGTCAAGGTTTGATCGATTAGTTCATGTACATGTGAACTAAACGATTAGACTAGTCCATCTCGATTTCTATGCGTGGTAGTTGTTGAGGACTGGATATATCGAGATCATTATCTAAGTGTTAAGTGTTATGGAACTGACAGTCTACGCTTTGGCTTAAAATAGTTTCCTTTGTCTTGTTTAGGAAATCTCTTGTCAGTTATGTGGATGAACTGTCACAGACCATCAGGAAGAACTTGGAGAATGAAAGCCGCTTCTCAGCTCATAATCGTCTTGAGTTGCTTTTATCTGCTTTAGTCGGCCTGGTGATAAATCAGAGAGACATTGTGACAGGTCAGTACTGTACTCATGTTGCCTACATGCATTTTTCTCATGTTTCCCTCTATGTCAACCAATCCCGCTGCCAAGTTGTTGACGACTTTTATGGAACGTCTTGCACAAAGCACTCAGCTGGGTTGTTGCTAGACTGACTTAACATGCATTAACTTATCCAAGAGCAATTTTCCATGAATGCCAAAAACGATCCGTAATTGCATTAATTTTGCACAACTTTCGCTCCACGTCACCTCGACTAATCAGGTGCAAAACTTGATCATTACTTTTCCTTTTCTGCTTGCGTTTTCCATACGTGAGGCTGGTTTATCCTAGCGATGTAACTATTAATTACATGTGGCAGAATTCGTCAACAATGGGGTCTTGGATGTAAACAGCTTTGAATGGAGTAGCCAGCTTCAACACCATATAGAGCTGAACAAGATAATTACATCACGTTACCAAGGAGAAGACAGCGGAGAGAATCAGATCTTAGCTGGGTCTTCTACCATTCCTGTAGAGCATTTATATGAGATTGGCTTGTGCAGCTTACATCAGCTTGGCACCAACTTTGCGTATGGCTATGAGTACCTTGGGCCCTCGCCGAGGCTCGTAGTCACACCACTGACGCAGAGATGCTTCCTCACTCTGACCATGGCTCTACGGTCCCATCAGTGTGGTGTTCCTGTGGGACCCGATGGTATTGGGAAGACTGAGACTATTAAAGACTTGGCTAAGGTACAGCGTGATGGAAATAGATTTTTGTTCTCTTTCTAGGTCGAATATGCTCCGCGAAAGACTTTAAAAGCTTTAGTATGGCTCTGTGAGGTTTCCATTAGAGTGTCTTTCACCAGATTTTGCATTAGTAGAAGAAAACTTAGTTGCATCCCACTTTTTAAGTTATAATTTCCCTTGTTTAGGTAATTTTTCGCAGCTCTGATATACAGATGGTAGGTGAGTTTTGCACGGTAAAAATGAGAAACCCTGATACATACTAATGCATCTCATGCGGAGTCATGGAGGGCCTTATTCAATCACTAAGTTCTTAGAAATGAGGGCGTTGCATTATTTTGAAGGAAGACCCCAGGATCTGTTTCGAAATTGCAAAGCACATTAAATTCTATAATGAAGTGGCGTCAAATAATTAGCTTGTAAACACTCTTCTCACATTTGATTTACGCTTTTAGTTTATCTTTACGTAACCTTCATTTTACTTTCAGGCTCTTGGAAGACATTTGGTCGTGTTTAACTGCTCAGAACAGCCGACTACCTCGATGTTTGTCCGTTATTTATTTGGTATGATCCGGTCAGGCAGCTGGGCCTGTTTTGAAAATGTCGATTGTGTCGAGCCTGGCATTTTGTCCTTCCTCGGTGAGCATCTGGCGAGCATCAGAACATCCATGAAGGCCTTGGAGAGGATCGTTATTTCTCAGTACACTGCTAGAGGAATCTCCAAGACAGACAATCTAGAGGTAGATGCTTTTTGTTATACTTGATTCTTTGTGTCATTTCAAAGCCAAGAAACTGTGGCAGATTGTGGCCTAAAAGCCAATTTAAACTTCCCCTGTCCCATCTGTGGACACAAAAATGAGGCAGTATTTGTTCACTTCCTTGTGCTATTGCGGCTGTTCTCGCGTTAATTCACTGTAGTCAATTTATTACAGCGAATGTGAATGCGAGTTACCTATGATAGAACAACACATGAACATAAAGTCATGATCAGCCACGGCTTGAACTTTCTTGAGGGGTGAGACTCGAGTTAAAAAAATAACTATCACCTCTAGCCAAACGACTCAATTCATGGTTGCTTTTGCAAATTTTGGTCGCTCATGTTTTGTATAAGTTAATATAGGTCAAGAGGATTTTACTTTAAAACGTCAACCATCTATAAGGTGGGGTGGCCAGAAGGGATTTAAAGAGCGGGAAATTTTTCCAACTTCATACAGAAACTGTAAGAGTAACCTTAAATATAATTTGAACCCATTACGCTTATTACGCATTATTTTTGCCTTTTTAGAGCCAAACAGTCAAAAGAAGAAACAGTGTTACGACATTAGGTTCACTCCCACAAGAAGCCTTTTCATCATGTTACAGATCGGAGTCTAAATCGGTAAGGTTTCCTTTCCTCATTGTTTGTAAGAGGTTTGATCTCCTTACGTGGGATTGGCCAAGAAAAACACATAGATCACAAATGTAAAGATTGATTTTTGTCAAAACATCAAGGTAATTATTGTTGTGAGAATAGTGCATTACAGGTGACTTAGTTTTTTATCTTCAATGAAATCACTGTAGTCCTGCTATTGAAGACATGGGTTGTGGAGCGGTGGTGCTTTTTTGTTGAATTTCCCAGTTTTTTGTTTTCAGGGAAGCCGCGTCGCGAAACGAAAGAGGCACTTGTCAATCTCTAAGATATGTGATCTCGAAGAAGGAGATTACTTTGAGAATGAAACACCGCAACCATTATCCTCGTTAGAGCAACAACCTAGGTTTCCCCCGACGTTCCATAACAAGGTGGCGAAAGTGTACAAGAAACAAACCAGCCTCAGAGAGTTTGAAATGCCTCTACTGGGAAACATCGTGTTCGAAGGGCAGCTCATGGCAGCCAGTGCAATGTATGGTTGTTTCATGACCATGTCTGGTAAAAACTGTTTCAACGCTGATCTTCCAGAAAACTTCAGGGTGAGTTTTTATCATCTTTCATTGTGATATAAAGTTGATTTTTTTAAAAAAAAAGGATTAAATATCGGGTTTGGTTGTTTTTGGGTCAGAAATGGGATATTTATTTTGTTGCTGGAAAATATGTTATTTTTTGTTGCTACCGTTAACAGGCTCAACTCAGGCCCATATCGATGGTCTTTCCGGACTACCTTCCTGTGGTGGAAGTATGGTTGGTGTGCTGTGGTTTTACTGAAGCCAAGTCTCTTGCTATGAAGATCAACACATTCTTTAAATTAATCAATGAACAGGTAACTGCATTCTTTTTCGTTTGAGATTCTTCAGTTTATGTTTATTTTGAGGATTATATTATAACGGATCTCCTGTGCAATGTAGTTGGTTAGACTGTGATCTTTATTTACCTATGAAACTTGGTAAAAATTATGGCTCAACTATGTTGTAGAAATCCATTTTTTAAAACCACGATAAACAAGCACAGGAGAATTTTGGTGAGAAATGTTTCCTTTACTGCACTGTGGGCTGAGATTAATCCGCACTTTAAAGGAATTTTAGAGAAATTTTGCAGTAAAACCGACTTAATTTTTGTTTGCACCCGAGTAAAAAACCGTTGACAGCTCGAAAGGGATAATCAGAAACGATGTGACCCAACGGCTTATCGGGCAGTGTTATTAACTTTGCACACATCGATTTACTCCCAATTTACTAACTGCTCTTAGCAGATCTTTTTCTTTGTGATAATTCTCTTCTATTTGTTAAGTTTGAACAGCTTCCTTAATTCACCACTTGCAATAAATCGTGTGTATCATGGACTTGTTAAATCATAGAGCCGTTGGTTGGCATCTTTGGTAGTTGATGCTTTGTAATCTGTAATGTTTTTGGAATTGATGGTATTCGGATGTATTGACTCTGGTCAATTTTTGTACAAAGGTGTCTTCCCAACCTCAGTACTCATTTGGATTGCGCAGCATGAAAATGGTGACTACCTTAGCTGCAACAGAGCTTCAGAAAGAAATGACCAGAAAGAGGCGACCTACAATAAGTTCTATTACTGAGGAATCGCCGAGTGAAAATGGTTAGATCGGTTTTCTTGTCCGATTTCACGATATTCATAGTAATTGCGGTTTTAGTGTGAGGTAGATAATGCAAAAATCTTAGTTTGACAGATAGACGGGTACAACTGCAGCTCTGTAGACAAACAAACAGGACGACAAGCAAACCGCACTAACATATACGTGGTAACAAACAGAACAAAGCAAACAGCTGTTAAAGAAAGTTTGGTCCTTGGCCTTTTCAATCCTCTAAGAAGAGCTTGTATAATTTGTCGAGGAAAGACTGACGCTCTGGTTGTGGAATTATGTAATCCATGATCACGATCTTGCCTGATGGCAGTAATAGTATTGATATACAAGTCCTGTGACTGTATTGGTAGCTGTTGTTGACAGGCACAAATTGAAATTGGTTTCGTGTGTGACTTTTGCAGCAGAGAGGAAGACGAGAAGTCCTTTTCTTGAGACCTTGGAAAGACGTCAAGCTGAGGAGAATGCTATAGTACATGCTTTGTTTTCGTACTTTGGAAAGAAGCTGTTGGGGAAGGACAAAGATCTGTTTTCGCGTGGAGTTGACGAAGTCTTCGCACACAGTGTCTTGATGTCGGTATCTACTGAAGGTGATTCAAAGCTAATTGAAGAAGTAAAAGACCATCTTCAAACAAACGGACTGCAAGTCAAACAGGAATTGGTATCAAAGGTAATTATTAGTATCGTCTTTTTTTTTTTTTAATATTTGAAGATGGAGTTGAGGGTCGAAGTCGTTAATTTCTCAATTTTATCACCAAATGTTTTCTCATGGGAAAGATGGAAGCGTAAAAATCATCTTATGGCCCGAATGGCCCTCCGCGTGCTTTCAGTGCAAAACAGTTAACAAAATCCCAGTATGCGAGGGCACTAGGCGAAAGCGTAACCAGCAGGGCCGAAAAAAGCCGTACGGCTCCTCGAGATGCGAACTCTAAGAGGAAGGGAAGAAAGAGAAAGAAAAAAAGTATTTGGTTTTTGGTCCGTACTTTTTGAACGCTGGCCAAATAAATTCTGGTTTGGCCCTCCCACTAAATCAATGTGATTTTTATCTCAACAGATTATTCAGCTTCATACAACCCTTCAAACAAGCCGTAATGTGATCCTTTTGGGGTGCCCAGGTTCCGGTAAATCAACGATATATACCACCTTGGCAAGTGCTCTTAACAGCATGAACGGTCAAACAACTCAGCCTGTTGTGAAGCACCGCAGACAAGCAGGCTCAGAGAGAAGGGTGAGCACTTCCTTCAGACCCGCGGCAAAGGTCCCAGTTGAGGAAATCAAAGATGTCCAGTGGCCAAGGGTTGATCTCTCCATCGTTTTCCCAAAATCACTGACCTGCGAAGAGGCAAGTGTTCCTGTCTGTCTAACTAAGAAATTATGTCTTACATTTATTTGAAGAAATCCGACCTCTAGTGAGAACTTCAGCATTCATCCCATTCAACGTCTATTTCTTCGATACTCGTACCCCTATGTGTTACTTAAGCAATAAAACACACTTTCTGTCGGTTTACCGGCGAATAAACCACGCAGTATGTTGAGAAAACACGAAAAACGTTTGTTAACTACCAGGCGTAGCCGAGTGGTTTCCAGTCTTTTTCAAACTTTAACAGCGCAGCGGAAAATAAAGGCTTAAAACGGAGCAACCAGTTAGTAAAACTGCATTTAAAATAAAGGAGTTGGTCAGGTAAGAAAAATAAAATTTTTGTCGTTTTTTGTGGTTTTCAAAGTGTCCTCTTCGTTTCCTCAAACTAAAGGCCTTTAAAAAAATTTCAATCTGGAAATTCGCACCGTGTGGCCCCTTTTCCGGGGACGGGAAGATGTTTCAGTTTTCTATGGGTATTTATAATAAAGTTCGGATATAACGCGCGCTGTCATTGACTGAAAGAGCGTGCTCTATGAGAGTATAGAACATAGAGCTGAGCTAAAGCTGTCACGCTATCTGCCAAATTGTACTATGTTCGACCTTTTCCAGGACTTCTTTTTAGCTTTTTTCTGATAATGGAAAGTGAAATTTCGGACTTCTTTTTAGCTTTTTTCTGATAATGGAAAGTGAAATTTCGGAACAAGCGAGCCGGCAAATAGCAACAGAAGAACCAAACAAACGTTTGTAAACATACCAGGCGCCGTGATTTACGTTATTAAAACGTGAGCAGATACGAAAATCCTTTAAGGAAAAACAAAATAGACATTCCGAGTTTTAAAGATTTTCACGCTCAGTTAGATTGCAAGCTTACGTACAGTAATAAAAATCAAACACAGCTAACACTCGTATAGTATATTAAGTTCAGTGTTCAAAAACAAAACAGAACAAAACAGAAATGATGAAAAATATAACAAATCTGGCATAACTGTTAAAATTCATACTAATCATGACGGTGTCTGAGCGAATATGATCATGCTGAAGTCCATCGCGGCTCGCTCATCATGGCGATCTCCGGTCATCACAGTAAAGCAAGCCTCAGAAACTACATCGGCCGCCCTTCGAGTGAAAAAATAAGAGCTTGCTCTGATATCCTTTCCGATGCATTGAGTGGAAAGTCACATCAGTCACTGCAGCCGAGTTTTGCGGCGCTGCCATCCCGAGCGATCTTCATGTTCCGGTGAATTCGGCTGTCGTTCATTCAAAAACACTCGCCTTGAACAGTTTGTTTTCTACCTTGTCATGTGAAAAAACTCGCGTGTTTTTATGAGCCATAATTCGGCTGATTTTCACTGCACATTTCACTTCAAGATTCTGTATTAGAGACTGAAAAACTTCAGGCAAAAGTGTTAAATTCACCTGCCGAACTATTTCAGTTTGTAAACTATCGCAGAATGTGAAATTTGATGGTTTTTTAACTTTGATCGTTTGACACTTTTGACAGCTTTAGTCTTGTACAGCCAATCAGATTATTTGAACCATTCTAACAGGGATTCTGATTGGCTTATTGTAGCGTGCTTTATGAGAGTATAGAGCATGCTGATGACACTGTTGTTCGCTTTGGAAATTAAGTTTGTTTTAAAAATTGAAAGTAATGCTTGGCTCGACTACGTCTCGTGTTTCTCCCTACACTTCTTGAGTGCTCTAGCCGCTTCCTGCGTGCTTTATAATAGAACAGAGCACAGTCAAGGGTTTTCTATTTGTTAAACAGGCAAATAAACAATAGATTTTTGACCAATCAGAGAGCGTTGTGTCTAAGTTATTTTATAATATCATGTTATTTTCCCTCATAGTGTCAGCCCTGTATCAAACATTAAGGTTATGACAGTGGAAGAAGTCTACCATAATTATAGAAGCACTTGATTTTTTAGCAAATTCTCCTCGTCATTGTTATTGGAAATTTGTGGAAAACAGTATGGAGAATATGCATATTGAATCTGAGGTGTAAAGGGTTAAGGAGGGGCAGGTCTAACGAGCTCATAGGGAAGAAGTGACCGGGAGTATCGCTTATTGTCTTGAACTAGTTGCCACTGTATAATGGAATAACCCCCACCTCTTAAAGCAATTCTTCAGCCTTGGCAGACCGTTTACTGGTATCAATTTCTACGTCTGGATGGAGGGAAGCGCTGTTAGAGCATTTTCCTCTCGCCAAAACACACGAGATGGTCTGACAGGGGTCGAAGGGGGCTTAGGGCTCAAGTATATCCGTTAATATGCTCTCTTAAGAGATTTGTATGACCAGCTTGTCTACATTGCCGGATTCTGCGCGACCTAGCTCCCTTTCTAATTATAAAATTTCATTGTTTTGAGCAGTTGTTTGGAAGACAACACCCGGAGACTGACCTATGGATGGACGGTCTGGTGTCTAAGTGGCTTAGAGACACAACTCTTACGTGTGATACCATGACCAAGCTTCTTTCGAGCCATTCATCTGAAAAACAACCCATTGCTCGTATGATGGGTTCCCTGTCTCACGTAAAGAAATGGCTAGTGCTTGACGGACCAATGGATGACACTTGGCTGGAGAGTATGGGGACCCTGTTGGATTCCACTAGAGCTCTCAGTTTGCCCAACGGAGAATCCATTGCTCAGCCAGGTGAATTTTAAGGCTTTTGTGAACTTGAGGAGGCAAAAGTTGTTATTTTTAATGTTTAAATGTGATAATAATTTGTTTTTGCCCTTACAAACAAACATAGATAAACAGAAAAAACAAACAAGCAAACAAACAAACAAACAAACAAGCAAACTAAAAAAAAAAAGAAGTAAATTGTGGCAGTGTTTCTGATAACAGGTATCACTCTTTAGAGTGCCTCAGTGTAAGGCCATGGGAAACGAAAAGGGACCATTGGGTGTTTTCTTAAAGACAAAGCTACCGTCGAACCAGCATTAAGCAGTCGGTTGTCAAAATCCCGAAATTCCATCTCCGCATTGTAATTTTCACCTCTGTTAAGCGGTCTTGGCCACCTTCTACTGAGTCCCAACAGCCTCATTCCATTGTCTTCAACCTATAATGAACGGTCGCTTAAAGCGGACTATCGTTGTGCTCCCTCCCTAACCACATCAGACGAAGAAATAAAGGAACGTATCCTAACGCCATGCTTTAATTACTTTAATTTACTTTCGCTTCTTTCAGAAACTGTGACACTTCTTTTCGAGGTGACAGAAATAATTCACGTATCTCCAGCATTAGTAACACGCTGTGGTCTGCTCTACTGTCCTCAATCACTAGTGGGATGGAAACCAATTTTTAGGTCCTGGCTGAAGGGGGCGCACGCGCGCTGGGAGATCACAAATAGAGGGTAAGTGGACTTCTTTAGTTGTGTTGGAATTTATTTTAATTGCCTTTTGCGTAAGGAGGGAAACCGAAAAACTCCTAGAAGATCCTTGCTGCAAGAATGGAAACTGCATATAGCACGCCCCATGAATGATACTGGGACCAGAATTTTATTCCAATGAGGGCCATTTGCTCTTGCAATCGAAACGTTATTGTTTATTTTAATGGCTTCCTTTCAATTTCAGTTTGGGAATCATCTCGTGTTTGATGGATCACGTGGTGGATTCTACACTGTACTTCCTTAGTCATCACTGTGAATCCATACTGACCTCTGGGTACAGCTCCATAAACAAGCCCTCCAAAACAGCCACAGGAGTGCATGAAGTACAGTCACTGTTACGCTACCTCTCCGCCATCTACGATAGGCACATCCTACGAGAGGATGAAGATAGTCAGATCCAGATGATAAACCAGAGGAACCGACAGACTTCCGTGAGTTCTGGTAGCAGCAGGCACAGCTCAGGAATTTCCGCCAGTGACACAGGAAGGGTCATTAGTTCCTTTGCTTTCGCCTTCATTTGGGCTTTTGGCGGTCATTTGCACGAAAGGTATTTCTTAACCACAAGCAATGTTTTCTCCTTTGGACACTCATCGTCCTTTTTGGGAATTTCCCATCTGGTATCGTCATGGGATTAGCAAACATATCTGCGACTCTGCATCTCGTCTTTTTTTCATGGAAAAACAGAAGCATATCGTTTGTTGTTGCACTCGCTTCCTCGAACTGAGCACTCGCCGTGCAAGTTACGAAATCGTTTTTAGTGTCAGTTTTACCCAAGTGTTGAGGCCAGTAATCAAATCTCTTTATGCCAGACTACGCACAACTCCAATGCAAACAGCTAAAGCATCTTTTGAGTGAACCCTAACCTTTTCACCAGAAATGGCTTTTCAATTGTCTTTATTTTTACCCAAATATCTACTTATATACTATTGAATATTGTATAAATCGACTTGTTGTCATTTGCTTGTGTTTTAAAGATGCGCTGATAAGTTTGATGAGCATACTCGGCAGCTGTTGTCTGCTGGCCCGTATCCAGTCCTTATACCTCCTGATGGATCAGTATACGACTACTGCCTAGATTTCAGTAAAGGTGGCTTGGTAAAGTGGGAGGGAAGACCTGGATCACAACTGAAGACACTACCCTCATCTTACACCGTCGTTACCGAGGTAACTATAATGAGACTTTTCATACTGTAGTTTTTATTAACTCAAATAAGTATACATCGCCACACTACGCAGCTCATTCTTAAGAAATAATCGATACAGAATGTGATTGAGCAATCTGTTCACAAACGCACCACACACTCAGCTGTTATCTTGAAAAGTCCTCTGTCTGAATGGTGGCTGAAGTTTAAATGCTCGTGGTTTAGAAGCTTCATTACCTAAGAAGATTCATTTTGTATCATTTGGATCATAACTTCATGACCTTTATTATCCGTATGGTAAATTCGGTTGCCTTCGGTCCAGGAAGCGTTAGCTGTCTTTTTTTTTTGTTTATGAATGTTTATGTACGTTTTTCTAAGTTTATTTTCTCTTTTACTTTTCAGTTGGATCGCTACTTTTACCTAATAGACCTTATGTTATCTGCACATCAGCCATTGCTGCTGGTTGGTCCATCAGGAATTGGAAAGTCGTCCCTAGTGCAGGTTTGTTATGTTTCCAGTTGTGTGGTCTTTAAAATAACTCACTCTATGGTATTCGCACAGTGAACCATTACATTTTTTCCAGAACTTGATCAACCCACGCTATAACTCGACACGAATCTGTCTATCCGCTGGCCTGACCTCGAAACTGCTCCAAGAGGCGATCGAACATAAGCTTCAGCAAATTCAACGGAAGGAGATGACCCAGTTAGCTTTTACAAAGGCGATACCAGGAGCTGCTGCTCCTAAGAATCTACCCGTTGCAAAGTCTCGCGCTCATCTTATGTTTCTTGATGATCTCAACTACGCCGCCTCAGATGATTTTGGAATTCAGCCTCCACTTGAACTTCTCCGACAAATCCTCTCACAAGGTAATTATTTGGTATGTTTGGGCATGAGTAACGTATATTTGCGTTATTGAATGGATAAGGGGTTGGCTGAAGATGGGTCAAAGTTTTCCCGAGGCTTTAAATTATGTCGCTTTCTTCCCTTCCCCCTTGGTAGGATTTTTTTCAAGCGCGACACATTTTCCAGACATCCGTTTTCCGTAATAAACAAGGCTATTATCCAGCTATTACGAAGGAACAGCATTTCGTTACTTAATTATTATTTTATCAGTAATTCAAAGTTAACTTATCTTAGCCGCCTGTCAGAAGAATTCCGCCCACGTTTGTAACAATGCGCCCAACACTACTTTTCAGCTGTGCAGACCATAGCTTCCTGTTGAGATATTTGAGTATTTGTCTTCTTCGTTTAGGAACATTGTACAACAAACAGAGACATCACCTGTATAGGGTGCAACACCTCCAGTTCATGGCCGCTTGTGTTCCTCCCGGTGCGGCTTCGTCTTGTGGAGGGGTAGCATCATATGCCATCAGCCATCGCTTGTCTAGGCTGATGACGGTCTTGTCATTCTTTCCCTTGTCTTCTGAGTCACTGGAGAATATTTACTCGTCAGTATTTCAGACCTGGTTGGAAGAGTTTCCAGCGTATTCGATAAGCCACCATGAGCATTTGGCCAAGGTAAGAGAGAGGGAGAACCGAATACTGCTTCTTGGAGGCGGCAGTGTTTATCTCTGTGTCTGTCTGTATGTATGTCTGTCTGTGCTGGTGTCTGTGTCAATATTTGAGTCAGTGACATTATCAGAATCAGTGTCAGTGTCATTTCAGTCTCAGTGGAACTGAATATATCAGAATCAGTGTCAGTTCAGTCTCAGTGGAAATGCAAACATCAGAATTATTGTGTTAGTGACAACGAAAGTGTCGACGTAACCGTCAGCATCAGCCTCATTTAATGTAATTGTCATTTTAAGTATTAGTGTCAACTTTCGGTGTCAGTCAGTGTCATTAATAACGTCATTCGTTTTTCCACGCGATGAGAGTAATTTTGTGGTGGCTACCTTCCAGTTTGCGCCTACTTACCTTTCGAATATAAAGCGATATCTATATATCCTCATCTGCTTCCCTGACAGGCGCTGTCGTCGGCGTCCATTAAGATGTACAACACCATTCAAAGGGAACTTCGCCCTACCCCGCTTCATCCTCATTTCCTGTTTACCCAGCACGAGCTGTCTAGGGTGGCGCAGGGTATGTCCCTCCTCTCGTCCAAGAGCCGTGGACGTCCAAGACCTCGTGCGAGGAGGCGAGCTGGCACAGGAAACGACTTGGAGGGGGAAGCGAAGGCTGAAGCCATTGGCGATGTGAAGAGTGAGTCCAGTATTCATAGAAAGGAGAGGTCACAGCGTAGAGGGAATGTTGGTAGAGGACGAAGGTGCATAAGATTGTAGACTTCTTATTGTCGTGTTGTACAATATCCAAAGCTAATAGGGACCTATCACTTTGAAATCGTCAGAGAAGGACCATGAAAATCACGAGCCTTCATTATTTGTGACTGGCGAGGCGAAGGAAATTTCATATTCACAATTCTATGCGCTAATTACATCACTATCCATCCTCAGGGGGAATATAGTATAATCTTACCTAGCATTTGAGTCAATCCTGTTTATCAAAATAATATCGCCTTCTATCTTGGATCAGTTTAAATCGGCTTCCATTTGTACAAATCATTAAAACTAACATGGATCATGGAGACGGAGTAGTCGTTTCAAATTCGCTTATTCTATCTCGAGATCGGCGAATCTTACTTGAGACATCCTCGTGGTCCTACATTCTCTTATGAGTTCTCTTCTTTTTACTCTAGTTGGCCTTCTCTCACAAACGGCCCGGTAGAGTCCGGAATGTCCGCGAAGACGCCCGCTGCTTTGTCACCAATGATTCGTTCTCTCCTTCGCTTGTGGTGCCACGAAAGTACTCGAACCTATAGTGATCGCCTTCTAACCGAGGAACAGCGCTACTGGTTCTCGTCTTTGTTGCACGAGACCGTTGAGGAGTTTTTCTGTAAGACTGCCTCGGACCTGGGCTCCGAGGTGTTCTCTGTTGAGCGATCCGTGATGCAGAACTCTCAAGGTACATAATGTAATATGGTGCTTGTTGATGCCGTGTCGTTGTTCTAGTACTTAACGCCTCACACATGACGCTTTCGACTTAAAAAATCTCACCATTATGCGGTACCCATGTCACATATGAACTCAGTTGATGGCCACATTCGCTGGTGGATTCTCTATGGCGATCGAATGGTCATAAATGGCTTAGGGGTCTATTATGCCATAGACTTTTTTCAGGATGCATAATTCCTTTGTTTAAAGGCGGGAGTAGGTACAAGACTATTGGCGTGAAAAATGGGAGTAAATTGTATGCAAGTCAAACTCATTTTCGCAAGAAAGGTTTTTCACTTGGCTTCATTTCTAAATTGAGGGTTTTTAGAACAACGCTATCTTGTTTATTTCAGAGGCTTTGCCCGGTAGAAATGCTCCCCCACCTACGACTAGTGACGAACAGATCCAAACCACAGGAGAGTATGAGGCACTATTACAATCGGACGACTCCTTAGCTGTACCAGGTCGTGAACCGCAAGACTTGAGCGATGAAGACGCTGGAGAGGAAGGAGATATTGATGCTATTCCCACTCAAGAAACTCCTGAACCAGGGGAGGATTTCGATGAAGTTGTTGCAGATACCACAGAAAAGGATGTCACGAACAGGGAAATTCTTCCTGAGAAACAAAATGGAAATGATGAAAATTTAGGTGAAGGAGAAGTTCCCGAAGACGAAACGCTAAGTCGAGAGCAGAGTTTGATAGCAAACACTGTGGTCCATCAGCCTGCAAGAGTAAAGGTCACGTTTGACGACACCAGTGGTACGAGCTACGACAAGAACTACAATGGTCCTTTGATTTCATCAGAGCAGCTGGCTTTCTCTGGAGAGGATCTCACAGATATTGTGTTCTGTAAGCATTTCAATGTGTCTGTGACCGGACGAGAAAGTAGCGCCAGCGAAGTTGCAAGCAAGAACTACTTGGAGTGTGCTGAGAGCATCTTGGAACAAGGGATAAAGAGATGTTTAGTGTCATATAATGAAAAGGTGGCTGAATCATCCAGTGCCAAAATCATGAACTTGGTGACATTTCGTGAGGCACTTCATCATGCCGCACGTTTGAGTCGAGCATTGGTGAGTTCCCCGCCCTCCCCCAGCTCTCCTATTCTTTCTCTGCGTTCATTTTGTAAACTGTCCAGTAGCGTGTGATTAGTCAATTTGCAATAATGACAATCAATGTTTTCTCTTCCCAGGCCACACCAGGAGGTCATTCTCTGTTGCTATCGGATCTTGGTTACGGACGAAGGACCCTAACAAGGCTCACTGCACACGCAGCTTGCTGCAAGGTTTGTGCAAAGACTTTCCTCTGTCAGGGATGTCACTTTGTCGTAACAAAAAAGTGCATATTACTTAGAAAGTGTTCCAGCTCTAATTAATCGGCCTGACGGTCGTTGGCTGCTTTGATCCCTTATTCGTTTACTTATTCATGTTTCTCTGCGTCTATTTGCTCCCTGACTTGTTTCGTTCTCCCACTGTACTCTCCCTGCTTTTTTTTTCTCACGTAGTAGTAGTGCCTTGCCTTCAAAATCATGAATTTTCACCATTCCTTCCTGAATTGCCCTCACTTGTTTCTGCGTCTCTCATTTCAGTTGATAGAGCTACAGCGCAGCCAGTTTCAGAACCAGGAGGACTTCAGACAACAGATCAAAGTGGCATCATTTATTGCCGGGCTTCAAGGGAAACCCGTAGTGTTGTTTGTACCAGAAGGTGTTGACGATGAAGCCATGCAGGACATTTGCTCACTAATGGCAGAAGGTAAAGAATTGTGACTCACTGCTGGAAAACAAAATAGCTTTTAATTAACTAATTATTAGAGAAAAATTATTCAAATCCCAAGTTTTGGAATTCTGTTGGTTTATGCTATGCTTTTGTGCTGCTGCAGGTTAACTCTTGCCTTACGATTGACAGTAATCATAGTAGCCCCATATCGTCCATACTCATACTTCTTTCTGTTGTTTTATTTTAGGGACATGTCCAGGTCTCTATACACATAATGAGCTGTTCATGATCTCCAACCAGCTTCTTCCTGGGGGAAAAAGAGGTCCACGCAGAGTAGAAAACCAAGATATTGCTCAAGAACGATACTTCCGCCGCGTCAAATCACACATCCACGTTGTCGTCTGTTTGAAATACAAAAAGCTCGACTTTTCCAATTCCTTAGAGAGGAATCAATTATACAAGTTTCCATCCTTGGTAAAAAGAAGCTGCTGTGTTGATGTCTATAAGGCTTGGCCGCACGAGGCGCTTGTTAGTGTGGCAGAGAAGTTGCTCGATGAGGAAGAAAGTGTGCTTAGTCTTGTACCATTAAAAAGACGCGAGCGAGACTTACAATCCGTGGCCATATGTTCAATAATGGCTCACGTTCATCTGTCTTCTAGAAGCATGGCGGAAAGGATCTACGGGGTCAAGGCGTTAAAATTTTACTCGCCTGATACGTATTTGGATTTTGTAGACTTATTTCGGAAGATCTGCAGAAGGTTATGTGCGAAAGAAAAGGTAAGAGTGGGAGTAACAGTGCTCAGATCTGTAGCTTTTATGAGCAGGAACCTTTGCACTGAGCTTTGGCGACAGAGAATCAAGCTACTCCTGTAGGAGAATCTATCACTCTAAATGTTTTTTACAAGCTTGGATAATCTCCGTCATGCTAATTTGTGAAGTACCACTTTTCTCGGAAATCCGGGTGGGACACAGAAAATACCAATCCATTTGCTGAGTTTAGTTTTTTCGGGTATCCTCGCTCTTTAGCACGCTCCAGAAAGCCGTCATCCAAACTAACATATCATTTCTTTCGTATCATTTCATTGTAGGAAGTGGTGGCTCATCTTGACAAGGCGATTAAGAGGGTTGAGGAAGCTACTCACAGCTTAAGCAAGATGCAGAAAGAATTGAATAGCCTTGCTCCAGTGTTCGAAGCGTCCAAAACGGACGTGCAGTTGAGGCAGGAGACTGTGGAAGCGTGCCAGAAGGAGTACACTGCTGCAATGGAGAGGTGTAAGAAGCAAGAAAAGGACATCGAGAACATGCAGATACCTATTGAACTCCTCAGGAAGGAGGCTCAAGCAGAATTTGAAAAGGTGTGGTTCAAATTGGGTTGTGTACGTCGTAAAAGCCTCATTGACCTTGCCACTGGAGTTTATCCCGTTGTACACATTATGAAGCGACTTCCAGAATTTCACTTCCCCTGCACATGCCAATCTGTTTCTCTGAAGAAGAATTTTGGCTCTCAAAACTTTAAGTTAATTGGTTTGCTTGTTTGAGAGCCAGTCAGTCCTTCTGTGAAATTCGCGGTTTGGTTTTATGTAAAATGATACGATAGCTTTTGTCAGACCTAAGCAAGTCCTGCTTTTTATTTTCAAGGTCAACCCGTTATTTGATGCGGCATGGAAGGCTATCGACTCATTAAATATTCACGACTTGGAGGAAATCAGAAGTTACCGAACTCCACCTGCGCTGGTTACCCTTGTTGTGAATGCAATTTGCCTCATGTTTGAAAAGGAACAGACGTAAGTTGGAAAACCTTCGCCAACCTGTTCATCATTTCATCTTCCGTAGCTTTTGTTGAATTTTGGGCTTTCTACGTAAAATGCCAGATCTATAGTTTGGTGTAACTTTCGAGGAATAAGTACTCAGGCAGTTGTATGCCTTCACGCAGGTCTCCAAAATCTTTCAGCTCAGGGTCTTCTCCCCGAATGTCAGGCCATAGTTTTCCTTAACCTGATTCAAATAAAAAATGACTGTCTCGTCAGACAAGCATGGTGCCCTTCTTACAAAATTTTTTATTTTATTCTCCACCATCTTTTTGAGAATTCCCTTTCCAATGCATGCATTTGATAGAATATAGATCAACAAGGGGTGATGTGTTCTTGTTTGTTTATTTTCCGGTATAATTTGTTAGATCGTTTGCAATTTTTATTTTTTGTTTGTTTGTTTTTGATGATGTTTTTGTTGATGTTTTTGGTTTCCTTTATTATTGTTGTCTGCTTATTGTTATTTCAGTTATTTGTCAGAATAGTTTGCACAGTAATTTTTTTTTTGACTGAAAGTCCTCTCAGTTCAATGTTGGTTTGGAAATAACTTTGTATTGATTGTGTACTGCATGCCTAGCTCTCAGTTAAGAATATCAGTCTTCTTCCATTTTAATCAGTCTATTGACCGACATTATTTCTTTATTTTGGTTTCAGATGGGAAGAAGGAAAGCTTCTACTCAACCGAAACAACTTCTTTAAAGACTTAGAATTTTACAACATGGCCGAAATGCGGGATTCTATTTTTGAAGGACTCAAAACGTTCTACTATAACCCGTTATTCCAAGCAGATGTTGTCCAAGATGGAAGTATGGCCGCCAGGTCTTTGTGTTTGTGGGTGCGAGCTGTTTATGATTTCTGTTTAGTGAACAGATCTCTAAAACCCAAACGGCAGCAGTTGGAGAAAGCAGAGGAGGAACTTGAAAAGGTATTGAAAATCGGGAAAAGCGGTTAATTTTTTAGAACTTTTGGTTGTGTTGTTAACAAGTAAAGTGAATAGATCAGTTTAACTTGCTCCAATAAACTTTGTGGTCGTGGCTTTGTCGTAAGCAAAGCCACTTTACCTTTCCTCCTTCAAACTAAAATTGAAAGTAAAAAGCAGCGATCTGTTCCTTGCGAAGTGATTTATTCTCCTTCACATTCTCAAAACAGGTGGTACCAAGTTAAAAACTGTCAAAGAGCATGGTGAATTCATTGAATTGTAGACAGTGCATTAAGAGTTACGTCTGATGCATGCTAAAATACGCACATTTTGAAAGGTGACGTCATCGCATTTGAGGAACACTAAGATCGAGTATTTTGAACCTGCTTGCAATACCACATCAGGGTAACAGTCCGAGAAATATCACGCCCTGTTATTTCTGTTCTTCAGCAATGTTTGTATTCTTCTTGATATGAAATTGTTCGTTAAAATATGGTCTCCATTGGACGAATTAACTCTTTCCATATTACCAAGGATGTGGCTTCGCTGGTGAGCGAGATCTGTGAAGTCTCTTGGGAACAGGATACTACCTTTGATCCACGCTTGTGATAAAGTTTTCACTTCTTTCTTTAATTCGTTGTTTGTTCTCGACTTTGAAGGCAAAGTCCATTCTGGGAGAGATGAGAGTGAGATGCAACGCCATCAAACAAGAGCTTGAGTCGAACATCCAGCGGTACAAAGAGAGTGTGAAGCATTCAAGGACAGTTGAAAAACAGATTCAAGTAGGTTATCTAAATTCATCCCGATTTTAGAGCAGTTGCACTGTAGTTTTGTTCGTAATGTTCGCGTTGATTTTCCTAGTGACTCTTTTTTTTCGGTTTTACCCACTATTTGCAATTTATAGTGATTTTCGACAAATGCCAGCATTACTTGTCGTTGATGAAAATCATAATTAGGATTAATCCTATCACTCTGTTATCAGGTAAGTAAGTGTCAACAACTGAGTTGAAAACGTAAATTGACCACTGTAAACCTCCATCGCTCTGACGAAGGGCTAACGCTCGAAACGTCAGCTTTTAAACTCTTTACGGTGGTCAATTTACGTTTTTAACTCAGTTGTTAACATTAAATTACCTGTTATACTCTCCCACCGACGCAGCACCACAGTTTCTTCAGAAACTTACCCCCTTTATTAACTCTGTTGTCAAACTCAAACCATGGCGATCAACCAGAGGTCAGCCATTATGTTCGGTGAACCTTTTCTCTAAGGTCCCTTAGTTAACTTGTTTTTGTTTGGTTTAATTTGCAAGGCAAGAGTTTTACGAGATAAAAAGTAAAATTAGTAAAATTTCTCCACAGAACATTGAAACAATCAAATCCAAAGGAGATGCGCTTGTCGACAGCCTATCCTCCTACTCTAATATCTGGCACAGTGGTCGATTGCTCGCCCAACAGCATCTGACTTCAGCACTTGGAGATTCCCTAGTAACGGCTGCTGCAGTATGTTACCTGGGTCCACTTATCCCTGAAGCACGTGATGAATTATTCACTGATTGGCTGAGGGTGTGTGACGGGGTGTCCCGAGCGCCTCGTCAAGGCTTTCTTACTTTATCGTCCGTGTCACTTGCTGATTCCCGAAAGGAATGCAAGTATGATGACGGTGAGACAGGTAAGCCTGGCGTTGCTACCTTTTAGGTTAAACACAATTCGGGATAAACACATCAGAGATGATCATTTTCTTACTTTTTGCATTAAACACCAAAATTTCTAATCCTTGTGTAAGGAGACTTGGGTGCAATGTCTTATTTGAATAGAGTGCGTATGTTGTATAGTGGAAGGGGTTGTTCAGGAATTTTCTCTTATGGAAATGACGGTTACTAATATCTTAATAGGATAAATTACCTTAAAAGCAATTGCTTATTGTTACTTAGTTGACAAATCGTTACTGAGGCTTATGTACCGTATGTTTACACAGGAAGGGACTCCCGTCCTGCTACACAATCCACTTTGGTATCAACCATAACCACGAACATTGTTCCTGTCAGAGAGGACGTGTCATTGAAGGCGATATTGGCGGCTCCCAACGAATTAGAGGACTGGAGGAGAAATGACCTGCCCACCAATGAACAGGCGGTAAATAACGCTTTGATACTGAGAAGCTGTGGGGATGATAGAACACGCGCATGGCCACTGTTGATTGATCCTCATAATCAGGCTGAGTTATGGATAAGAGCACTGCATCAAGGTATTCCGAACCATATGTGTACTGTTAGTTTTCTGGTATAAATCTTTTCTTTAAAACCTGCTTATACATGTATCTGTGGGTAAAAAGATGATAAAGCTATTGAAATTTTATTTCAAACTTTGACTGACTTCCTTTAGTTTTTCTCCGGCGATTCCTTTCTATAATTTTCTCAAAGAAATGCACCTTGTAATGGCTGCAGGTTCTTGAACAACGAGCCCTGATTGTTAGTTTTTATGTTTATTTTTTTTTTTAAATGATATTTTCCTTGGAAATTTACCTTTAAGTTTCCTCTTCATGAACTACACTCAGCTTACTCAGTTCTTTCAATAAGATATGAAGTAGGTGGCTACCTCGGTAAAGCACCCGCCGGAGGATAATATGAAAAACAATTTCGCTTTAGTCAGACCATAAGTTTCATTAGAGTAGAATTGCTTCAAACAGAGGTTTCTGTGTTGAACTTTGGTAAATGATTGATAATAGTGTCCTTTGTAACAATTTTTTAATTGATTGTTTGTTTGCAAACCTGCTGCTTGAGTTTCACACAAAAAGTCCTCCGAAAGGACATGTGGTTACTCGTTACTGAAACTTGAGTCAGTATGTTCTTGTGAACTCAAGATCTTATTTTTCTTGGAAATTTGGCATACAGTATGTTAAAGACAATATCGATAGTTTTTTACTCAAAATTTATCTATAATGATGATAGTCGCCTGAAAGAAATCTAAAAGACTTCTTGTTGAGTTTGTTTGAAAGCTTCCAAAAAGTCACAGAAAGATCCAGAATGGCATTAACCATTCAACATCGCATAATACTAAAACACTTTCAACAGGCAGTCAACAAAAATAATACTAGACAATATCCTGTGTGCATCAAATTTCCGTCTGCATATGTTCTCAAATTTTGAGGCTACAATCCAAACCTTCCTTCGGCTGACTAAGTTAAATTCTATTTTCCATTGGTACATCCTTATTTGACTCACTTAAAGTATTTGCACTGTAATACCATGGTAAGAAATTCTAATCAAGACCTTTCTTGAAGTAGATGAAGCGGTGGATCGTGCCCCCAGCAGTCGTCCAGACACTAGACAGTCAGGGCGGTCCTCTCGCCTATCCGGAAGCTCATCCGTTGACATGGAAGCCTTCCCGACTCTTCATTATCCTCATCTTCAGCAGGCATCTGAGGAAGAATTTGAAGCTGAACCGCAGCACTACGACAATGAGGTTGATCAGTTTCTACAATCCTTAAGAGAAAATGGTAATGTACAATCACGTGGACGAATTTGAAATAAGTTCTGCACTAATTTTCACCCATGGATTACTTCTTTGAGCGAATGTCTTTTGAAGAAAAGAATTTATACTTAGACCACAATTCAATCGTGATATAAGAAGCAAAAGGATTTTTGCTGTTTAGAGAAGCTCGTGGTTACTAAAAGTAAATCAGGACTGATAGACTTTTAAAAGTTACATGATATGATACAACCTGACTGACTTTTTTAGGAGGTATTGCTGTAATGCAAATACAATGTGCCCTTAAACTTAGAACATTCTATTGGCGAATGGCAGATATCTCGCCTTGTACTGACTGATGCGAGTTGTACCTGTCTGTTTATTTTTAGACGATCAAGAATCCAGATTTCCTGAGACGGAGACACAAGCCACTTCTAGGACGGAGCGCACAGCAGGCAGCGCTTTGACGAGCGCGAGTGACAAGATGTTGAAAGAGAAACTGGCTGAAGCCATGGGAATACAGGTACAGTTGAAACCATATATAATGTTGTGACGGCTTTTTAACCTTGAAACATACCACACTGTGTTTTTCGGGTTAGTTTTATCTTATCTTTCCTATCCTAAACCTACAACTCATAAAAACCGATCAGATTGGTGTCAGAGTATTTCCAATAAGGTAAGAAACGTGTAGGTTTCTCAGTGATACAATATGCAGCATATTTGACATGATAGGATCCTAAACGGCGAGCAATAAATCAGAAATGTGTTATGTATTTCAACCTGTGATCTTGTGGTCTGATCGTACGGGTATGAGTAGTCCTTAGGAATGTTGTCAGTTAGAGACATTGACGTTTCGACAACCTCGGCGGGATTCTTCATCAGAGTCGAGTGAAAATTTGTGTTTAGTTGATGTCATAAGTCTGGTTCGTGTAAACTGATTGGTCAGATCTGCTGTGATGATGTTGATGGAGAAACTTAAGTAGCGTAAGTTGGTCGTGATTTGTCAGTTTTGAGCCGTCGGTAATTTCCAATCAAGGTCAAGGCTTGTGTTATCAAGGTAAAGACATGGCTTTCTTCTCCCTTGATGTTTTTTGTCCTTCATATTCTTCAACATACAAAACTTGGTTTCTCGTTCTTTTCATTGATCACTATGACTTGCATTCTTTGGTTTTAGATCGACAGCAGTCCTCTGCCGATACCACCTGGTACCTCTCCAGTGTTAACTTTGAGTGAAGGACGAATCCTTGTCGTTTCAGCTGATGATCCTTTAATAGGTAAATAATAATTTCTGACTTGATAATCCGCTGGTGTTGTTTTGTCAGTTCCAATTTCCTCGCTTAGCGATTGTTAGAGAGTTGCCGACTTTCTGATTCAACGTTTTGAGGTTGATAATTGAATCTACTCGATCGACTCTTATTTATATGTGATGACACTTATAAGCAATATACATTAAATCCAACAAAGTGATCAATCCCAATGACGCTGATGTGTATTCACTTTAAGAAATGTGCTGAGAAGAAAGAAAGTCCATAATAATCAATAAAAGCTATAGAGTGCCTTGCGTTTATATCCGTAGAATCGCACCGAAAATAGCAGTCAAAGAGCTTTTTAAACAACAGATATCCCACGATGCTAATATAAGAGGTTGTACCTTCAGATCAGTGCTAGGAAATACGGCGAGATTATTCAAGACTATTCATTATCCTTGTGTAACTTTTATTTTGAATTTACTAACTACTTACACTGTTTTAGTCGAAAAACTACAAGCCGCTGTCAAGAAAGGACTAGTGACACTGGTCACACACGTTGAAAGACGACGCTGGAACAAAGCGCTGGAGCTGCTCCTTACCCGACAAACCTTCACCAACACTGAGGGTAATCTTCAGATGATTATTGGCAAGACTGTCGTGGATTATAGCCCTTCCTTCCGGCTCTACCTCAGTTCTACCTTGCCTTTGTTCATACCTGGTGAAGGGCAATGTCCGCTTCCATTTTCCAAGGCGTGTACCATCAACATGAGTGTGAGCCGGGAGGGAATCTGCGACGCACTGCTAGCGGACACGTTACAGCTTGAAAGACCAGAGTTCGACGGACAGATGAGATCGATCGACAGGGATATTGGTCTTCATAAGCAACAGATCAATAATGCCAAGGTTTGATGTTCTTTCACCATACTTCTGTTCTATCTTTTTTCTTTGATCCAGAATTACATTTGCAAACCCAGGATAGTGTATTGCTTGGTTCATATATCGGTTTGCCAAATCAATATTATTGTCATTTAGTACTTACCATTGATTCCACCTTTATTTTTGGGTAGGAGAACATCCTTGAGAAGGTTCTGAACCTTAGTGGTCCTCTGTTGAAAGACTCTGCTATGCTGGATGCGGTGACACAGAGTAAAGATCTGATATCCATGGCAGAAGATAGATGCCGCGAAGCTGAGGTGAGCCAATTTTTCTCTTCACGAATGTGTTCACCAGCTTATGCAGTTTATTCATTATTCATTTGTTTTATTTTCATTACTTACCCCGCGGATTGGGAGAGTCCGCGCTCTCTCTCTAGAAGGAACTGCCCGTATCCCCGAGGTGTAGCAATGGTTTTGTTTTCAATTCCTTTTTTTGCTCGGCTGCGTTAATGAACCATCACGAGACAAATACATAGTTAGACAACAAAAAAAATCCTCTCTACCCTTAGCCATACTTGTCCCCGTTCAAAGGTTTCTTCCAAATTAGAGACAACTGTCAAACACTTAAGAAACAGCTTCATAGAAGACAAGAGATCCAGAAACATATGGGGAAGTCGGAGAAGCGTTTTTCGATTTCGCTAATATGTCTTGAATCACTTTTAGCTGCAGAAACTGAATGTGACTGTGGCAGTTAAGGAAACGGGGGAAGCGCTGGTTCGACAAAGTTAAGGGTTCCATCGGTATGATCTTTCTTTTTTTCCTACTCAGGTAATGAAAACAGACCTACTAGCGAAGCAAAATGATTTTCTTCCTGTGGCTCAACATGGAGCATTGTTGTTCTCGGTTATTAACGAGTTGCGTGAACTTCATCCTTATTATCGCTTTCCACTGGAGTTATTCATTCAGCTCTTCCGCGACACTGTAGTCGAGAGGAACCGCGGAAAGAAAGGAAGCGGGTCACCGGCTGCCAGAGCAGCAGAACTCATCACTGCTCTGTCTAGGAAAATATTTGATCGTACCTCGTGGAGTCTATTTCAAAGTAGGCGTCATTCTTTTATCTTTTGTTATTATTATTGTTGATAAATTTTTTATGTTCTTTTTGCTATCCTTATCTAGGGTTCGCAATGAGATCCTTGAGTAATGTGCAAATAAATGACCTGGAAAAAGATATCTATTTAAAAAAAAACTGGGAAAAATTATTGACTTTTCTCTTACAGCAAGAGCTAATTGGTGATGTTTGTAAGGTACTTAAGATGCACATCAATTGTTAGGTGGTTTGGAGACATTTTTAAAGCGACCTTATCGCAGTTTGGTGAAATGAAAATGTGGAACACAACGGAGTATTTTGTATTGTACCTTTTTTGGCTAATTGATTAATTTAAATTGATGGTCCGTCTCTTAAGGTGAATCCTCAGAAGAAATAGTTATCGAACCATTTTTTTTAACTTTTCTGACAATAAAAAAGATAGATCACCGAGCTTGTTTAAGAGATATAATGGGCCGAATTAACCTCACTTAAGCCTGTACTGGCACTTATCACGTGCGTCTTGTCATTGGTTCACGGTCCATTACGCAGTAGCTGGTAGCAAGGGTTTCTAAAGTAACACTTGAAAAGAAACTTAATAGGCAGAAAGCCTCGAGCGTATGGAACAATTTGATATGTAGTTCGTGGAAAAATCAGACAATTTGATACGACATCGTCTCACAAAGTTCCTCGAGTCGTTGCTTTCAAGGTCATAATTTACACGCCTTTAGCTGTAAAAAATTTTTCCCTTTGATGAATTTTTTTTATAATTTGTATAATAAACAATTACCCAAGAAAAACTATAGATCAACTTGCTCATTCAAGGGCTAAAGACCATCGTACCTCTTTCCTTTGTCCATTAATTGAAAAACAATACCGTGCTCTTAGAATGCGCGCGTCATTCCGCCTGATTACGTTATTTTTATGCGCAGTACAGGATGCGCAGTGCAATACTGAGGAATCACCTTAAGTAGCTTTGGCAAATTATAAATCTCTTGTCCAGGTGACAATCACGTGTTTGCATTCTTACTGGCCGCCGAGAAACTGATGAACAGTAGATCTGTGTCACGTGACGAATGGAAGCTGTTTACCGAGGTTTCGAGAAGGTCCGAATTGGATCATCCAGAAGAAAGCGAAGTGCTAAAGCCGTCGTGGATCACGCATAAGGTAGGCAATTTTCATTCTTCTCATTTTCATTCTCCGGTCCTCCTCATGTTGTAAGTCTTCTCATCTCGCGGGTGATCTCATCCCGAGGGTCTTCTCATCCCGCAGTCTTCTCATTCTGCGGGTGTTTTCACCCCGTGGATATTGTCATCGTGCGGGTGTTCTCATTCCGCTGACGTGTTCATCCCGCGGGATTGTTTTGCTGGTCTTTCCATCCAGCTGGTTTTGTCATCCTTCGGGCTTTTCCATCCCGTGGGTCATTTTCTCGTTTGGGAAAACAATGTCGTGAAGACAAGGCTTATTTAAGGTTTGTGTCACGATTTTTGTTCCTCAAATAGTGTATTCCAAATTTTTCAATTTCGTTGCATTCCGTTGCAATCTTTTCCATTCTCAACCATCCATGTTTCTTCTTACTGAAATTAATTTTGTTTGTGCTGAAATGCGACTTCAATTTTTTATGAGTTGGGTCCTTTATGTTGATCGAAATCCCAAGATCTTAAAATTGTGTTCCAAATAGGTGACAATAAACGTACTAGTAAATGACATACAAAAGTCATTTTACGGCTTGCAAAACACGTTTGTCATCGTCTGGAAGGGGTGAATATTTTCTGTGACCATTGACGTTATTCCCTGATGGTGGTTATAACAATGCTAGTCTTTAATCGGCGCATCATTATTTCACAGTACGGCTGCTGCTACTATTGTTGCTGCCGAAGCTTATCTTCGTCTCACTAGAAGTAAATTGTGGCCACCCTTTTATCATTATTCCAGGTTTGGGAATCTGTGGGTGACCTCGAGCGCCTTCCCGTTTTCATTGGATTGAAGCAATCTGTCGCAGAACACTCGCATCAATGGCAGGAGTATTTCAATGTAAGAAACCGAGTTTTGCTCATTGTTCTAAACCCTCGTATTGTGGAGCGCTTTTTTTTGCTTTTTTTTTCCTGTTTTGTTTTTTGTTGTTGCTCACTTCTGTTTTTTTGTTTTGTTGCTTTAGTTATAATTTTTTTCGTTTTGTTTTTTTTAACAAAAATCTGACATCAAATAAGTAATGGCAATAGGAATGGGTGGAGTTCCAATTCTGTCTGTAATCACACCAGTGATTGACAAAGTTGAACGACCGCGAAGTGGGAATCCGATTTGTTAATTACGAGTATGATTGCAGACGGAATTAAACTAAACAGGGTCCTGCTAACAATTAATCAAAACGATGACAAGATTTGATTAAAAAAAATTAGCCATTGGTTATACTTTTTTATATATAAAACAAAAGTTAAATCGGCGAAATGCACGACAACAGCTTGCGGACATGACGTGCACTTTGCAATTACACAGGTATGCCGCGTACGCACTTTTTCGGGCTGGTGATAATCAATCACGTTTGAGAATTTTGAAACAGCTTTGATTTTCTGCGGTAATTCGTCAGTCTTCATTTTCCTTTTGCAGCTGCCTCCTGTACTTCTCAGTGTCACTCCTGGTGACTACAATCATCTGACCATCTTTCAGAAAGCTTTGCTTTGGAAAACCTTCAAACGAGATCAGGTGGGTTCTGTAATCGCTCTCAATGTAGGTTTTCTTGCATTTTCGATACCTGTTGCTTTATTTATTGATCGATGGGTCTGTTTATTTCTATGTCGGTTACAGTTATTCCATGTTTGCCAAGAGATCGTTCTCTATCAAATGGGAGCCAATATGATCCGGCCCTTGGGCTACGACCTGAGCCAAGTATGCGATGTCATCAATCGGTCTCGACCAGCGGTCCTCATGCTGCCCTCACAGAACATTCTTGAGCAAGGAGAGGCAACTGTGCTCAAAGGTAAAATGTTACAGTGGAAGGTATACGGTCAGAAATTATTTAGAAGCAGAGAACTTTAAGTGTCATTGTTAAGGTTGAACAACTAAGTGATTCTCAGTCTCTTTAGAATGAAGCGACCACCTTAGGGTGTTTTCCCTTCCCGGGTGATGTGCTGGAGAAAATTTCAACTGAGTGTCGATGATAACCCAGGATTCCCTTTATTTCGATTTATTTCTTTGTGTGATTAGTTTTAAAAACATCGCGCCAGCTTCTCAACTAATCAGATCCAAAACTAAAACTATTGGCGTCTTTGTCATCCTTTTTCCATTCATAACTATTTTATAATGGTAGTAGACCACACTTTTTATCGGTTCACTTGCGCAATAGCCCACTTGGGATGCTCGAAAGCCGGTAAATGATTCGCCCTCTGCCGGATTTACAGGTTTTTCTCGAATCAAGAAGTCAAGTTTGTGATTATCGGGAAAACTTTCGGCGTGACAAACTGGCAACATTAGTGGAAGAGGGGGAGTAAACCTGTTTGCTTCAGTTGAATTTTTAACGATGTACCATAAACGAAGCTATTGACAATGTTTCCGTTAGTAAGGAAATACTTTCTATGACTGTCAAACTATGTTTTGTTTTCCAGATCCAGTAACCGATGTAGTTAACCTTGCCCGTGCTCGGGGAAAAGACACGCCTCTTTTAAAGGTTACCTTCGGTGAAAAAGACGGTATGGAGAAGGCCCTGAAGGCTGTGAAGCGTGGTTTAAACACTGGATGTTGGGTTATTCTTGAAAACTGTCATCTGGCGGCCTGTTGGTCTGACGAACTCATGCACGAAATTGAGGTCTGCGTGCAAACGAAATCCCAATAATGTTATAAATATGTTTATTTTTTTCCTGGGAGCAAAGCATATTGCCCCAAATTTCGTGGCGAAATTCCATTCTTGTGGGTGTTATCACTAAGGGGAACGAAAGACATTGTAATTACTTGTAGTTGAAAGAATGGAATGCTAGGAAATAATTCTTGTGTTGTAAAGTTCGAAGGGTAGAAAAGCAGAGCGGACGTTTATCAACGTTCATCATGTTTTCGTCAGAGGATGCCTGTCTATGAGCGCGTGTAAGAAAATACAATTTTTTTCTTGGTGTGGTGATAGTGTTCTGGCTTCTTTGAAAGCCTCTCCTCGGTTTAACTTAATTATTTTGTTCACAATGTTTATTGTTCTCAGGAAATGGTTAATTTACCGGTGATTGACACAGAAGGCGACTTAGAGTGGCACAATATCGAAAATAACAGCGATGCTAATGCGGAAAACGGTTCGGCTGAAGATGTTTTTGTCCATCCCGAATTCCGGCTGTGGTTGACCACTCGTACGGATATCGGTTTTCCGCTGCCTGCTGTCATTATACACCGAGGGCTCAAATTGGCGTGTGAGGCGCAGGGGCATTTTGGAAACGCGGTCAGGACAAATTGTCAAGTGGCAACAGGATCACTGAATAATGGCGTACCTCTTTGGGGAGAAGCAGCAAAGGGATCAGTTTTTATGGTAAAGGATCTAGATGCTGGGTGTTTTGTTAATTCAAGCACAATAAATGTCACGCATATTCTATTTTTTTTTCGTACGCCCTCCTTTCAATAAACGCCTCTCCTTTGAGCCAATTTTTTACATAGGCGCCCGGGTGCTTATTCCAGGAAATACGGCACCTCCATTTCAGGATTTGTCTCTAACTTGAATTTGTTTCCATTTGATAGAGTGATGTTCCTCCCAGCGCGATTTTTACCTTGGCATATCTTCATACCTTGCTTCTCCAAAGGAGAAAATTTGGAAATTATTCCTTTAGCTGTCCATACCAATGGTAGGCAAATGTTTCGTTATCGTAGTTTTTCGCACAGGAAGCGAACTTCTCCGATCATTGTATTGTTTTGAACCTTGAAACTGCTATATCACTGTTTTTAAGTCTCCCTATGTCTAGTAACAACAATAATAAAATTAACAATAATAGTAATAATAACTGATAATAATTATAATAATTATAGTAATGTTATTAGTTCATTTGCCCTAATTTTGGCATAAAACTTTAAAATCATAAATTTTTTAATTGTCTCCCCACGTAATTTTCACTAGGTCTCAGGTAGATTTGTTAGCAGGATTAGAAGCTTTACGTCATCTGTCACGTGCTAGTCATGGTTCGTTGCCGCCTGCAGCTGTGGAAGTCATGTTGGGATATACTGCTTACGGTGGTCATGTGACAAATGGCCTTGATTTGGATGCTGTGAGGTCCCTTGCGAACTCAGTTGCCACTGAAAAATTGAAAATGGTGTGTGGATTTAGTTTGGTTGTTGACTGATTCTCGAGACTCTGTTTTAAACTAGGTCGTCCTCCCCATCTGTAAAATTATTCAGACTTGATCACTGTTGCTTTTTATCCGTTTATGGTTGTATCTGCTTCTTCTCATTAGAGACGTCTACCTCTCGCTCGTAAACACTCTAATTCTGTTCTTTGCATTGAGAAAATATCCGTGTTGCATTTTAAAGTAGCTTCGAAGTAAATAGACATATCTCCTCCAACTTAACTTTTCCATGGTCCAATCAAGCCTTTCGCCAAGGTAAACTCCTAATATTTTCCTCATTTTCACTCTTTCCCACACAATGCGAAGTATTCCAAACGTATTGAGCTCCTCTTTACTATGTAAATCATCGAAAATGTAGGACGGTTCAACTTCTTGACGAGTTTTGTTTTACAGCTTTCATCTAATTTTCTTTTAGAATTCTGTGCAGGAGACATCAACATATGAACAAATCGAGAAGTACATGGAAGATTTACCTGAAGCGTTATCGTGTCAGCAACTTGGTCTGAGTGATGTGTGCAGTTCAGCTTACCAGTCCAAACTCAGCAGGTTTGTGCATCGCTATCGGTTCGTCACTGTTACAAGCTGCTCATGTACAATCCAATCTTTTCTGGCCTCAGCCATTATTTCCCACTTCCCACGTTGGGGTTTTAACTCATATTACAATAGTTGAGCTTTTAACCGATTTCATGTCACATTTGCAGTTCTCTCGCGGAACGACTGGCGCTCAGCGCAAGATACCAACCTACCGCCCTTTCGATTGAAACCCAGGTGAAGTCGGTTGCTGAGGAAACGCTGAATAAACTCACAAACATTTTAGACTTGATCAAGTCACACGATTTGGCGAGTAAAGAAACCACGGCTATTGCGTCATTTATTCAGCGAGAACTCCTTTACTTCCAAAATCTCTACGAAAGCACTTCGAGAGAGATTGAACTCTTTATTAACGCGTGCAGTGGACATGTCGCCTTTACTCCAGATCTGTATAACATAGCGTTGTCGCTAGGACGCTATGCTGCTCCGTCAAAATGGCTGCTTGGCAGCACCCGGGATATGAGTCTAGCTGAGTGGTTAGAAGCCCTGGAGTCCCAAGTGAAAGCTCTTTGTTCGTACTCATTTCCTTCGTCTCTTCAGCCCTCTTCGTATTGGCTTGGGGCGTTTGCTCATCCCCAGGCGTTTCTAGCATGTGTACTTATGGCTCATGCGCGCTCTGCAATGAAATCTGTATACGTTCTGGAGTTTTCGGTTGAGGTAATAATTTCGCAATTACCGCTTTATTCCTTATCTCCTAAAAGTGATCAAGACTCTAATTAGGATGGATACCAATCAGTTCGGGTAGGAACCAACTCAAGTTGGGTACGAATCGACCGAATATGGGTTCGAAACGATTGTGGGTGTGAAATGAATGAATACCACTTCGCCATACAGTATCAAGTCATTTTTAGTGACCAGTTAACGGAAAGCTACAAGCTAATCGGCTGCAAGGATTTTATCGTAATGTAACTCCAAATTCTCTTAAAGTAGTTTCCTGGTAACTTAGAGCAGCCACAAGAGAGAATGGCTAAATAGCTCTTGTAGATACTTTTTTTTTAAAAGAATGACATTAGCCACAGTCCTCGTCACGATTTTTCTTTCCTCTCTGGTCAATGTAAAAAAAAAAACGGTAGCGGAGTGTCTCGACAAACTTTGACGAGGATTGTGGTTGGAAGGAGAGACACCATTGGCCTTTTTGTGAAAGCAGGGCTCAAATGATAAAACGCATTTTCATTCCTTTCGCAGATAATGGATCCAAATTTCTCTCCCACTTCTCCACCAGATCGTGGTATATTTCTCAGAGACTTGAAACTGAGTGGAGCATCATGGGAAGGCGGTCGCGGATGTATCATTGAAGCACCTGAGTCACGTGACATTTGCGATTTGCCAATCGTTTGGTTAAAGCCTGTGGAGGTTATAAGATCGCGGGCGCCATCAGCCAAAGTTGAAAAACTGCAAAGCGATTTGCCGTTTTTCAATTGCCCTCTATTTGTGGGGAAAAGCTGGGGCGAAGATGCTTCAGCTCTTGTCACCAGTCTTCCGTTACCTACTGCCGTGCCGGAGGAATTGTTAAAACAGCGAAGAATGGCGATTGTATCCCATACTTGTTAAGGACGACAGTGTCTATATCATCCATTGATCCATAATTTATTTAAAATGCGGACCCCTTTTTTTTTTCGGTAGAATTTCCGCACAAAATGAACTAATGGCGTTAAGTGTTGAATGAGATCTTTGAGATCGTCTATTTATTGGGTTCTATTTCAGAAAAACGACTTGTAAAAACGTGTTTAGTTAGCTGCCAGGAAAGAATCTAAATTTCTAACTTAAGTGGTCAAATCCATTGGCTGATTTACTTACTTCAGCTCTTAGCCTCAAGTAACTAAGAATAATAATGAACATTTATGAGAGAGGCAATTTGTAATAATCAGTTTTTCTGGTACACAAGCGTTTCCTTGTTGTAACATATCGATAAAGAAAATTTTTTTAAAGTGAGGAAAGCTGTATCTTGTTTGCTGCTAAAATATATCGTGTTAGTTTTTCATTGCACCGTTTCTTGATATTATGAATACCCATTCTTAAAAATAAGGAGATATCACTTGGCCATGACACGCACTGAGTTTCTTCTTTATTGACCTCCTTGAAAAAATATCTCAAGTTTTCCTCTTTACGGAGGTCTTTTCTCCGTTCCTTTTTAAATTAATGCAGGTTTCAAGCCGAAAGTTCACGATAACTGCGTGTGAGGAAACGTTTCTTACAATTAATTTCGAAAAATCGTCAACCGGAAAGGGAAATGAAACGTGTTTCTAAGTTAGGAAATTTTGCAAAAAATTCGCACAAACACAGGAAGGAGGACTGAGAATATTTCGGCATGGTTTGTCTTTAAGGGAAACAAGCACGGGAATCTATCACGCGCGTGGAAATATGAAGACATTCAAAATTAAGAAATTAATGGTTAAGCTCGCTCAGATAAATGGAAAAGCTCCAGTCCATTGTATTGTAGCAGTAAGTCAGTCGCCTCGGGCTATCAATTAATAAGCTTTTTCCGTGGTCTTCAAGCGTAATGCGTGATTGCAGTCTTGTGCTTTTAACAAGATTAGAAAAGCGATAAGAAGCAAGCGCTCCCAGACGCTTCAGAAAAGGAAACAAGCTTTTGTGTTGCAATCTTCATTTTTTGCTATGAAATTAACCGCTTTGGGAACAGTTGAACCTCGTCACCGATGACATTGCGGTATACTTCAATTGAACTAAACTATGAGCAACGAATGAAGCGGAAAACTGCAACCTCATGCTGGCTCATCTTTGATATAATTACTACCGTTGTCAGGCAACGCAGGTGGTTTCTACTTCATGTACTTTAAATATATTGTCACGAACGTCGATGATGACGTCGACGTAGCTAAGAGTAACATCGTGGGTAGAGATTTGTTTATTCATTTCGAACAAATCTATTCAAAATGAGTGCAAAAAGGAACATCTTACTTGAAGTTTTGACTTTAGTGTTGATCATTCGTTTGGGACGTTGTGCGACTCTTTGTGAGAATCACACAGTTTGCAATCAGATGGGTTCAAACACGAAATGCTGCAATGGAACTTGTCTTCAAAGTTGCAACATAACAACTGCCTGCAAAAAGAACAACGATTGTGCCACCGGCGAAAAGTGTTGCGGTAGCGGTAAATGTATCTCGCAAATGTCACTATGTTCGCTGTCTTCCAAGCTTGCGATAGCCATACCTCTTTCTCTTCTATTTTCTTTCGCACTGCTTCTTTGTATTTGCACCAACCATTCGTCGTGTCCAGTGTATGCGAATCAGCAACGGCGTCGCCTAGGAGTTGTTTAACAGAGTCCATGGAAAGCAACAGGTCACTTCTCTTTGGCAGCTTCATTGTACAAGTAATGCAGTCGGTTGAAATTGAAAAGCAACAAAGTCGCCGCTTAGTTTCAGGAGATTCTCTCTATCACTCGCTGGAGTACTTTGCTTTGACCTTTTCACCACCTAAGAGGTTGCTAATAAAGGAAAAAAAAAATAGCTTATATCGTGCCTCACTTAACTTGGGATCACTACATCATGAAGCTGTAAAGGTAGTGTGAGAGAAAAGCGAGAACATGTTTTTAGTTTCTCGGTACGGCGCCTGAGCTAAATTACGAAACAAAACCCTCTTGCTCCACTTCTGATATTTTTTTTAATGCAGTTTTCTCTGTTGAGTAACACCATATCAGCGTCAGACTTCAATCATTTTTCCATGCATTTTAAGAATTTTCGGTTCGTTTATGGGGTTATAAGCATCAAAAAATGTAACTGAGCGAGATTAAAAAAGAGTGCAGTTAATTTCCTAATGTGGCTAGGACGGTTTTGTGACAAATGTTCTTGTATGGAGACATGAGATGTGGGGAAATGGACAGTTGTAAAATAATCTAAAGTCTTAAAAACACTTCCACAATTATGTTACATTTCGAAAGTGTATTAGAAACTTAAAAGATCCATTTTAGAACTCAATATTTCAGAAATTGAGGTACGACATTTCTATCTGATAAAAAAAATAAATTAATTAAAAAAAACATTTTTCTTGCCATATCGTGGTCGTTATTTAAGAATTGGCTTGTGAGAAAAATTGATCTCGGAACTGCGTCTATTGTGTTACCACTCTTTAAAATTTTTGAATGAAACATGGAATGAGACTCTGTGAGAAACCCAAAGACAACGAATCCAGGAAAGGTGTTGCACCAGACCTATCTACATGTAAGTCACCAGGCACATGTGATATCATTTTGAATAGTTTGTGCTTTTAATTTCCGCACGTCACTTTACGTTGGCTTTTGCTTTCATTGCTAAATCGGAGCTCACATGCTTCAGCCGCATGCTCAGTTATATTGCTCAATATAATGAGGAAAGGAAGTGGCTTATTTTATCAGAAACTAAACGACTCAGAATGGACATCTGCATCATTATATTCGATAAAATAATACGTTAAATGTTTTAAAATTGAATTTCTCATGTTCATTTTTACTTCACATGATCTCCTTTTAATATCAACATTTTTCAAAGCCTTCCGCGACTATTTGTCGTAGCAATGATGAGTCACTCTAGATCTCTAATCTTATGGTCGATTTTACAGTTAAAGTGGTACTAAATGAAAGCCTGCTTCCCAATTGGCAACAAAGTGTCGATGAGGTGATTTTTCCGCACTTAAGTAAAAAAAGAAAAAAGAAAAAGTGTTGAATTAAAGTACACGATGATAAAAAAAAGCATGCACAAATTCTAATTTTGTTTCCGTTCATTATCCTTTGCCAAGTCTGTGCAAAAGGGGAAAAAAATTCCAATACACGCAAATCTTTATCACTGTGGAAGACATGAGGCCTTTGGATACACAACTTTAACTGCTCGATTTGGCAATAACTAAGTAAATGTTTGAGTAACCTGGCTATTATTTACAAACACAGTTGTAAATTTTTTTTTCAATAGCCATACCCTTCAAGTTTATTTTGAGAAATCGTATGACGTAGTATAAGTTGGTGTAATAAATCTTTTGTGGAATGATTGCATCAAATGGTTTTTTTCCTTTCCGAATTTTTTTCTTTAGAAACTCTGATAACTGTTACTGGATGAAAGTCGGTGCGGTTGCGATACCAAGTGACAAAATATTACACTTTGCTCATGATAACTGAGGCTGCAATGTGAATGAATGATTCATTTAAAAGCCCGCGTTAGTTGTATGGCCCCCATGGTTACCACGACGCTTAGTGTGGGTAACAATTTAGAGGAGCCTAAAATTACGTTAAACGAACGAATGAATCCTGAAAGGGTCGGGGAGCAAACCACCCACACAACCACAAATTCTTGAGAGTTTACCCCGCGCACCAGAACGTACAATAAGTGATATTTCATAGAATAAACATATTTTATTGTACGTTCGGGTACTTAAAATAGCTCGCAGCGCCCGTTGGCCATATGAAGCAAATCCAATGTTCTGTTTGGCTACCTGAGTGGGAAGATGGGCCCATCTTGTCCCCGCGGGATTAACCGTTTTGATCTTGCCCTATAATAAAAAAAATTGCGAGGCAGACTTTCAAATTTTGAAATTTTGGGACAATTTCAACTTCTTCTCGGTTCATAAAAGCGTAAAAACACGCTCTTGGCCAAGATCCAGCATATATAGTCTTCTTTCGTTTAAGTTCAAACATGGCGGAGCAATTTAAACGCAAGTTGATCCAAGTTGATATGTCACACTGAAAAAGTCTTTCAGGAACTGACACTTCACAGGGAAATTGTCTAGATTTCAACAAAAATTTATACCTATTTAGAGTTGAGATTGAATAGAATCCTAATTTTTTTTCCACCCATCTGCCTCAGCTCTCCTCGAAAATGTGATGACATTTCATAAAGAAATTTCAATTTGGCCTCTCCTTGGAATAGAAGGAGGCAAAGTACTTGCACTTTAGCGGGAAAATTTCTAATCTTACTTGTGATGTGAGATTTCAATAAAGAAATTTTTTTGATCATTGAAAAAAAGAGAAAATAATATGGATTGACGAATGTAATTTCTAACGCATTTATCCTACCTTGCCAAACCCTGCGTTTTTTATCGTCAAAAAATCGTGCATAAAATACGGACAGTCCGCTTAGTTTACCGAAAATAGTGTTGTTGATATCATAACTCAAGCTATTCGCACAAAAATCCACTTTAAAATAGATCACACGTCTTGTCGGTTAACTGAGAAATCACCTGCGCGAGATGTTATGAAAGCACGAGAAAAACAATATCAAGTTTGTTTACTGTCTAAGACGGGTTGTACTCGAACTTTTTTATCGTTAGACCAACTTTATTTCCAAGTGGATTAATAAGCCAGTAAACCGATAGAAAATATGGTCTTTTGCCTCGATAGTTTTTCCGCTGGTGTAATAATCGATATGGTTTTGACTAGACAGCATGTGCTACAAATCTCAGTTATTTAGCAACATGCCTGTACTTTTGTTCTCTAAAAAGTCTGTCGCTTGCTGCGTCGCTCGATCAGACAATTTCAAATCGTGTTGTGATTCGTTGTCGAAGAATCCAACAGCACAGAGAAGACCATTAGTTAGATATTCATGCTGAGTTGGGATGACATTCTCTGTACGACAAGATATGGGGCTGATCGTCCAATAATGACGGCATGCTTGCGTCAGGCTTGAAAGTGAAATACTTCGTTGAATATCTAGTAAAGCTAAGCGGAAGCTCAAAGTAGATAAACAGCCTTGGCGTATTTTGAAAATCTGACAATCCGCCAGCGTTGGCGTGAAAAATTTTTGTTTTTGGTCTTATTTACTGGAGTTTGCTTGCGTTGCTGTTAAATGTATTTGTGTTTGAGAGGCTGTACAAGTTTTCGTTGAAAAAATCGAAGATGTTCAACCAAATAAATGGTTAACTGAACGGTAGAGAAAAATTATACTCGGATTTTTGCTCTCCGTAAAGTCTCAATATTCTCAATAAAACCTCCCCCACCCTCACCCCCCCTCTCCCCAACCCCCTTCTTGTATTTGATAGGCTTTTTGTCTGGAAGCCTTAGGAGTTAATCTATCCCCATGATTTTTTAAAGGTTCTATTAAAATAAACATTGTTTTGATCGTCTCTGTTACAGTTCTTCTCCTTCTTCACTTTGATGACGATATTACGACATGTTTATTGTAGTCGCAAATCCCGCCGAATATCACAGACAATTAGAGGAATTTATATTGGCGTCATCGAATGAATCGAAGTACCTAGGTTCGTCTGACAGACAACAGCAGTAGCAAACGAAGAAACTCCGGGACTTTTGAGGGGGCATGCACCAAAAGAGAGAAGGAAGATTTGTGATGAATGTTTTTTCTCCGAGGATGGCCGAGAATGGAAAAGAAATTGGACGATCTTGACCGAAAAAAAAAGAAATGAATAAAGCAAGATCATAATATATATGGTCCACATTGCTTTCACAAAATCAATTTCACGGAAATTGTTTTATGTCGAAGCTTTAAGTTATAGCATGACTTACTGATATTAAGCGGGTGACCTCAAATGCGGAATTGCTAAACTTAACTCAGGGACTGAATGCCACCTTTCGTGTTCAAACTCTCTTTCAGGAGTTACGAGAACGGCTGTCGTTTTTCAAGGACATTTTTCGAGGAAAGTTGACAATTACCAAAGAGAGCCATTTCTGATGCGAAGCGAAGTTGAGCTCAAGGACAAGCCAAAATTAATATTTCTTTAAATCCAAAAATGCAAATTTTTCTTTTGCTCTCAAGTGTTTTGTTTTTGTCTTTTCTTTCTTGTTTTGACTCATTGGAATAAATTGTGTATCGCTGATGAACAGGGAAACAGCTGCGAGAAGAAAACATCGTAAAAACAGCGAAACTTGATGTACAAACGTTGGAAAATATTGGCGTGTGGTTTCATTATTTTAACTCTATTTGTTTGCGGCCGGCTTTGTTTATTGGAAAATACAACGTTGGATGTGGCATTGATCTTACGTTTTCCGGTCCCCAGCCAGTGACTTGGGAATCATAGCAAATAATAAAGAGTGTATCGTAATTATGTATCAAACAATCAGGGAAAATGACCGTCATGATGGAATTTTTTCCTATTCTGAAACGTATTTTTTTAAAAAATGGTTTCATTGGTGATCAGTGACAGTTTTATATAATATTAGCCAAAGAGATTTTGTTTTTGGAATTATGCAAATTTTTGCAGATGTGACAGAATACTATTGTTCATGCAACTGTCAATGGCCCGGAAATAGTGGTTCATGATTAATAACCTTTGTCTAGTCAGTTTCATGTCGATTACGCACCAAGTTGCAAATAAAACAAATCTTATCAATTCCTACGTTGAAAACCTCATTCCAATTTGTTGCAAATGGTCAAGAATTTTTTCCTTTCCCTTCAATAATCGAACTACTCACCAATGGAAGACATGATTTTACGTCAATTTAGTCCTAGGTCGCTTTCCCGCTGTTCAAGACAAAGAAGCACCTTCTCCAGTAAACAACAGAACTTTACTTTCGCACTTGTGGGGTCGTTTTTAGAAGTCCTTTCCAGTTGATCCGATATACCTCTTTAGCATCAAAGCAAACACCTCTTTTAAATTTAGACTTGTTCAAGTGTTGATCAACCAAGCTGAAACTTTACTTATATTCCGTACAAAATTACAATCATGGCACTGCGCCATTGACTGCCCATTCTTTCACATCGATTTCACACATTTTAAATTATCGAGAGAGAATTATGACACAAATTTCGAAATCAAGCCAGACCATCTGTAGTAATCACGATTGCATAAGTGCAACTGTACGTTAAGCTTTCTGTGAAGTACAGTTCGCAGTAACAGTCGACCTTGAATATTCCAAAAGCGAAGAATAATATTTACATAAACGCACAGGAACTTGTTGCGCTGATGGCTGTAAATTTACTCCACATTTATAAAAATATCCTATTTTTGACAACAAAATTCGTCTTTTTTCGGTTTTCTCTTTCTCCTTTAAAGACAACGTAAGCAGAGTTGTTTAACACTTGCTTTCTGTACAGAAGTAGGCGGTGTTCGCCAAAGTTTATTTATACGTAAAAGTCACCTGAATATTATCGTTTTCGTGTAGTCATTTGATCGGCATAAATGGCGGAGATTGAGACATCGACGTACTCGCTCGAGGCACAGTATAACTTGAATATTTAGTTGGATTTCCTGTGAAAGGTGGTAAATAAGATGTTGATGGTATTTTACACGGCTGAGGCGCTTCGGGAAAGCGAAGTTCTTGTGTCATATTTGTTGATGATAATGTCGGTAGATGTGATCGGTGAACCGTGGCGCTTTGAAGTCTTCTTCTCCGTGCGATACGCCGTTTGTACCACGGACAACGATCCATCAAATAGCACGTAAGAAAAAAGCAGAGAAGTGCTAATAGGGCACCGGAGCACACAGCCAAGATGATTAAAAGCGCAGATGAAGGATTGGGACACAGCTCGAAGCTGTCCTTACAAAGTCCGTTCGAGCAACACTTTTCATCCCAGTCACAATCGCTAGAACCCTCGCAGGTGCAGCTATATCTACAGACTCCTTTGCAACAAGTCTTGGATCCTGGGCAGCTTTTGTCGTCCAGACACGCTTGTACACGCTGGTAACAAGCCACGGAAATTACACTTAAATAAAAAGCCCGTTGTAAAGAAAGTGCCATGATCCTTCCCTAGTGTAACTTAATACCCAAGTCATCTGATGAGTGTTAGTCTCGCTTCGGAAGAGATGCAAATTTTTTAAACCTTTAGGTCAAAACTATATCCTGTTTGCCTAATCTTTCATTGTGAAAGGTTACTCTAGTGGGAATCACGGCAATTCGAAATAACCTAGTAAGGCATTGTTGTTTGATTCTGCTTTTTTCAGGTTTTTTTTTCTATTTACGTTGGGCACAAATTATTTATTAAACAAGTTTGGCTGTTACAGTCTTGTGACTACATTATGTTAATGAGTAACTCAATAGAAACGGACCTCTTTTGTTTTGTTCTCAGAAGGTCGCCTTGGCCTGAAATAATTTGCCCCTGAGGAAAGAAAATCACATTGTGTGAATGACAAGAAGGCGAGAATTTAAGTTATTCAGAATTGTCTTTTGTAGATTTGGCATATTATACGGAACTTCTTATAATAATCAGAGTATTGAGCTGTGATTTTCCTCCTTTCAAACGAAAATACTAAACGACTGTGAATATAAGAGAACTGCAGAAGATCGCTTTCATATTCAAACGAAAAGTTAGGCGCAATAAAGATGAATTTACCCCATCTGTAAAATAATTTAGGGAACTCTTTGGGTCTTGAGTATTGGTGGTTAATATATGCCACAAATTGATTAAAATCAATGTTCTTAAGAGGCGCTCTGAGTTACAAAGGTATCCAAAAGTACCCTCTCTAAATCAATTTATAATACACGTCACCGCTGACGTTTGCCAGGTTACCTAGCGCTGTTAAATTCGCGAGTGGGCTCAAATAAAACTAAGAAAAATATTGAAAGTAAATTTGACTGTTCGTAGTTAAAGCTCGTGACGTAGCTCAAAGGTCCTTAAAGCGTAATTTTCCACAGTTGCATGAGACATCATTGCGTATGCGACACAGAGTTTAACCATTGCTTTTCGTTTCAGACTATAAAATATGAAATCATCTAGTAGCATTTTACAATTCTCGGAAAAGTTGTTGACTTTCCGGTTGTCGAGGATTCGAGGTTCAAAGCAATACCGCAACAGTTTTAAACCTATGTTTCAACAACTTATAGAGAAACGGCATTTGCACCGATGACTAAGCTTAAAATTTAAAAGGATGATTGTTAATTTTTTAAAATCCACAAAAAATAGGTGGTACATTAGCCGCTGGTACGGACCAGCAAAGGTAAGGAAGGCCTTGGTCTTGAGAACTTTCCTCTATTCTATTTGCAATTTGTCTGATGGACATTCTCAATTTCTATTTCTTAATTTTTCTCGATTATGGTACGTAAAGGAAATGATTTCTCGATTCCTGATCATCGATTTTCAAACGAGAAATGAGACCGAATCAATTATCATCAAAGTTTTAGCATCATAATTCTTGATTTTTAACTCTTCATCAATTGCCAAATTATGAAAATAAAGTGTAGTTTACTCAATAAATAGACGAAAACACACATTTTCGTGGTTTTGAATGCCTTTTATTGTGCATAAGACTTTGTCTAATAGGCATTCATCCGCTTGTCAATCCATTGCCGTAAGTAACGGACCCTGGCGTAGACACCATACTTCCCTGGGGAGGCGCAACCACTTCCCCATGAAACCACACCCTCTAAGTAGAACTTTCCACCATCTTCATAAACCAGTGGCCCACCGGAATCTCCTTGGCACGAGTCCTTGCCTCCACGATCGAGTCCAGCACAGACCATGGAGTCGTGGATTGACGATCCATAAGCTCTTTTACATCCACTTTGACTGACAATCGGGACATCTACCTGCATTAACACTTTGGCCAAACTACCACCCGAGGAGAGTGTACCATATCCTGAAAGGAACCACATGGAAAAAAATTATGCAGGGCTTACATATCATTTAGCCACCCCTGAGAAGAGTCAATCCAAACTTACAAGAATGAATCAAAGGAAAACCAAAAATAACTAAGAGAATCTGTGTTAAAAACGGCAAATAACAATGGACAAAGAAAATAAAATGTATATATACAAATATACAATGTATATGTCTAGGTTTTAAAAGTTTGGTCAATGTATATACATTTGATATGGGGAAAAGTGGCTCCCTCGAACAAGCTGATCGTCTTCAACAAGAGTTACTTATCAAGGCAATCGAGTTGGCGGAATGAATTGTATCACCTGTCACTCAACAAGTCTTGCCCTCCGAAACTTGTTCACTCGACCCAGGTAAGCAAGCCAGTCCAACTTTTCTATTCAGTTGAGCGGCTTTCAACAAAGAAATATCATGAGCCATTCCGCGTGGCCGTTTGTAACTTTCATGGTTGATGATTCTTTCCACTTGAAAATCCTGCTCGTCTCCAGTGTTCTCGCTGCGATAGTGAGCACCAACTCTACAAATTGGAAACAACTCAGATTTGAAATCGGTAAATGAATACTCTTTTTCAGATATCTCCTCTCCAATCATTTCTCAATGAATACTTTCTTTATTCTAAAAAAATAGGCTTTTTATTTCGTATATTTCTCGCATAAACACCTTTGGAACAATGAATCATTAGTCAAGATAACTAGGTGGATAAGGCTTGCTCAGGGTAAGAATCTGGTGGAAATTACCCTTGCATTAGATTTGATTTCTTGGGTAGAAGAATCTGGAAGAGACCTCACCTAACATGAATGCTGAAGGCGTATTTTTTCGAGGTACAGTGAGCTGCTGTTACAACCCACTGCGGATGAACCAAAGTTCCTCCACAAAAGGTGAAACCAGAAGACGTCCTGACCTGAGCTTGCCATGGCCAAGCTCCCTTTGGGGCTTCATTTCCACCGACAATTCGTGCGCCTGGTTTAAATCCACATTTTCGTGATTCTCCTCCTCCACCACCACCGCCGCCTCCACCGCCGCCGCCGCTGCCTCCATCACCGCAAATTTTACAGTTTTTACAATTTTACAGTTTTCTTTCATATACTGTTCGTATTTGCCTTTGCAGTATCCTTTGCTTTCCCACCGCGGACAGTTTAAGTTTTTATCCTTGCATTCTGGAAGAAGGCACAGTAAATGAAAAGAAGAAGAAGAAAAAGAGGAACAAGAGGAAGACAAAGAAAACGATATGAAATCCAACAACGCATACAGCAAGATTACAAAAGTGAAAGGAGGAGAAGGAGAAATAGATAAACTATAGGGAGACAAGAGTAAAAGAAAATATAAAGAAGGTTAAATCGCACTGATTAATGATGGATAATTTTTTTTTACAAATTTAATCTATAATAACAAGTTATTTTAGAATGTTCACAATACCTTCTCCTCCTCCTGCTCCTCCTCCTCCTCCTGCTCCTCCTCCTCCTCCTCCACCGCCACCACCACCACCACAAAGGTTACAGCTCTTCTGACAGTTTTTTTTCATATACGCTTCATATTGCCCCTGGCAGAAACCCAAGAACCGCAATTTCTATGTTTGTCCGCACAACCTGGAAACGAATAATAATAAAAACCCACGGTTTTGATTTTATCCAGTGTTTAAGTTGTGGAAAATACACAAAATTTGAAAATTTTAAATCTGCAGTTAATCAGTTTTTAGGAAAGAGATAAACAGTGAAGTATGGAAAACATGAAATAAACTTGAATTCCGAGGCTGAATGATATTGGGACAATCAAGCACTGAATATTGTAAATTGCCAGTCATTGGCTCGTTAGAATCCCCCCGTCCCCCACCAATATGATCTTTCTTCCGTTTTCAGACTTCTAATAAACCTCTAACATGACTGAAGCTTGATAATGCTTTTACAGATCGTTAACTACACGCGTACATACTTGATGTACTTAAACAACTCTATTACAACAAAAAAGCCTCTTGTTTTCAGAATTTTCAAAGTAACAAATGAAATGGAAATCTCGTTGCTAATTTTCTGAAAAAAAGAAAATCCCTGGATTCGGGATTGATTTTTACAGCCGAAGGTGATTGTTGTAGTAAGGTATAGCACCATTACAGAAGTTTTCATTGCAACCTTGCTACGCACCATATAAGGAAAGTTAATTCTCCAGCTGACGAGCAAAGCTTTGGATCGATCAAGTGGCTCCTTATGCGCAAGGTAAGGCCGGAATGAGCAGCCTTCCACAACATATACAAAGCGCAAGTCTTGTTAAAGATTCCTTTTCCCTCACAGATATCAAAAGCTTCCTTCACTTGAAGATTGTTTGCTCATACGAAGATATGCAATGATGAATAAAGTCGTTTTAACCTTGTATACCTAACTTAAATTATTTGCTGTGCTGTATGGATAAGAGATGTGTTTAACCTCACCTTTTGAGAGGGATGGCATAAAGATGCCCACCAAAAGTGCAACAATGATTAACATCTCGCCGATGGTTTTTGATCGGACGACGTGATGCATATCCTTTTATCTAACTTCTTTCATCAGATAATTATACAGCTGGTTGAAAGCCTTTAAACCGCTATGGTCACTTCCATGACTTTTTTTTTAAACATTCTTTGTTATGATGATAATAGCTAATAACAACTATTAAATTTCAGAAATCAAAGAAGATGTCAAGCTTTTTGTCACGATGACATGAGGTATCAGCCGAAATAAAAAGTCTACTGAAGACATTTAGATGCTACAAACACAGATTGACTGAGATTTGCTTGTTGAGTTTAGCCATCTGGTTAACCTGGATAAATTTTTCTAGCTCTAACCATGGTAACTATTGCAAAACAAGCTTGGGAATATAACTAATTTAATCTTGGTAAGGTTCTCTTTATAAATCTCATCTAACATGACAACTTTACGAATTGCTTACATAAACAATTTTTGTTCTTATTCAAGAGGCCATTCTTGAAGCACTGAAAGTAGGTTTCAAATCATATGTTGAAATGACTTTTGAAAATGGAAAGGAAAATATCTTAATCCCGTAATATAGGTTGACCTATGTTTAGCTAGCTGGTAAACCTGATTCATAACATCTTTGGTGAGAAAAAGCCATAGGTAGACGTTTTCAACTATCAAAAAAGCTTTCTTTTACCAATACATTCAGTGCTATACGCCTTGTTTTGACATCAACGTTGAAGCTTTAAAATCTTTATTTAGGAAATCAGTTGTGAGACATTTATCTAGCTTGAGTCGAACGAGTATAACATACACCTTTATTGAACTACTTTGATATTTTGGCAGCTGTGTCTCAGTTTTCTGTTGGACGTGGACATCTCGATGATATTTTTGTATCAAAGAATTATTTTCAAATTATTGAAGTCACTCTGATGTGTTCGAAGACAAAGAATAGTCATCGAAAAAATGCATAATTGACAGGCAATAAGTCCAATCAGTTTTATCATGGTGTGGAACACGAATATAGCCTCGCTTCTTGCGTTTGTCTCCTGGATAATTAAGACTCCGATTTTTTTGTCAATATATATATAAAATAAAAGCTATGCTGGGTCAAAACCATTCATAGCGTTGCTTGTTCATCAGCCTAGTTTACAAATAAAAGATCGTTGTTGGGCAAACAATGAGTAATCTCTTAAACTGATGATGTGCGTTTTTCATCAATCGTCTTCGTCTTTCTTTTCAGAATTCTTAAACGGTTTTCTCGACCTCCCAATTAACCAATCATGTCCCTTGTCCTATAGCAATCTTGTTACTCTGAATTATATCTGTGCATACGCGTATCCTGTTAAATTAGCGAGCTTCACGAAATATAAAAATGTGTTTCAAACTACTGATCAATAATCAGGCAATGAACTTGCCACTGATCACTCGCAAAGAAAAGACATTACAAGAAAAAAAATTTGGGTCGGCCAATTCTGCTGATAACATGTGAAAACGGAATTTGCTTTCCAGTTGGGGTGAGTTTTTTGTTGAAATCAAAACATCGTCATTTACCTTTAATCAGTTTCGAAATGTATGATTTAAATTATTGCTGCATTTAAAGAAAAATTGTAAGCAGATTCTCATGGAGGGCAAAATGACAGCTTGTTTTAAGAGAAGGTGAGGTTTCTAAACGTCTGTGAAGGAGATTGTTAGCTTTATTGGCTTTTTTCAGGCAGAGCAATGCAAAACGCTTTTCACTGCAAAACTGTAGCTAAAAACCTGAAGTGAGATTAAACGGATAATTGAAATCCTAGCAAAAGCCTTTGCAGAAAGTTTGTGCGATGAACTCAAGTGAAAAATGCATTGTGCCTTGGCTTTGAAAGTAAGCATTACCTACGATACTACTGACTCAATGTTTTGTCGAGTTGGCTTAAGTGATTGGGACAGTTTCTCTGTGTGACGAGATCCTGGAATGGTAACACAAAAAAATAACTTTAACCCTGGTTAAATGAAAATGTTTTAAATAAAAGAATTTACTGCGTCTAAAAGACTGAAAAGACGCGTGAAGGAGATAGAAGGGCAAGATATGCAGCCGTGGTCGAGGCTGAACAATCCTTCGACGCACTCAACGCATACTTCCATAACTGAAAAGATCGCGTTTCGTTTGAAAGCTATTCAGCACCTAGATGACTAAACTAAAACAGAACAATAGGTAGCCTAGGTAGGTAAACTAAGCAGATTGCCTAGAGCGCAGGAAAACGAAGGTGTTTAAGTCGCGATCTGTCTAGCTTCGTAGCAGACAGGATGGTTTGACTATTCTAGAACTGAACGTGCAAAAGTAAAACTACTGCACTGCTCTTTGCTTCGCAAAGCTTTCGAGACTTACCACCACCGCTTCCTCCTCCTCCTCCGCCTCCTCCGCCTTCACCGCCGCCACCTCCGCCACTACCTGTGGTGAAGGGAAATTTGCGGATTAATACAAAGTACACTCTCGACCTTCATTATATCATGATGAATCCTCTTCGTAAACGGTGTCGCAGAAACCTTACGCTTGATTAATTACATTACGTAAATTGTCAACTTCTAGGCCCACTCTGCCAGTAATTAGGAGTGTATCATGATAATCACAATAATTATGATAACAACGATAAGGATTAGGATGAGAGAAGAACTGTGAATCCTAGGGTTTAAGTGGTCGATTCGTCCCAAAACAGGAAAAAAAATGTGAAATGTCCGTTATCGTGGGGTTGGGCAAACGTTTTGGAAATTTTCCGTTGGGGCTAGGGTAGTTGCCAACTTACCCACGTGACTTTCGATCCACCTGACATACGAGCTAACACGAGCATATACGGAAAAGGTGTGTCCGGGACAAGTACGGCTCGTTACCCATGAAGCTGCACCGCGAACAAACCAGCGACCACCCTCAAAGCATGACAAGGGGCCGCCACTATCGCCGTTGCAGACGCTGCTTCCTTGTCCTCCAACGCATACCATGGAGCTTTCATCCACTGTGCCACCATTTTTACTTCGGCAGGTATTGTGACTGGCTACCGGAGCCTTAGCTTGTTTAAGACGAGGAGCAAGTGTATTTGTGTTTGAATTTATCCTACCCCAACCTGAATAGAGACGGTGAACATCCAAGAAAATGGAACTTCATTTAATACCAATTTTATTAAACGGTTAATCGGATGATCATCTTTTCAATCATTCTCCGATTTAGTCAATCAATCATTCAATCAACTGATCAATTAAACCACTAAGTCAGTGTGTAGCGATGAAAGCAGCGTAATTTTCTTTCACTTTTCATTGTTACCGCTTTTAGAATACTGATTTCTTTAGAGTTGATTGTGGTTGTGGTCTCAGAATTTTGTTTTGTGCTGACTCAAGATAGAAAGCAAGCTTTATTAATTTGAATGACCCACCACAAGCTGAGTTTTCACGCTAAATAACCTGTTACGTAACACTGTGTTCCTAGACTGACTCGTGATCCATGTTTTGGCAGGCAGACGGTTTGGATTTTGCCATTGAGGCTTACATGGGCCGCCAGTTTCAGCACTGCTACGTCACGTCGTAGATAATGCATGCTGAAAGATGGATGTTTGATCACTCTAGAAACTTTAAACACTTGTCCGTCACCAGTTCTGCTATGAGCCCCTGATAGAGGTAAAAATGCCGTAAGGAATGAGTTAGAGATCGTGTGTTAACACTGGTATTTGTAGGTCTGTTTTATTAGCTCAAAATCTGTTTCATTAGCTTAAAATCTACGTTATCATAGTGGACCAGTTAATCTTTTGCATTTCGACCCCTTAAGGGGCTCTTCTTTACGTTTAAAATCTATGCTTTGCTGTACGAAAACCTAGCAAGAAAAAAAACAAAACAAACCAAAAACGGATTGTAATTAAAACAAAGGAAGATAGTCCATTGCCTCTCTTCGCTTCAAAAGATAAGAACTTTAAAAAAAAAAGGAAAACGGAAGTTCTTCATTAACTACTTAAAAAAGAACTTCACTTTACCTAAAGCTACTGAGTAACGATTAGGGTCACTACTTTGATCAACGCAATGGGCTGCTGATAGCACCCAGTTCTCGTTCAGAAGGGAAGCACCACAAATGTGGCGCCCATAGTACCGGAGTGACGCTTGCCAAGGCCAAGAATTCGGCTTTGCTTCTTCGCCTCCGACTATACGGGACCCAAATGGCTTATTTCAGCAAGCTAGGGAATGGAGAATCAAAATGTATCAATTCATTTTCTTATTAAGTGAAGGTAGCCTCGATGCTTGAGAGGCGGTGGGATTGAACTTCATAGTTCTTATGGAAACCACTGATTCGCTGAGGCAAGAAAGTTCATGAGACAAAGTGAAAAGAGCGCAGAGTAAAAAGGGGCAATCGTATGTCTCTTTTATAGATATAAATCAGTCAAAACCTCACTGCCGATTGCAAACGTATGGTGCATGCACTGTGCTGCAGTTCCTTTGTCCTTTTCATCGGAAGAGCATTTAAAATATTTTGTTTTGGATTTTCTGGTAGGAATCCAACTTTATCTCACTTATCTCAAACTCAGGCTAATATTTTGACTCTGACCGATGAGATAAGCTTTAGGGGAGCAAAATGTAATATTCTTACTTTTCAAGAAATTTCAAGTGGTCAGTACTGTTTTTCCTATTGACCTAAGGAAAAAATCGCATGAGTCTCACATTATGTCATACTTTTTATGTGTCGCTTAAGAAAAACACTAACCAAGACCGTTTCCATATTTCACCTTCCAAATAATAAGCTTAAAAGGACGCCCGATGGTTTGGAAGATTATTACAGATAGACAAAAGTAGCGAAAAGCTCACCTTTTATAAGTGATGGTGTTAAAAGACACACCACCAAGCTGACGAAAAACAACATCTTGCCGGTGATATTCTGAATATACGTAGCCAAGTGCATATCCTTTTATTTTATGACTTTTAAATAAAAGTTATACAGCTGTGCATAGCAATTTCATCGGAAATTCGGACTCAATGATTTCACGTCTCAACGATAGTTTGTATAATTCAAAGAATCTGTCCAATCTTTGACAAAAGATATAAAGCTAAAAAAAATGATTTCAATAGTTTCAGCATAGTTTGATTTTATACCTGCCTTTTGGCCATAGCCAGATGGCAAACCTGAGTATCCAACAAGGCTTTTTATTTATAAAAGGAGTAAATAGACGCCAGTGGGGAATAAACAATTTGTCGAGACGCTTTCAGAAATCAAAGGGGCAGCACAAAAACTTTAATTTTTTCCTCTCGCGTTTTTTGAAATGTTTTAAAAATTAGTCATATCAGGTGAAACAACAGTCTTTGCTTGGAAATAGGCTGGTTTATAAGGAATTAAGAAAACTTTTAATTCCGAGCGAACAATTTGTATTTTACGTATCCTCTTATCCAGCGGCTATCGGTTCATGGTTATACAACTGTGTGTAAACTTTTTATAAGAAACGTTGAGCTCAGTGATTCCTCGTATCAACACTTTTTGGCTTCATCTTAAGAGCCATTTTTGTAGAATTCAAACAGGGTGTCAATTCGTGGACAAAAGGTATCAGGTGGGTCTAAAGTTTGAACGCTAATGCTTTGAGACGAGTTGGCTATCAATTTATTCAGCTGGTAAACATTCACTTTCGAAAAAAACTCTTTCTCTTAAAAAACGTCACAGTTGAGGTAGAGAATGGAAGATCAAGGGGGTTTTACCCGTTCAAACGTCAAGGTTTTGCGAGTTATATTGGACTTCTTTGAAGATTTCTGTCTCATTATCAAGAGAAGACAAGAGAGGAAGCCATTTAGGGAGTTTACAGAAATTTTGCAATATTTTTTTTTTCACGTCGTTGCCAAACAAAAGCATTCTCTCTAATTCTCTTTCAATGACCCTGTCCTTTAGTTTTCCTTGGACATACCCCAATTTCTTCATTAGTATCCGCAGTCGATCGCAGGACTCAAAGGGCTGACTATTGTACGTTCATTTGTCATGAATGAACCACCCAGAACTCTAAAATTCCTAAATAATAGACAAACATTGTAGCATACTTTTACTTTATTTTTTTGACTGATTATAATTTAACGACACCATTTCTCAGTATCTACCCATGGTATCATCAATCCATTGCCTCAAGTAACGGACCCTTGCGTACACGCCGTATTTCCCACGCGCAGCACATCCGTGTCCCCAGGACACCACCCCTTCCAAGTAGTACTTTCCACTCATTTCACACACCAACGGCCCTCCTGAATCTCCTTGGCACGAGTCTTTGCCTCCCTGCCGGAATCCAGCGCAGACCATGGATTCGTGAATTGATGAGCCGTAACCTTGTTTGCACTGGGACTGTGAGACAATTGGCACGTCAACTTGCATTAGCCTGTCTGCCAGTGAACCACCTGAAGAGAGTGTTCCGTACCCTGAAATGTGAAAGATAAAAAAAGGTTTTTTTTACGCATCCAATCATATTTTTGAAGAGAGGACACGTAAAGCAGAACGAAAGAAAGGGCTCCATCTTTCGAGATCCTCATTAAGCACAAAATAGAACTGGTGGTACTTTTTATTATGTAAAATAAATAATAAATAATGAAGATATCTCTTGGAATTGAAAAACTGTGTAAATTTAGGAGCCCCCACTGCAGCTAATGCTGGAGTTCCTGATCGGCTCTTTAAGCGACACCTTCGTTGAGCTAGCGAAAACGCTAAGGATGGCCATGTCAAAGACAATTTAAAATCTCGTTTATAAGTGTCACAATCTTTAAGAACTCAGGTAACACGTTTTGTATTTTAAAACAGCGCCCGGAAGGTAGGGAGAGTTCTTTCCATTGGGCTGGGATTTTCCCCCCCACATTTTACCGCAAAGAGCGCGTTGGATCTTATGGATGTTCGTTGGTCCTCACCCTAGGATCCGTTTTTCGTAGACTATTTTTGTTATGTGCACCTTTTACAGTTGCTGGTTTAGTTATACTCGCTTAAAATGTCGTGCGGCCTCCAGTGAGCACGCGACACCATACTAATTCTATCAGTTATGGTTTTCAAAGGAACCACCGACATCGATGACTGGCCGGTGAGGGGAAATAAGGGGATGTATATTCCTCTTAAACAGGTGCTTGTGAAGGAAGGCGAACCACAAAAGAGCTCTGATAGGAGTGCTTCTTCTCTTAAAAAGAAAAGTCCGTCCCACTGTGTTGTGCCATGGGATAAAATATTTTAAAGTATTTTCTCACTGTGCCGCTCTCTACCCCTTGAAAACCAACAAACGGGCAGAGAAACCTCTCAAATGACAGTATTTTGGTGAAAAGCGGTGCGGGAATGGGTAAAAGGGGTGGGGTGAGAAGGCGGTGTATTCCTACATTTGAAAAAATATCCAGTCTGGAAGGAATGAAAATACTCTTGCATGGAAACTGGTATAAGCTATGGAGGAAATGGGAGACTAGGCCTCTGAGCCTTATTACCTGTTACCCAGCATGTCTTTCCAACTTGGGCTTCACCACTCGACCCAGGCAAGCAGGCCAGGTTCACATTTCTGTTAATCTGAGCTGGCCTGCGCAGTTTCAACATAGCAATGTCGTGAGCCATACCATAAGGTCGTTTATATCTAGGATGGGAGATGATTCGTTCCACTTCGAAGTCCTGTTCGCTCCCTGTTTTGCGGCTGCGATAGTGAGCACCAAGCCTAAAAATGTAAGACGATGGAACTAGTAATATATTTTTTCATGTTACATTTCTCCTTCCTTTCTAATGTCAAGATCTGTTTAATTAAGACTTAGTTTGGTTTAGTTTAATCTCAAAGAAAACAAACTTCTGATCACACATGTCTTCCAATCATATTACCTTACTCGAATGCTCGAAGGAGGTTTATTCGGGACACAGTGAGCAGCAGTAACAATCCAGCGGGCATGTACTAAGGTTCCTCCACAAAATGTAAAACCGTTACTCGACCTGACCTGGGCTTGCCACGGCCAAGCTCCTCTTGGGGCCTCGCTACCACCGACAATTCGTCCACTTGGCTTGTATCCGCATTGTCCTGGACAGGGAATATAAAGATGGCAAACAGTAAGTAGCTGATTAAGGCTTAATGCAAAATATAATATCTCTTTTTCTATTCAGTAAATCAGTAATGATGCTAACAAATTTGGTGGTTGACATTTTATGCAGAAACGAAAATCAATTTATAGGATCACGCAAAGATAAAACAGATATTAGAATGAAAAACCTTAATTAATAAAGAATGAAAAACCTTAATTAATAAAGAGTGAAAAACCGATGAGGTAAAATACAACGCCTGGGCAGGTTGAGAATGACTCATCAACGCCATCCGCTCCAACGTTAGACAGATTAAACTGTTTGCGAATAAATCCAATGACGATGAGTAGTCATGGGAAGATTGTTAGGCTAGGCAATTAGGGATTCAGCACTGAGCAACTTAAGCCCCTGAAAGGGCCTAAGAGACGATTTTTTTCCTCTTTTGCGTCCTTGACGATGGCTAATCATCACCATGAGGCGAATTAGGCACTTATGAAAATTTTAGCTGAGTAATTCCTCTCTCTCTCTCTCTAAAAAGTTTTTTGGTTGATATCGATGCACAAGCATAACTATAAACCAGAAAGAAAGAAAGGGATGATGAGGTAGACTGGGTGGGATTATAACAGTGAGAAAGGTCTAAATTTTTCAAGATTACAAGATGTTAATACAGCTTTTTTACAACATCATTTGCAACGTACCATTTCCACCGTCACCTCCTCCGTCTCCTCCGCCTCCTCCGCCACCGCCTCCACAAAATTTACAGCTCTTTTGACAATTTCGCTTCATATACTGTTCATATATACCGGAGCAAAACCCTCTTTGTGCCCAGCCTGAACATTCTCTTCTTCTATCTTCACAGCCTGAGGATCAAATATGTTTAGCATTAGGTATTTTGAGAACCGTAAACAAAGGTCTCTCTCTCTCTCTCTCTCTCTCTCTCTCTCTCTCTCTCTCTCTCTCTTTAGATTCATGAGTGAGTGTTTGCTACGCGTTTTCTCTATGCCTATTTAAATTAAGTAAAGTTTTTTTTTAAAGTATTTAACAATTCTAGCCAAAAGAATATTGCTTTTTAGCTCTCTTCTATGCAAAACCAACGTTATTAAAGTTTAATTGTTGTTCGCATTTCGTCACTGAAAAGTCAGAAGGTAGCAAATACCCAAACCTAGGTACATCAATCATTTTTTTTATAAAATTCAAAAACTTTTCCGGATATCAAAGGTCTTCTAAATGTTCTTCTTTGCCGTAAAAGCCTTCTGAGTTCTGTCGTTTTAAAATTTTTTCTGTGAAGACCATTTTTAGCAAAAAGTGCGCTTCTGGGTATGTAGGTGTACAAGACTTGAAACTTTGGAACCCAAACATTTCTAAAATGCGTTTTTCGCATTATTTCACTTTTAGTTCATTCTAATGTCATGATTTTCGCATGCATGGATGACGCATTATTTTTAAGAATTTACAACGTGTTTACAAGCTATTCCATTCATTTTTATCAATTTTACGAGCGAAATTCTGCATGTAGCAAATACCCATTTTATGTAGCAAATACCCACTTGTAAGTAGCAAATACCCACTTTGCCAAATTGATGGGACATTTTTACTTATAAAACTTGAATAAAGCGGAATTCTGGTAATTTGTTTGCATAGCTAAAAGACGCCTTGTGAAAGGGAACATGGAAAATAATTTAAACATTTTTTAAAAAGTGTTATTATTTGAATTAAAGCAGAAATATCGTGACTGAGCGACATTCAAGTTAAAAGAGAAGCGGAGCAATATTGACAGTTAAGATGATTTCCTGCCTAGTGTACTAATTGAATTAACAAAATAAAGCTTTTTAGACCATTTTTACTGATCACGTGGACAACAACAATTTTTTTTCACGTCGGCAACGTAGGGGTGGTTACCCAATCCCCGAGCCTAATGGCTCATGTTAAAAACGCTCGACAAAGATGATAAAAACGCAAAAATATCACTTAGCTCCCGAAGCTGAACTTCCCCTGAAACCCTACCAGCCCTAATCACCTAACATTATAGCCCTAACCCCAAGCCTAATTACCAATTCATAACCCTACCTCTACAATTGTATACTAATACACTTATAGGCTTACAGCCAAGCGTAGTTATGCGAGAGATAGGCCAGACTTAAATTCCGATAAAGTGGTTGCTGATTTAATTGAAGATGGTAACTGGTTCCAAGAATGAGAGATAGTGTATGAAAAGAGCTCTGAATATGGCTAGAGGTATTTACAGGCTGGGAAACATTAAGAGCAGAGGAGCGCAAATTGTAATGACAGACTCTAGGTGTAAAAAAATTAGAAATATACGAAGCTTCCTGTCGCTTGTATACCTTAAACATGATTAAAGACGCAGTAAAACGTCTTGGGTTAAGGTGTCCATACTAGCAGGCCTGAGACAGTCTTTGTACTCAGTAGATCTACTTAAATTAAGCACAGTTCTTAACGCGTAAAAATACATTTTTCCAGCTTATTTTTTTCAGGGAAGTAGATTCCCAACAAAAGAGGGGAACAGTAAATGATACCCTTTCATGTACAGGGATTCCACCTTAAGTTTGCTAGCACAAAATTTAGATACTCTTACTAAATGCGCAAACGGCTAATTTTCAGAAGAGACATGACGCTTTACTTTACAAACATGGCCACTGGTTTTTCGATAGATTTTATTGCTGTTAATTGGATTTATGAGCAAAACTCTACACCTAGCAAATTCCCATTTTATGTAGCTTATCACATACAGGGCAAAATTACTAAGTGCTGATTGGCTGAGACAGAGGGCATTTTTTCTTAATCACGAGGGTACTTTTGGTAATCAAAAGGGCATGATTACTTGATCTTGATTGGTTTAAAGTTGCTTTGTAATGAAGTTATTGCTTAGATTTGTTGCCGATTAAAAATTTTCTGCAACAATGGCTTCCCATTTTGTTGAAGAGTTTATTGAGGAACTACTAAACACAAGTGAGCACAAAAACACAAAAAAGAAGTACGGACTACTGGACTAACATTTTCCAACAATGGGCAAAGACAAGAGGAAAAAATGAGCAATGTCGCGGCATTGAACGGGCTTCCTAAAAGAATAACGTCGCGCGTGAATGGATTCCCGCGATAATTTTGCCCTTTATGTGATAAACAAGAAATCGCAAGTGCCCTCGGGCAATTAAGGATTAATTTCACTGGTGTTTTCAAAGTTTGGAAATACGCGTGAAATTAATCCTTAATTGCCCGAGGACCCATGCGATTACATATACATATCCTATTGACAGCTCGCATACAAGTTTGGGCGTGCGTGTTGATCATCCTTAAAGCTCTATGACAATGGCGATTTTAGCTGCAATTTCACCGGTTTGTGAGGTTTACAGAGCGATATAAATATTTTTAAAAGCAAGTGGATATTAGTTAAAGGTTAATGGACATCGTAGAAAGACAACAATAGATAAAGTCTTAAGTATTCTAATGTTATCTTTGTATTGGCTCATTTAGAATAAAACACCAATATTTAGGAAGGGGGTTATGCGATATCGCTCTATTATGACGACAAAAGTTGCACTAGGGTAAAGTTAAACCCATAAAAAAATATTTAACTGTTAACATGTAATAGTTCAATAGACACTAAAGGAAACAACGAAATTAGTGGTTAATAAAGTGTGTTAGTCTAATATGTATTTCACGGGCTTAGTGACTTCACCCTAAACTTTTCGAAAACGTCATGAAACTTCCACAAAATCTCAACTGGAACTGCACTTAAAAAGACAATATATTGCAGGTTCATGACAACGAGTCTCAAAGTAAACTCTTTTAATTCCAGATATAAGCTTTATCACTTGGAGCTAAGTTTTTAAACGACAACTTTTGCTTTATGAAAAATTCAACTTTATAACACCTCGCAACAAGACCAAGACAAGTTAAATCTTTTTCATAGAAGTCGATGTCCTACACACATCAGTCACCAAGACAAATTCTATGACTCTTAAGGCCGATTTCCACGATGCGATTGTAGTATATGACTCTTAAGGCCGATTTCCACGATGCGATTGTAGTATATGACTTGATGCATGTGACCCGAATCATACCATATAAACGGTCATTCGTCAGGTCGTACACGACCCTATGACTTGTCGTTCGAACCTTAACACACGAAGAAATTGCATTGTGTAAATCGGCCTTTTTAGGGAATATTGACTTACTTGAAATAAAACGATCAACCATAAAATGACTGGCAAACGGTTAAAGAAAATAACATGTTAACAATATAGGACTCAATTATGTTGTAACCCTGAATACATAAAGACAAGAAATGTTCAATGTCAACTAATGTTCAAATATAATGCAAGAACCACAGGATCAAACTACTACTTTCTCTTCATCTTTTGACGTTTGACTTCTTTTCGTACCTTGTCCGCCAAACGTTGTTTTTGCCTCAAAAGAAGCTCCTCATCATCGGTTCCGAAGACCAACCCGGTTTTCCATGCTTTCTCATCATTTATCACCCGTTCCCAAACGACCTCTCTTTTTACTGCGTTGTTTTCAATCATATCCTGAGTTAACGATAGGAGATGGTCTGTTTGTTCATCGGTGAACTTACTCCATGATGGCTTTGCAGATTCAGATGCGATGGATGGAGCTCTGGAAGACATAAACCGTTCTATCTTCTGTTCAGGAGACTCAACTTCAGTTGGTGGTTCTAAGTTTTTGGTAAATTCTGATCAAAGCCTTCTCACTTTCAACACAATTGCCTTCATGGGTGTGTTTCCAACAGGTTGGAAGCACCAAGTTTATCTCTGACAATGTTTTCAGTTATGTTACCAGTCTCAATTTCAGACTTGAATAAATCTTGAAGTTTTGAGGTCTCTTCCTCGGTCCACTCGACAGGAATTATTGATACCTAAAAGAAATCAGAATTCGTATGCCAATTGTTATTCAAATTACTACGATTGGTATGCATTATAAGAGTACTTACCTCTGTCTTTGCGCAGTTCATGGTGATAAATTTTCTGACAGCACGACGCCCAATATCTGTTTCTCTAACTTTGTCATTGATGCGGTAATATTGAGCTTGTGTTTGAGGTTTGTGCTGTGCAAGGGCAGCCAGTTGTTCTTGATCTTCAGGCAAATGGACATGCACTCCTGATGCCAGAGATTTTCTTATCAAGGTTGCGGAGATGCGACCGTGAAACTTCACACCCTCCCTTTGAAATGTACGAGTCAGACACGTGGATACTTGCGATGAAGTAAGTTTAACGCCATTGGTTGAAACGAACATGTTATCTGTGGCATCTTTGACGTACTTAGGCCTCACCCTTGAGATATACGTATTCACCAGATTGTAAACATCAGCATGAAACCATACAATGGCTGCCCCATAAACACCTCCTGTCTTGTGATTCTTAACTGATACGCGGTATCTCTCTCCATCTTCTTCTCCAGCGTACAGTTTAGCATCTTTGAATTCCTCCACTGTTATATTTGCTGCAATACCACTTCTTCCGGAGTTGTCAATTATTAATCTTGTAATCAGCCAATCCCTTACTTCGCAAAAGGTCTGATCGTTGACCAGCACAGGTTCTCCACAAGCTTTGCTTTTCTCCGCAGCTGTTCCAAGCGCTTTAATTATGTTTATTCGCTGTTGTCCATTTGACACTTTATATAGATCTTCGCTAGAAAGGAGTTTTGCAAAGTCCATGTCATGTTTCTCTAATTTCCTTTTCAGCACCTTCTTTCTTTGAGCAGATGACCACGAAGTTAAAAGATCTCTCCTTGCATGAAGTGTGTCTAATCTATCTTGCCCTTTCTCTTCTTGCACAAGGAATTTAAGGAATAGCCTAAGGCTCATTAGGTATGATCTAATGGTTCCAGGTTGATACTCCTCAGATAGTTGACCCAACCACTTCCTCAACATTACCACTCCGTCATGCCCCTCGACAGTAACAAGATCTATTTCATTTGCTGCTTGAGGGAAATCTTCTGAAAGAACTTTCATGATGCGTTTTACCTGTGACTTGTACTGACCAGCCACTTTTGCGCAGCGATAACCCCCGTCTACGTCTATCAACCAGGAATGAAACTCGTTAAGCAGTGGGCTGTCATCACTACTATCATTGTCTTCAAAACTGACATCATCTTCCATCTCTTCAAGACAGTCGTCATTATCATCATCATCGCTATCGTATACTGATGATTCATCATCATTCATAACTTCCTTAGGCACTTTACCTTGTGAAAGATTGCTTTGGGAGTCAGTATTACCAGCGTTCGTTCTTTTTCTTTCAAAAACAACATCAACCACGCTCTTCCATTCTGGTTCCACACGAAGAAAATCGAGATTATCTACGTTTTCCACGAAATCAGTTAAAATGTCATCCCTTTCTTGCAACGAGCAGTTATCTGACAAGCTTCCAGTGCTACACTCTGATTCGGAGTCCAGGGAAGGGTGATAGTTTGGGTCTAAAATTTCCTCTTCTTCACTGTCGCATATAACTATTTCACTAGATTTGGTATTACCAGCCGTCACTGGTGGTTGAGGTGGTTGGATTACTTGGTCAGCATTTTTGCGGTTGTTTAACTCTTCAGATAGCTCGGCATCGCTTTCACACTGGGAGGACATCATAGACACTAACTGTTTAAAGCTTCGCTTCTTGCACTCTTCATTTCTTTTCCACACGTTATCCACAAGTTGATCATACTCCAAATCGCTGTCATGGTCATCATGTGTATCACCTACCTTTGATTCCATTTGATCCATTACTTTTTCATACTCCAAATTACTGTCATGATCATTGCCTGAATCTCCACTTTCTTCATTATGTAGCTTGTGTTCCACTTTATCAACTTGCTGATCATACTCTAATTTGCTGTCATCATCATTGTACGTCTCTCTTACCTTTGATTCACAACTTTCTTCATTATGTAGTTTGCGCTCCTCTGCATTACTATTGGAGGAGGTCGGTGCGAGGTGCCCAGGGTTACTCACGTTTCTGCTGATAGTTGCTTCTCCTTCAGGATTTTCTAATAATTGATCATCCGAGTCATTTTCAATTTCTTCCTCAGCTTCGATTCTATTCACCAAACTATACTCATTTTCCTTGTCACCCTTGTAAAATTTCACCCTTTTGCGGCCTTTCCACGTACAGGTGATTTTGATTCGATTTTTTTCTCTTTTAGGACCATCTTTAGTTGTGGCGCTCTTTGCTTTGGATTTCTTTCTCTTGGCAATGTGATCTCGTAGCTCTTGAAGCCCAATTCTCGGAGCAGATTTAAGCGCATCTAAGTATTGGTTTGAGTTGGGATTAAGCTTGTGGATATTTGACTGTAAATGATGATGAAGTTGAAAGACACCTTTCTTTGAATGCTTGCATGGAGATAACGGACAAAACTTTATCTTCCTATTAGGCGCTTTCTTGTTTCCATTTATATATACATCTACCTGACGAAAAATCTTATTCACTTTATGTACATCCTTCTGATGACGAGATAAATTTATAACTGATTTCCACATCTCGAACACACTTTAGATTCCCGAGACTTTTTCCTTATTTCAGAACTACCTTCCATGGTTACTATAATACAAACAAATAGAAAACTGATCTCAATGATAGAGTTGACAATGGTTAGCACAGCATAACAGATGAGTAGAATGATCTGACAATGATCAACACAGCATAAAAGATAATTAAAATGATTTGACAGTGATGAACACAGCATAAAAGATGATTTCAATGATTTGAAAGTGATAAACACAGTATAACATGATTACAATGATTTGACAGTGATCAACAGAGTATAACAGATGATTTAACAGTGATCTACACAGCATAACAGATGATTAGAATGATTTGAAAGTGATCAACAAAGCATAACAGTTGATTAGAATGATTTGACAGTGATAAACACAGCATAACACATGATTGCAATGATTTAACAGTGATCAACACAGCAGAACAGATGATTAAAATGATTTAACAGTGATCAACACAGCATAACACATGATTGCAATGATTTAACAGTGATCAACACAGCAGAACATGATTAAAATGATTTAACAGTGATGAACACAGCAGAACAGGTGATTAGAATGATTTGACAGTGATCACTAGAGTATAAGAAATGATTGCAATGATTTAACAGTGATCAACACAGCATAACATATGATTAAAATGATTTAACAGTGATGAACACAGCAGAACAGATGATTAGAATGATTTGACAGTGATCACTAGAGTATAAGAAATGATTGCAATGATTTAACAGTGATCAACACAGCATAACATATGATTAAAATGATTTAACAGTGATCAACACAGCAGAACAGATGATTAGAATGATTTGACAGTGATCACTAGAGTATAAGAAATGATTGCAATGATTTAACAGTGATCAACACAGCATAACATATGATTAAAATGATTTAACAGTGATCAACACAGCAGAACAGATGATTAGAATGATTTGACAGTGATCACTAGAGTATAAGAAATGATTACAATGATTTAACAGTGATCAACACAGCATAACATATGATTAAAATGATTTAACAGTGATCAACACAGCAGAACAGATGATTAGAATGATTTGACAGTGATCACTAGAGTATAAGAAATGATTGCAATGATTTAACAGTGATCAACACAGCATAACATATGATTAAAATGATTTAACAGTGATGAACACAGCAGAACAGATGATTAGAATGATTTGACAGTGATCACTAGAGTATAAGAAATGATTGCAATGATTTAACAGTGATCAACACAGCATAACATATGATTAAAATGATTTGACAGTGATCAACACAGCAGAACAGATGATTAGAATGATTTGACAGTGATCAACACAGCATAACAGATGATTAGAATGATTTGACAGTGATCAACACAGCATAACATATGATTAAAATGATTTAACAGTGATGAACACAGCAGAACAGATGATTAGAATGATTTGACAGTGATCACTAGAGTATAAGAAATGATTGCAATGATTTAACAGTGATCAACACAGCATAACATATGATTAAAATGATTTAACAGTGATCAACACAGCAGAACAGATGATTAGAATGATTTGACAGTGATCACTAGAGTATAAGAAATGATTGCAATGATTTAACAGTGATCAACACAGCATAACATATGATTAAAATGATTTAACAGTGATCAACACAGCAGAACAGATGATTAGAATGATTTGACAGTGATCACTAGAGTATAAGAAATGATTACAATGATTTAACAGTGATCAACACAGCATAACATATGATTAAAATGATTTAACAGTGATGAACACAGCAGAACAGATGATTAGAATGATTTGACAGTGATCACTAGAGTATAAGAAATGATTGCAATGATTTAACAGTGATCAACACAGCATAACATATGATTAAAATGATTTAACAGTGATGAACACAGCAGAACAGATGATTAGAATGATTTGACAGTGATCACTAGAGTATATGAAATGATTGCAATGATTTAACAGTGATCAACACAGCATAACATATGATTAAAATGATTTAACAGTGATGAACACAGCAGAACAGATGATTAGAATGATTTGACAGTGATCACTAGAGTATAAGAAATGATTGCAATGATTTAACAGTGATCAACACAGCATAACATATGATTAAAATGATTTAACAGTGATGAACACAGCAGAACAGATGATTAGAATGATTTGACAGTGATCACTAGAGTATAAGAAATGATTGCAATGATTTAACAGTGATCAACACAGCATAACATATGATTAAAATGATTTAACAGTGATCAACACAGCAGAACAGATGATTAGAATGATTTGACAGTGATCAACACAGCATAACAGATGATTAGAATGATTTGACAGTGCTCAACAAGGCATAACAGATGATTAGAATGATTTGACAGTGCTCAACAAAGCATAACAGATGATTAGAATGATTTGACAGTGATTAACAAAGCATAACAGTTGATTAGAATGATTTGAAATTTATCAACACAGCAGAACAGATGATTAGAATGATTTGACAGTAATCAACACAGCATAACAGTTTATTAGAATGATTTGACAGTGATCAACAAAGCATAACAGTTAATTAGAATGATTTGACAGTGATCAACACAGCATAACAGTTGATTAAAATGATTTGACAGTGATCAACACAGCATAAGAGATGATTGCAATGATTTGACAGGGATTGAAATAGGATAAGAGATGATCACAATAAATAATAGCATCGAAAATAACTTATCAAAGTCCTGAAACATCGATCGATGTTTTGTTGCTATCAAGGGAATTTCTGTTTATAAAAAGCAATTTTATTTTTTAGGTAAGAGCTTTCACCCACTTCATTGTTAGAACAAAAAGCAGAAAAATGCATTCTACGATTCATATCTATATGATTTGGAAGTTAAATATAAGTAAACCGATAATTATGTAAGATATTACGAAGGCCAATCATTCTTCAAGTTTATCTATTTTTTTTCTCAAATATTGTAAAAATATATCGACACTTATACCTTGGATGCTTGCAAAGCGTATTTCGTTGATAACCACTTGCTTAAGGGAAGAAATATAACAAGAAACCTATGTTGATGTTATTTTCTTACCGTTTGAAAGTTGCCGTCATCGACGAACACGTGAAACACGAAAACGAACGTTGAAGTGAGTGAACGCTGACCGATAATGATGTACTTGTTCAGTAATAAACCGTAGAACCAAAAAAAATAGTTTTCTTTAATATGAAACCTTGAAATAGGTAAAAATTTGTCAAATACCTATTTTGAGTATTTGCTACGGTAACAAAAACCCATTTTGAGTATTTGCTACGGTAACAAATACCCACTTGGGAGTAGCAAAGACCCAGATGAGTATTGGCTACCGTAGCAAAAACCCATTGAACGTATCAAATACCCACATGGGTATTTCCTACCGTAGCAAAAACCCACATGGGTATTTCCTACCGTAGCAAAAACCCTCAATGGGTATTTTGTACCGTAGAAAATACCCACAAGAATCTAACCACGTAGCAAATACCCAGATCACTCTAGCTCTCTCTCTCTCTCTCTCTCTCTCTCTCTCTCTCTCTCTCTCTCTCTCTCTCTCTCTCTCTCTCTGAGGGTTGACTAACTCGCATAGTTCTTTTTCTATTTTTTACAGATTAGTCGAGTTCTTTCGTTTGCTCCAGGCTTCAATCCGATTTCAAAAATAATAACTTGAATCATGTATAATGATAGAAGACTTAAAAATTACAACTGTCACGCCCAACTCGTCTGTAAACAATCGAAGCTGTGTCAAAGAAGCGAACACATTACTTTTTCGGTTGCAACTACAACTTGGAAATTACGTCTTTAAAAATTGGAAACACAACCTTAAATTTACTTTAGGAAACAGCACGTCAACACGAACTCGCAGCGTGTGATCGCAAAAAGTGATCTGCGTTGTGCTTCGTTTCGTTTTGTGATCTTGAGTTTCATCTATCGTCATGAAAATTTTTTGTTGAAGCGATTCATCTTATGTTTTGAGTGAATCGATAAAATAAAAGAAATTTTCCAAATGGGTGCCACCTAGGTTATTTTAGCCTTTTCCTGATTATGAAAGATAAATTGTATCGTTATTTTAAGTACGGAGAGCAAATAAAGGATAAACTGAATCCATACTCACGGCAAATCGAGCTCAAGATTAACATTACGACGAGTCCTCTGAGCACCATATCTATTCAATTTCTGATACAAAGCAAGGAAAGTTTCTCTGGCACAGATCCGATTTCAAGAATCCCAATTGGTGACCGCCTTAGACGCTGGTTCTTTTTGGTTAAACTAAGCTTCATTTTATACTTTTCCGGAGATTTCAGTGACACCTGCGTATCTTGGTCGATAAGATGTCTTTCATAACACGTCTAATTAGGTATCCGTTACATTAATGCATTTAGCCCGCCACAAAAGATACTTTTCAGTCAATTTCCGCAAGTTGCACTATCTTAAAAGCCTGTAGAATTTGCAAAATAAACTAGTCTGGGTTTGTTTGATATCGATGCACAAGCATAACTATAAACCAGAAAGAAAGAAAGGAATGATGAGGTAGATTGGGTGGGATTATAACAGTGAAAAAGGTCTAAATTTTTCAAGATTACAAGATGTTAATACAGCTTTTTTACAACATCATTTGCAACGTACCATTTCCACCGCCTCCTCCGTCACCGCCTCCACAAAATTTACAGCTCTTTTGACAATTTTGCTTCATATACTGTTCATATTTTCCGGAGCAAAACCCTCTTCGTGCCCAGCCTGAACATTCTCTTCTTCTATCTTCACAGCCTGAGGATCAAATATGTTTAGCACTAGATATTTTAAGGACTGTAAACAAAGGTTAATCGAACCTTCCATTTTTTTCTGGTGTGTTCTTGATGACACTGAGGAGGAAAAGTTTTGTGTATTCGTTGTTTCTTTAAAAGATCAACCAACCAGAGACATCATATTTGCAAGCTTCTCTAAAAAAACTATGTTTTTTTCAATGAACTCAACTCAGACTTTCAAGATTCAATAAGTGTGACAACTTTTTACAAGATGAAAAAATACGTTCTTTCTTAGTTTCCGCTTTTTTCTTGTTCTTGCAGGGCGCCAAAATTCATATTGCTACCTAAGCGATGATTTTTTTGTATTCTTTGTATCAACCAGCAGCGAAGTTTCCAAGGAAAATGACAGCATTAAACCTACCTGACTTTAGTAACTTACTGACTAACCTTCGGTGTCTCGCTGAAACGTTGTCAGAACCACCCCGGCGATAAGAAGAGCTTTTATTAGAATTGAAAGCTTCATTTTGCAAGAATCAGAATAGTACAATGAAACCTAGTCTCCGAATATCTTTTTATACTAGTATTTACCGCAGTAATTGTGAAAAGAATTTAACGGCATACATCTGTGTGAAAACCAAACATTGGCAATCAATTCAAACTTGAAAACATTCTCACTGCAAGACTTCTGTCCTCATTTTAAAAGACTATTGTAAATGGTTCTTCAACCATTAACAACGGCAGTTGTGATACACCTGTGTAAAGATGAAATCTGTCAACAATCTATTTATTAAAAAAAAATCTTCGCTTATGCGAACGACCATCGTAAATGACTTAATAAAAATCTTCAGTGGTAATTATGAAAACAAGTTGACACACGCGTGTTTAAAAAATTGCTTGACAAAAAATCCAGTATTATTCACATGGATATTCCTTTGAACATAAATGGCTGATGTTCATCTTAATATTGACGAACGAAAAAATTAGAGATAAACTTGAACTCCACCTGTGTAGAAATTAAACATTGGCACTAAGTCCAATTCAAGAAAAAACTATTCGCTTAAATATTCATTCCCTCTTCATATAGGACAATTAATATTCAAAGTGATAGCTCGAGAAGTGTGAGAATTGTGCACATCTGCGTCGAAAAAATGCTTGGCACAAGCAACATTAATTGACAAGGATATTTTTTCGAGAATAAATTGTTGATGCTAATCTAAGTATCTACGACCGAAAAAATTTGAGAAGAACTTAGAGTCCAATCCAAGACAAAAATTGTTTCATTGTAATATTTATTCCCTCTTTTTTCAGGAGTATTTACATCTACAATGATAGCTCGAGATAAGAGGGGACCGCACGCGCCTGCCTAAAAAAAATGCATGGCACAAAATCCAACATAAGTCCACCTGTCAAATTAACCTTTGGCACCAAATCCAAGACAAAAACTATATCACTGTAATATTCATCCCTCTTTTTTCAGGAGTATTAACACTCGAAGTGATAGATTGAGAACTGTTAGAACTGCACACACCTTCCTTAAGAAAAATGTTTAGCACAAAATCAACATTTGTTCACATGGACGTTTCTTTGAACATAAATTGTTGATGTTCATGTTAATATTGACAACAATAAATGTGAGAAGAAGTTAGAGTCCACCTGTTTGAAAATTTACCTTTGGCACCAAATCCAAAACAAAGACTGTCTTATTGTAATATTTATTTCGAATTTTAAAGGAGTTTAACGCTTATAGTGTGAGAACTGCAATATTGCCAACCTAAGTTGAAACCCCTCTTAGTTCGTCCAAAGCTCTTTCTAATTGTATAACAATGAAAATTATGTGCCACATCTTTTGAGCTAGGTTTACCTGAAAATTTCATTTTTTTTTTGCACGTGTATTATCCTTTAACAACTAAAAAAGTTATCTGTTTGCTTAAATCTGAAACAAATTGTGAAATATGTCACTAAAGAACGGGAATTTTGAGTTTCAGACGAGAAGTAATTATCTTTTTGTTGTTCTTGTTTTTGATTTTGTTTTATGGATCAATTGTTCATACTGTTTTTCCAGCTGCACTCTTAATATCCAGATGTGCATGAAGTTAAAAGAAAAAATTCATTGGCAAATGCAGAGGTCTCTTAGCATAAAATCATTTTGGCGATTTTCTTTTCTCCTTCTTTTCGTTTCTTTTTCTTTCGTTAAAAAGAGCAAAAACGAAAAAAAAAAACAGTCGAAAACGGGTCTAGGCCGATGGAAGACAGTTAAAAAACTGCAATGGTAGTTAATCGTTGAAACTTGTCACTGATGCAAAACAAAAACAAATCTTATAAAGTCAGTTTTAGCAAGATTGATAGCTTTCTGCTTTGGAGACGATCATAAAAGATGAAAGAAGGTGATAAAATGTTTTCCGTGCCAAGCACGTCGTCTTTCTAGCTCGATTTGGCTGTAATTTTTTTCATAATTTTTCATTTTTATAATTGTATTAATAGCTAAATTATGAAAAAAAAGTGTAGTATACTCAACAAATAGACGAAAACACACATTTTCGTGGTTTTTAATGCCTTTTATTGTGCATAAGACTTTGTCTAATAGGTATTCATCTGCTTGTCAATCCATTGCCGTAAGTAACGGACCCTGGCGTAGACACCATACTTCCCTGGGGAGGCACAACCACTTCCCCATGAAACCACACCCTCTAAGTAGAACTTTCCACCATCTTCACAAACCAGTGGCCCACCGGAATCTCCTTGGCACGAGTCCTTGCCTCCACGATCGAGTCCAGCACAGACCATGGAGTCGTGGATTGACGACCCATAAGCTCTTTTACATCCACTTTGACTGACAATCGGGACATCTACCTGCATTAACACTTTGGCCAAACTACCACCCGAGGAGAGTGTACCATATCCTGAAAGGAACCACATGGAAAAAAATTATGCAGGGCTTACAAATCATTGAGCCACCCCTGAGAAGAGTCAGTCCAAACTTACAAGAATGAATCAAAGGAAAACCAAAAATAACCAAGAGAATCTTTTTAAAAAATGACAAATAACAATGGACAAAGTAAATAAAATGTATATATACAAATATACAATGTATACGTCTAGGTTTTAAAAGTTTGGTCAATGTATATACATTTGATATGAGGAAAAGTGGCTCCCTCGAACAAGCTGATCGTCTTCAACAAGAGTTACTTATCAAGGCAATCGAGTGGCGGAATGAATTGTATCACCTGTCACCCAACAAGTCTTGCCTTCCGAAACTTGTCCACTCGACCCAGGTAAGCAAGCCAGTCCAACTTTTCCGTTCAGTTGAGCGGGTTGTCGCAGTTTCAACAAAGAAATATCATGAGCCAATCCGCGTGGCCGTTTGTAACTTTCATGGTTGATGATTCTTTCCACTTGAAAATCCTGCTCGTCTCCAGTGTTCCCGCTGCGATAGTGAGCACCAACCCTGCAAATTGGAAAAAACTCAGATTTGAAATCGGTGAATGAATACTCTTTTTCAGATATCTCCTCTCCAATCATTTGAATACTTTCAATGAATACTTTCTTTATTCTGAGAAAATGGGCTTTGCATTTCGAAAATTATCGCATAAACACCTTTGGAACAATGATTCATTAGCCACGATAACTAGGTGGATAAGGCTTACTCAGAGTAAGAATCTAGTGTAAATTACCTTGCATTAAATTTGATTTCTTGGGTAGAAGAATCTGGAAGAGACCTCACCTTACACGAATGCTGGAGGCGGATTTTTTCGAGGTACAGTGAGCTGCTGTAACAACCCACTGCGGATGAACCAAAGTTCCTCCACAAAAGGTGAAACCAGAAGACGTCCTGACCTGAGCTTGCCATGGCCAAGCTCCCTTTGGGGCTTCATTTCCACCGACAATTCGTGCGCCTGGTTTAAATCCACATTTTCGTGATTCTCCTCCTCCACCACCACCGCCGCCTCCAGCACCGCCCCCGCCGCCGCCTCCGCCGCCGCCGCTGCCTCCGCCACCGCAAATTTTACAGGACTTCTTACAGTTTTCTCTCATATACTGTTCGTATTTGCCTTTGCAGTATCCTTTGCTTTCCCACCGCGGACAGTTTAAGTTTTTATCCTTGCATTCTGGAAGAAGAGACAATAAATGAAAAGAAGAAGAAAAAGAGGAACAAGAGGAAGACAAGTAAAACGATATGAACTCCAACAACGCATACAGCAAGATTACAAAAGTGAAAGGAGGAGAAGGAGAAATAGATAAACTATAGGGAGAGAAGAGTAAAAGAAAATATAGAGAAGATTAAATCGAACTGATTAATGATGAATAACTTTTTTTTATAAATTTAATCTATAATAACAAGTTATTTTAGAATGTCCACAATACCTTCTCCTCCTCCTGCTCCTCCTCCTCCTCCTCCTCCTCCACCGCCACCACCACCACAAAGGTTACAGCTCTTCTGACAGTTTTTTTTCATATACGCTTCATATTGCCCTTGGCAGAAACCTTTTGATGCCCAAGAACCGCAATTTCTATGTTTGTCTGCACAACCTGGAAAAATAATAAAAACCCACGGTTTTGATTTTATCCAGTGTTTAAGTTGTGGAAAATAAACAAAATTTGAAAATTTTAAATCTGCAGTTAATTAGTTTTTAGGAAAGAGATAAACAGTGAAGTATGGAAGACATGAAATAAACTTGAATTCCGAGGCTGACTGATATTGTGACAATCAAGCACTGAATATTGCAAATTGCTAGTCATTGGCTCGTTAGAATCCCCCCCGTCCCCCACCAATTTGATCTTTCTTCCGTTTTCAGACTTCTTGTAAACCTCTAACATGACTGAAGCTTGATGCTAATGCCTTTAAAGATCGTCAACTACACGCGTAGATACTTGATGTACTTAAACAACTCTATTACAACAAAAAAGCCTCTTGTTTTCAGAATTTTCAAAGTAACAAATTAAATGGAAATCTCGTTGCTAATTTTCTGAAAAAAAGAAAATCCCTGGATTCAGGATTGATTTTTACAGCCGAAGGTGATTGTTGTAGTAAGGTATAGCACTATTATAGAAGTTTTCATTGCAACCTTGCTACGCACCATATAAGGAGCGTTAATTCTCTGGCTGACGAGCAAGGCTTTGGATCGATCAAGTGGCTCCTTGTGCGCAAGGTAAGGCCGGAATGAGCAGCCTTCCACAACATATACAAAGCGCAAGTCTTTTTAAAGATTCCTTTTCCCTCACAGATATCAAAAGCTTCCTTCACTTGAAGATTGTTTGCTCATACGAAGATATGCAATGATGAATAAAGTCGTTTCAACCTTGTATACCTATAACTCAACTGCCTATAACTGTATAACTCAAATCATTAGCTGTACTGTATGGATAAGAGATGTGTTTAACCTCACCTTTTGAGAGGGATGGCATAAGGATGCCCACCAAAAGTGCAACAATGATTAACATCTCGCCGATGGTTTTTTGATCGGACGACGTGATGCATATCCTTTTATCTAACTTCTTTCATCAGATAATTATACAGCTGGTTGAAAGCCTTTAAACCGCTATGGTCACTTCCATGACTTCTTTTTTAAACATTCTTTGTTATGATGATAATAGCTAATAACAACTATTGAATTTCAGAAATCAAAGAAGATGTCAAGCTTTTTGTCACGATGACATGAGGTATCAGCCGAAATAAAAAGTCTACTGAAGACATTTAGATGCTACAAACACAGGTTGACTGAGATTTCCTTGTTGAGTTTAGCCATCTGGTTAACCTGGATGAATGTTTCTGGCTCTAACCATGGTAACTATTGCAAAACAAGGTAGGGAATATAACTAATTTAATCCAGGTAAGGTTCTCTTTGTAAATCTCATCTAACATGACAACTTTACGAATTGCTTATATAAACAATTTTTTGTTCTTATTCAAGAGGCCATTCTTGAGGAACTGAAAGTGGGTATCAAATCATATGTTGAAATGACTTTTGAAAACGGCAAGGAAAATATCTTAATCCCGTAATATAGGTTGATTTATGTTTAGCTAGCTGGTAAACCTGAATATCAAACACTTCCGCTCTAGTTATAAAATTTATCATAACATCTTTGGTGAGTAAAAGCCATAGTTAGACGTTTTCAACTATCAAAAAAGCTTTCTTTTACCAATAAATTCAGTGCCATACGCCTTGTGAAATTTTAAAAGCTGCATTGACGTTGAAGCTTTAAAATCTTTATTTAGGAAATCAGTTGTGAGACATTTATCTAGCTTGAGCCAAACGAGTATAGCATATACCTTTATTGAACTACTTTGATATTTTGGCAGCTGTGTCTCAGTTTTCTGCTGGACGTGGACACCTCGATGAAATTTTTGTATCAAAGAATTATTTTCAAATTATTGAAGTCACTCTGACGTGTTCGAAGACAAAGAATAGTCATCGAAAAAATGCATAATTGACAGGCAATAAGTCCAATCAGTTTTATCATGGTGTGGAACACGAATATAGCCTCGCTTCTTGCGTTTGTCTCCTGGATAATTAAGACTCCGATTTTTTTGTCAATATATAAAATAAAAGCTATGCTGGATCAAAACCATTCATAGCGTTGCTTGTTCATCAGCCGAGTTTACAAATAAAAGATCGTTGTTGGGCAAACAATGAGTAATCTCTTAAACTGATGATGTGCGTTTTTTATCAATCGTCTTCATCTTTCTTTTCAGAATTATTAAACGGTTTTCTCGACCTCCCAATTAACCAATCATGTCCCTTGTCCTATAGCAATCTTGTTACTCTGAATTATATCTGTGCATACGCGTATCCTGTTAAATTAGCGAGCTTCACGAAATATAAAAAGTGTTTCAAACTACTGATCAATAATCAGGCAATGAACTTGCCACTGATCACTCGCAAAGAAAAGACATTACAAGAAAAAAAATTTGGGTCGGCCAATTCTGCTGATAACATGTGAAAACGGAATTTGCTTTCCAGTTGGGGTGAGTTTTTTGTTGAAATCAAAACATCGTCATTTACCTTTAATCAGTTTCGAAATGTATGATTTAAATTATTGCTGCATTTAAAGAAAAATTGTAAGCAGATTCTCATGGAGGGCAAAATGACAGCTTGTTTTAAGAGAAGGTGAGGTTTCTAAACGTCTGTGAAGGAGATTGTTAGCTTTATTGGCTTTTTTCAGGCAGGGCAATGCAAAACGCCTTTCACTGCAAAACTGTAGCCAAAAACCTGAGGTGAGATTAAACGGATAATTGAAATCCTAGCAAAAGCCTTTGCAGAAAGTTTGTGCAATGAACTCAAGTGAAAAATGTATTGTGCCTTGGCTTTGAAAGTAAGCATTACCTACGATACTACTGACTCAATATTTTGTCGAGTTGGCTTATGTAATTCGGACAGTTTCTCTGTGTGACGAGATCCTGGAATGGTAACACAAAAAAATAACTTATCCCTGATTAAATGAAAATATTTTTAAATAAAAGAATTTACTGCGTCTAAAAGGCTGAAAAGACGCGTGAAGAAGATAGAAGGACAAGATATGCAGCCTTGGTCTCGGCTGAACAATCCCTCGATGCACTCAACGCATACTTCCATAACTGAAAAGATCGCGTTTCGTTTGAAAGCTACTCAGCTCCTAGATGACTAAACTAAAACGGAACAATAGGTAGCCGAGGTAAACTAAGCAGATTGCTTAGAGCGCAGGAAAACGAAGGTGTTTAAGTCGCGATCTGTCTAGCTTCCTAGCAGACAGGATGGTTTGACCATTCTAGAACTGAACGTGAAAAAGTAAAACTACTGCACAGCTCTTTGCTTCGCAAAGCTTTCGAGGCTTACCTCCACCGCTTCCTCCTCCTCCTCCTCCTCCGCCGCCGCCACCGCCGCCGCCACTTCCGCCACTACCTGTGGTGAAGGGAAATTTGACGGATTTATACAAAGTGCACTCTCGACCTTCGTTATATCATGATAAATCCTCTTCGTAGACGGTGTCGCAGAAACCTTAGGCTTGACTAATTACATTACGTAAATTGTCAACTTCTAGGCCCATTCTGCCAGTAATTAAGAGTATATCATGATAATCACAATAATTATGATAACAACGATAAGGATTAGGATGAGAGAAGAATTGTGAATCCTAGGGTTTAAGTGGTCGGTTCGTCCCAAAACAGGAAAAAAATGTCCGTTATCGTGGGGTTGGGCAAACGTTTTGGAAATTTTCCGTTGGAACTTGGGTAGTTGCAAACTTACCCACGTGACTTTCGATCCACCTGACATACGAGCTAACACGAGCATATACGGAAAAGGTGTGTCCGGGACAAGTACGGCTCGTTACCCATGAAGCTGCACCGCGAACAACCCAGCGACCACCCTCAAAGCATGACAAGGGGCCGCCACTATCGCCGTTGCAGACGCTGCTTCCTTGTCCTCCAACGCATACCATGGAGCTTTCATCCACTGTGCCACCATTTTTACTTCGGCAGGTATTGTGACTGGCTACCGGAGCCTTAGCTTGTTTAAGACGAGGAGCAAGTGCATTTGTGTTTGAATTTATCCTACCCCAACCTGAATAGAGACGGAGAACATCCAAGAAATGGAACTTCATTTAATACCATTTTTATTAAACGGTTAATCGGATGATCATCTTTTCAATCATTCTCCGATTTAGTCAATCAATCATTCAATCAACTGATCAATCATTTACCCTAATTAAACCACTAAGTCAGTGTGTAGCGATGAAAGCAGCGTAATTTTCTTTCACTTTTCATTGTTACCGCTTTTAGAATACTAATTTCTTTAGAGTTAATTGTGGTTGTGGCCTCAGAATTTTTGTTTTGTGCTGACTCAAGATAGAAAGCAAGCTTTATTAATTTATATGACCCACCACAAGCTGAGTTTTCTCACCAAATTACCTGTTACGTAACACTGTGTTCCTAGACTGACTCGTGATCCATGTTTTGGCAGGCAAACGGTTTGGATTTTGCTATTGAGGCTTACACGGGTCGTTAGTTTCAGCACTGCTACGTCATGGCGTAGATGTTGCATGCTAAAAGATGGATGTTTGATCACTCTAGAAACTTTAAACACTTGTCCGTCTCCAGTTCTGCTATGAGCCCCTGATAGAGGTAAAAATGCCGTAAGGAATGAGTTAGAGATCGTGCGTTAATGCTGGTATTTGTAGGTCTGTTTCATCAACTCAAAATTGAAACAGCAAATTCACAGTCTATTTTTTGGGTAAAATCTACGTTATCATAGTGGACCAATTAATCTTTTGCATTTCGACCCCTTAAGGGACTCTTCTTTACGTCTAAAATCTATGATTAAGGCTTTTCTGTACGAAAACCTAGCAAGAAAAAAGCAAAACAAACAAAAAACGGATTATAATTAAAACAAAGGAAGATAATCCATTGCCTCTCTTCGCTTCAAAAGATAAGAACTTTCCTGAGACGAAAAAATAAATAAAATAAAAGTTCTTCATTAACTACTTAAAAAAGAACTTCACTTTACCTAAAGCAACTGAGTAACGATTAGGGTCACTACTTTGATCAACGCAATGGGCTGCTGATAGCACCCAGTTCTCGTTCAGAAGGGAAGCACCACAAATGTGGCGCCCATAGTACTGGAGTGACGCTTGCCAAGGCCAAGAATTCGGCTTTGCTTCTTCGCCTCCGACTATACGGGACCCAAATGGCTTATTTCCGCAAGCTAGGGAATGAAGAATCAAAATGTATCAATTCATTTTCTTATTAAGTGAAGGTGGCCTCGATGCTTGAGAGGCGGTGGGATTGAACTTCATAGTTCTTATGGAAACCACTGATTCGCTGAGGCAAGAAAGTTCATGAGACAAAGTGAAAAGAGCGCAGAGTAAAAAGGGGCAATCGTATGTCTCTTTTATAGATATAAGTCAGTCTAAACCTCACTGCCGACTGCAAACATATGGTGCATGCACCGTGCTGCAGTTCCTTTGTCCGTTTCATCGGAAGCAGCATTTTTTCAGTAGTCCAGAGCATTTAAAATATTTTGTTTTGGATTTTCTGGTAGGGAATCCAACTTTATCTCACTTATCTCAAACTCGGGCTAATATTTTGACTCTGACTGATGAGATAAGCTTTTGGGGAGCAAAATGTAATATTCTTACTTTTCAAGAAATTTCAAGTGGTCAGTACTGTTTTTCCTATTGACCTAAGGAAAAACTCGCATGGGTCTCACATTATGTCTTACTTTTTATGTGTCACGTAAGAAAAAAACTAACCAAGACCGTTTCCATATTTCACCTTCCAAATAATAAGCTTAAAATGACGCCCGACGGTTTGGAAGATTATTACAGATAGACAAAAGTAGCGAAAAGCTCACCTTTTATAAGTGATGGTGTTAAAAGACACACCACCAAGCTGACGAAAAACAACATCTTGCCGGTGATATTCTGAATATACGTAGCCAAGTGCATATCCTTTTATTTTATGACTTTCAACTAAAAGTTATACAGCTGTGCATAGCAATTTCATCGGAAATTCGGACTCAATGATTTCACGTCTCAAGGATAGTTTGTATAATTCAAAGAATCTGTCCAATCTTTGACAAAAGATATAAAGCTAAAAAAAATGATTTCAATAGTTTCAGCATAGTTTGATTTTATACCTGCCTTTTGGCTATAGCCAGATGGCAAACCTGAGTATCCAACAAGGCTTTTTATTTATAAAAGAAGTAAATAGACGCCAGTGGGGAATAAACAATTTGTCGAAACGCTTTCAGAAATCAAAGGGGCAGCACAAAAACTTTAATTTTTTCCCCTCGCGTTTTTTGAAATGTTTTGAAAATTAGTTATATCAGGTGAAACAACAGTCTTTGCTTGAAAATAGGCTAGTTTATAGGGAATTAAGAAAACTTTTAATTCCGAGCGAACAATTTGTATTTTATGTATCCTCTTATTCAGCTGCTATCGGTTCATGTTATACAACTGTGTGTAAATTTTTCATAAGAAACGTTAAGCTCAGTGATTCCTCGTAACAACACTTTTTGGCCATTTTTGTAGAATTCAAACAGGGTGTCAATTCGTAGACAAAAGGTATCAGGTGGGTCTAAAGTTTGAACGCTAATGCTTTGAGACGAGTTGGCTATCAATTTATTCAGCTGGTAAACATTCACTTCCGAAAAAAACCCTTTCTTTTAAAAAACGTCACAGTTGAGGTAGAGAATGAAAGATCGAGGAGGTTTTACCCGTTCAAACGTCAAGGTTTTTCGAGTTATATATTGGACTTTTTTGAAGATTTCTGTCTCATTATCAAGAAAAGACAAGAGAGGAAGCCATTTAGGGAGTTTACAGAAATTTTACAATATTTTTTTTTTCACGTCGTTACCAAACAAAAGCATCTCTCTAATGCTCTTTCAATGACCCTGTCCTTTAGTTTTCCTTGGACATACCCCAATTTCTTCATTAGTATCCGCAGTCGATCGCAGGACTCAAAGGGCTGACTATTGTACGTTTATTTGTCATGAATGAACCACCCAGAACTCTAAAATTCCTAAATAATAGACAAACATTGTAGAATCCTTTTACTTTACTTTTTTGACTGATTATAATTTAATGACACCATTTCTCAGTATCTACCCATGGTATCATCAATCCATTGCCTCAAGTAACGGACCCTGGCGTACACGCCGTATTTCCCGCGCGCAGCACATCCGTGTCCCCAGGACACCACCCCTTCCAAATAGTACTTTCCACTCATTTCACACACCAACGGCCCTCCTGAATCTCCTTGGCACGAGTCTTTGCCTCCCTGCCGGAATCCAGCGCAGACCATTGATTCGTGAATTGATGAGCCGTAACCTTGTTTGCACTGGGACTGTGAGACAATTGGCACGTCAACTTGCATTAGCCTGTCTGCCAGTGAACCACCTGAAGAGAGTGTTCCATATCCTGGAAAGTGAAAGATAAAAAAAGGTTTTTTTTACGCATCCAATGATATTTTTAAAGAGAGGACACGGAAAGCAGAACGAAAGAAAGGGCTCCATCTTTCGAGATCCTCATTAAGCACAAAATAGAACTGGTGGTACTTTTTATTATGTTTAAAATCAGATTCAAAATAATGAAGATATCTCTTGGAATTGAAAAACTGTGTAAATTGAGGAGCTACCACTGCAGCTAATGCTGGAGTTCCTGATCGGCTCTTTAAGCGACACCTTCGTTGGGCCAGCGAAAACGCTAAGGATGGCCATGTCAAAGACAATTAAAAATCTAGTTTATAAGTGTCACAATCTTTAAGAACTTAGGTAACCCTTTTTTTTTTTTTTTAACAGTGCCCGGCAGGTAGGGAGAGTTCTTTCCATTGGGCCGGGATTTTCTCCCCCACATTTTACCGCAACGAGCGCGGTGGATCTTATGGATGTTCGTTGGTCTTCACCCAGTATCCGTTTTTCGTAGACTATTTTTGTTATGTGCACCTTTTACAGTTGCTGGTTTAGTTATATTCACTTAAAATGTCGTGCGGCCTCCAGTGAGCACGCAACACCATACTAATTCTATCAGTTATGGTTTTCAAAGGAACCACCGACATCGATGACTGACCGGTGCGGGGAAACAAGGGGATGTATATTCCTCTTAAACAGGTGTTTGTGGGGAAGGCGAACCACAAAAGAGCTCTGATAGGAGTGCTTCTTCTCTTAAAAAGAAAAGTCCGTCCCACTGTGTTGTGCCATGGGATATTTTCTCACTCTGCCGCTCTCTACCCCTCGAAAACCAACAAACGGGCAGAGAAACCTCTCAAATGACAGTATTTTGGTGAAAAGCGGTGCGGGAATGGGTAAAAGGGGTGGGGTGAGAGGCGGTTTATTCCTGCAAGGAAAAATATCCAGTCTGGAAGGAATGAAAATACTCTTGCATGGAAACTGGTATAAGCTATGGAGGAAATGGGAGACTAGGCCTCTGAGCCTTATTACCTGTTACCCAGCATGTCTTTCCAACTTGGGCTTCACCACTCGACCCAGGCAAGCAGGCCAGGTTCACATTTCTGTTAATCTGAGCTGGCCTGCGCAGTTTCAACATAGCAATGTCGTGAGCCATACCATAAGGTCGTTTATAGCTACGATGGGAGATGATTCGTTCCACTTCGAAGTCCTGCTCGCTCCCTGTTTTGCGGCTGCGATAGTGTGCACCAAGCCTAAAAATGTAAGACGATGGAACTAGTAATATATTTTTTCATGTTACATTTCTCCTTCCTTTCTTATGTCAAGATCTGTTTAATCAAGACTTAATCTGGTTTATTTTAATCTCAACGAATACAAACTTCTGACCTCACATGTCTTCCAATCATATTACCTTACTCGAATGCTCGAAGGAGGTTTATTCGGGACACAGTGAGCAGCAGTAACAATCCAGCGGGGATGTACCAAGGTTCCTCCACAAAATGTAAAACCGTTACTCGACCTGACCTGGGCTTGCCACGGCCAAGCTCCTCTTGGGGCCTCGCTACCACCGACGATTCGTACACTTGGCTTATATCCGCATTGTCCTGGACAGGGAATATAAAGATGGCAAACATTAAGTTGCTGATTAATTCTAAGACCAGGAATATTTAGGCTTTATGCAAAATATAATATCTCTTTTTCTATTCTGTAAATCAGTAATGATGCTAGCAAATTTGGTGGTTGACATTTTATATAGAAACGAAAATCAATTTATAGGATCACGCAAAGATAAAACAGATATTAGAATGAAAAATCTGAATTAATAAAGAGTGAAGAACCGGTGAGGTAAAATACAAGAGCTCTCTGAGGGCTGACTAATTCGCATAGTCCTTTTTCTATTTTTTACAGATTAGTCGAGTTCTTTCGTTTGCTCCAGGCTTCAATTCGATTTTAAAAATAATAACTTGAATCATATATAATGATAGAAGACTTAAAAATTACAACTGTCACGCCCAACTCGCCTGTAAACAATCGAAGCTGTGTCAAAGAAGCGAACACATTACTTTTTCAGTTGCAACTACAACTTTGAAATTACGTCTTTAAAAAGTTTTTGGTTGATATCGATGCACAAGCATAACTATAAACCAGAAAGAAAGAAAGGAATGATCAGGTAGACTGGGTATTTATAAGAGTGAAAAAGGACTAAATTTTTCAAGATTACAAGATGTTAATACAGCTTTTTTACAACATCATTTGCAACGTACCATTTCCACCGCCACCTCCTCCGTCTCCTCCGCCTCCTCCGCCACCGCCTCCACAAAATTTACAGCTCTTTTGACAATTTTGCTTCATATACTGTTCATATTTTCCGGAGCAAAACCCTCTTCGTGCCCAGCCTGAACATTCTCTTCTTCTATCTTCACAGCCTGAGGATCAAATATGTTTAGCACTAGGTATTTTGAGGACTGTAAACAAAGGTTAATCTTGATGACACTGAGGAGGAAAAGTTTTGTGTATTCGTTGTTTCTTTAAAAGATCAACCAACCAGAGACATCGTATTTGCAAGCTTCTCTAAAAAACTATGTTTTTTTTCAATGAACTCAACTCAGACTTTCAAGATTCAATAAGTGTGACAACTTTTTATAGGATGAAAAAATACGTTCTTTCTTAGTTTCCGCTTTTCTCTGATTTCTCTTTTTTGCTTTGTTCTGTTTTTGATTGGCTCGTAATTATTGTAATATATTCACTTATTTCGCTATTGTCGCTCAATTTTTATAGGTGAAATGATGATAGTTTATGAAGCCCGAGCTTAATAAACCCCGTGATTTCTTGGGCTATCTCGCCATTTGGCCCCTAACTAATAACTATAAGTATAGCGCTGATAGTTGTATAGAGGTAAATAATAAAAAAAACATACCAATTACCTTGCGCGAAGCTCGCTAGGAAAGCAACGCTTAAAACACAGAGAAAAACTCTCGAGTGCATGATATATGCGAACTGAAGCAATCTTTGAGTGACTAGGGACCTTCTATTGTAGCGTTTTATATCAGCAACGTCATAACTTCTATTCACATCCTGAATAAGCACAGAGACAAGATTACTAAACACGAGTTACCACAGCCATTCTCAAACGCGATGTCCAAAATTAAATTTTGTCCTTAGCCAAACAGCAATGATGAAATTTCACATATGGACAAACAAATATCGGATCTCTTTTTAAGGAATTGGACAATGGTTTAACAAGCTACCAAGAAATTTAATACAGTTCTAAGATAAGTACAAATAATATTTATCTATAACATTATACACATGTTGTATAACATTGACACAGCTCTATATTCGATGTCCGACTACATGAAATTTCAATCTGCTGGAGTCAAGAACCCTATCCAAACCGAACAAATTGATGAAATAGAATTTTATTTTTCATTAACACATCGGTGACATTTTTTTAAATATATTCTGTAGATAATATACAATTACATACTCATGATCACAAAACAAAAATCATTTGGGTGACATGATTGCATTTGTTGCAAAATGACATAAAAAGTACAAAGTTAGATTCGGATTTTTCAGTTTCAAGGTTTAAGCAGTGTCGGTACCGCTTGCCTGACCGTGAATAGGAGCTGTGCAAAGTTTTAATTTATCAATAACATCACACTATATCAACCTCCTTTCTTGAAGATAATACTCGTTTACTCATTTATAGTTATCATTTCTTCGGTTCGAGGAATACATTAACACCACGCTCTAAAATTGCCAAGCAAGTTCTTATATTGAATCCGTGGAATATAGAATATCTTAACTCATATAAAAATTTGATAATGGCCCTCGAATACGTCGTTTATTTGCCACTCCAACAAGCAAAGTTTTTGGCAAATGCTCGAGCTGAGGGATGATTAGCTGTGAAAGGCTACGTTTTCATTTTTGAGGAGAGGGCTTTTACCTCAAGAGGGAATGGGTAGCCGTTTACAGAAAACTAACCTCATAAACAACTATCTAAGGAGGCGCATGTAATGGTTGTTGAATGTATTATGCGAAATATAGATTTCTCAGGCTGTGACGTCCATAGAGATAGCTAGCCGTGAGAGCTGATGCAATTTTAAGTGAGGCCTCTGGGCTAGACTGGAAACAAATAAACCTATCCAAACCAAGGAACCAGACAAAAACTAACCAAACGTATTACGAAGGATTCAAGACAAGCTGAGGTAGGATGCTGATGCATGGGAAATAACCTGGCGAAGAACAAAAACCTTATTCCAAAAGAGTAAAACAGACATCATATATCAAAACCGAAAACCGAAGATTCAAAATCCAATTCCCCTCTCACATTTATGTCACCAGTTTGAACGGGGATAAGAAAGAGCAGAAATAATTTTGAATTCCTAGGCAGGTTACTCACAACTTTAAACCATAGTATTCTCAACTGATTTGTCTATCTCTGATCAGGAAAGTGGTAAATGATGAAAGAGGTATTTCATCTCAAAAAAAATATAATAATAATAATGCAAAGCACCCTGAAGTTTGCAAAGTACAAATGAAACTTTCCAAGTCTCCAGCACAATTGATCGTAATAACCTCCCTACTTTTCATAATAGATCCAGAAACTTTAATATAAAAAGATTATCATTGTTAGCCCTTTTGACTATAAAACGCTGCTTTAAGTTATTAATCTTTACTCACTTCCTTCTTTAGAGTTGAATTTTTCGTAATTTGTTCGTTTTTAGGGTTGGGATAACTAATTTTCAGGAGTTTGAAAAATCCGAAAGGTCGTATGATCCTATTTCTGGCTATTAGGACGAAATTACTCTCTAACAACATACAAACAAATTCAAATGTAGGTCGATGTTTTTTATTACTTTTCAAATACTAATCCTTAATATCGGCTCATTGTACTATCAATCCATTGCCTCAAATAACGGACTCGAGAGTAGACTCCATAGTACCCTGGTTTGGCACATCCACTTCCCCACGACACGACACCCTCTAGGAAGAACTTTCCGTTGTATTCGCACACCATTGGTCCTCCTGAATCACCCTGACACGAATCTTTGCCTCCGCGATCGAGTCCAGCACAGACCATGGAGGCGTGGATGGACGAGCCATATGCTCTTTTGCATTTACTTTCACTGACAATTGGTACAGAGACCTGCATGAGCCTATTAGGAGAGCTACCACCGGATGACAATCTTCCAAAACCTGCAGTATGTAAACGCAACATTTACGATTAAATAAAATTCGAGGATCTCAATGGGGGTAACCGTTGGCCGTTAAACGGCAAAAAAAGTTTTGATCAAAACATTTTTCTTTTAACAGCAATGGAAAGGAATTAATGGAAGTCGTAAATTGGCCTAAATTGTAGCCCTTAACCATAAAAGCCATCACCCCATTCAGACCCTCCTTTGTCGCGAGCTATATAAATTCCAAACTCTTCAAAATGATGATAGAATCTTACGCATTCATAAATACATCTTTTATCCCTCATAAATTCTACAAGCAATTTCATCATGGTATTCTTGTTCACGGCGAGTCCATTCCCTCTCCTCCTGAGAGCATTGTAGGTAAAGACCACATGATGCATTTACCTGTAACCCAACAATTCTTCCCATCTGGAACCCTTCCACTTGACCCAGGCAAGCAAGCCATTCCGACATGTTGGTTTATTTGAGCGGGCCGACGCAGTTTCAACATGGCGATATCGTGAGCCATACCATACGGTCTTTTGTAACTGTGATGATTAATAATCCTTTCGACCTCCAAAACCTGTTCTGTCTCCTCAGGACCTCGACGCTTGTGGCCTCCCATTCTAAAACACGGAAATGAAAAAACAAAACAAAACAAAGAGAAGCAAAAAGATGGTTATTGAAAGTGCTGCAAATACTAAAAACAGAAACAACAAATCTTACCATTACTATTACTTCCCCCTCTATAACCTTGCGATATTCTTACTGACGCCCCTAGTAAACGTCATACAGAACATGTTCTTGTTAGCAGCATTCTATATTTCGTTCATTGCTAGCCAACTGGGGTAATTTACCAAAGCTGAACCACATACCTTACACGAATGCCCGATGGTGTGTCTTTCGAGACACAATGAGCTGCAGTTACCACCCACTGAGGATTCACCAGTGTCCCGCCGCAAAATGGGAAGCCGTGAGGTTGCGTGATTTGAGCCTGCCATGGCCAAGCTCCTCGAGGAGCCTCTGTACCACCGACAATCCGAGTGTGAGGCTTGTATCCGCAGTCTCCTGAGCCACCAGTTGGTGGTCCACCGCCGTTACCTCCGTTGCCACCATTACCGCCATTGCCACCATTTCCACCGTTGCCACCACCACCTTCGCAGAATCCACATGTCTTTTTACAGTATTTTTTCATGTAATCTTTCCACTTCGGGCAATATCCTCCACGCTTCCACTTCATACAGTCTACGTTCACATCCTCACACCCTTAAATTTATATAAGAAAAACTTTTCTTATTATCTCCACCTTTTTTCACAATTTGGCTGTAAGGATGACGTCTTCAATTTGGAATGAAACATTTGAGAGTAGATACAATTATTCCCAAATGACGAAAATCAAAACAGGGAGAAAAATCTCAGGATCTCAGTTCCACCAGATTGGGGAAGTCCCTACAACAAAGGAAAGGAAGCTTCCAGGAGATCTAGTTATTTGGTTAGAATGTTAAGTATGAACTAAGAGGGAGTTCGCGCAAGCTTATCTTTATCTTTTGTTTTCAGCATCTGGACTGCAAAGTCTACATAGTCTACAAAGTTATCAAACTATAATCATGTGGCAGAAATTTTACTTTGATATGATGTGCTCAAAGGAAGATAATGATCACTTCGCGAATCAGAAAAACAACATGGCTGTTCTGTTTAAAAATACTGACAGAACAGAGTTTAACGAAGATAATTAACTTACCATGTGTAAGACTTGCCAAAGAGACGCCGAAGACTAAGAGAATCCAAATCTTCATGATTGTCGTCGTAGAATTGTTAAGGAAAGAACTCTCCTTTTGCCGCATTATATTATTAGCTTCGTACGAAGATTGATCAACTGAACAACTAAAGCAGGGAGAGTCAGCAAATAACTAAAGCTAACCTTGCTTTAAAAATGATTTCAGAAAATGTCTTTTGACATCTCAGAGGGTAAAGTTTGGTGGCTGTTTAAACACAGAGAAAGTGAAATTTTATGAACATTCAAAACGTTTTCACGGCAATTTTGATGAACCCAGAACATCTGGCTAACCTGGTAAAGCAACATGGTTCTAAGAAATTTGATTGGAAACCCAATAGAATTTCAATTAAAACTACTCAACCTAGGCCATCTATAAGAATAGCTTGAAGTAAGAAACCGTTTACACTTAGCTGCATAGCGAACTCTTTTTCTTTAGCTCAAAAATGAAAAATAAGAGAAAAAACTGGGCAGATTATGATCTGTTATTTTCCATTTACATTTGACGTTCTTTAAATTACAAGATCTACAGAACTGAAAGAATTTGTTGGCTCAGTTACGATTATAACCTAAAGTAAACCAACTGAGAAAACATGAGGCTATCCTTTTTTCGACTTTATTTGTTAAAAGAAAAGGATATGATAAATTCAGCTTTCTCTGGGCTGAATCCTCACCGAGGTCGCCCATTTCTTTTGTATCCGTTATATTACTTTTTTTTACAAGAAAATAAATATCAGTGTGTATTTAGGAGAGCGCTTGACCTCTTTTAAGCATTTGCAACTATATCTGACTGAAGGGGTTGGTTTGGCCTGGATCCTACTGTATTTCTTAGAGTGTGCCGCACCGTGGGCAATGACACTCAGAACTATCCGTGGATGTCCCGAGCGGAAATGAAAACCCGATAGCGTATATCTCTTATCCCTAATGCCAATGGTCTAAAGCTTCCAATAAAAGGCAGAAATAGCACGCAGTTTTAATGTTTTGAATCTAAAATGTAAATGATAAAAACAATGATACAAATATCAACGAGGATAAAAATAGTGAAATCTGAATGACGAAGACTCAAAGAGGGATTCCAAACAAAAGTTCGGTGTAGAAGAAAAACATAACAAAAAAATGATCTTGATCGGCTAATTGCACTTGAAATTCAAGGGGAGCTCACCAAATTCATTTTTAAGTGACATGCATATCTCTGAAGCTGAAATTAAGGCTGTTTCTGAAAGCTGTACTGTTAGTCGGTTCTATAGCAATCCTATACTTCTTTTCGAAAAGAACGAAACCATTTAAAGACAAGTTATCTAGGTCTCGTAAAGAGTTCTATTAAACGAATCAACACTTATAATAGCTAGAGTAACCTATGTGACGCTGTGAAGAGGGAATCGATGAGGCCACGCTAAGAGTAACGATCGGCGTAATTGATAAACTCTTTACCAGGCAACTACTTGTAAAGCCGTAATAAAAAATTTTGAGACATTGTTGTATTTTATTTGCAGTGTCACCACTTTTTTATTTAATAACTGCTTATTGTATTGTCAATCCATTGCCTCAAGTAACGGACCCTGGCGTAAACGCCATATTTCCCCGGAGTAGCACAGCCATGTCCCCACGATACAACTCCCTCGAGAAAGAACCTGCCATTAAATTCGCACACCAAAGGACCACCTGAGTCTCCTTGGCAGGAATCTTTACCTCCTTCGGACAATCCAGCGCATATCATGGAATCGTGAATGGAACTATATGCCTGCTTGCACTGGGACTGCGGGACAATTGGTACGTCAACTTGCATGAGCATTTGAGCCAAAGAACCGCCTGAGGACAGAGTACCGAATCCTATGGGATGGAAAAAAAGATCAAGGATAACGTTAGATTTGGGTGTCGAAAACAACAGTCATAGTTGCTCCACTAAATGAAGTGAAAAGCAACAACTATAGCCTAGCCTCACAAAGCTGTCAATTTTACCTTGTGTCGCTTCGATTCGACTTCACACATCAATCTTTTAAACGTTACCTTCCAGCTATTATCATTATATATTTGAGTTGGGTTATGTTTGATTGATGTAAGTGAAGGCTGCCTGTGATTATTAAAGAAGATGAAATACAAAACAAAAAAGAACTTTACACCGGAAAGGGAAACTAATTAACTGACCAACCGTCATAAATACTTTCTTTCAACACAAACACATCGCACAGCAAACGAATAAAAAAAATTAAAAGATAAAGCTTATTCCTTGCAAGAGCTAAACTCCTAACCTTAAAGATGTCTGTTTTCTTAATATTACTATTTTCATTCTTACATTTTCCACCATTAAAAAACAGCCCCCAACCTATGGTCAAGTGAATTTTACAAGGTCCTTGACGTTGCTACTAAACTTGGGTGATGGTTTGAATTTGCTGTGAAGATTTTTTTATTGCCAGTGTCATTCGTATTTATTACCTGTCACCCAACACATCTTTCCATCCAGGTCTCCTCCACTTGAGTCTGGTAAACAGGCCAATTTTACATGTCTGTTTATCTGAGCAGGCCTGCGCAGTTTTAACAAAGAAATGTCGTGGGCCATGCCGTAAGGTCTTTTGTAGCTATGGTGATTAATGATTCGTTCCACTTCAAAATCCTGTTCATAGCCTTCGTTACCTTTGCGGTAATGTGCCCCAAGTCTGCCAAACGAAAAGTTCCCAATGATTATGTCATTGCTTTCATCAAATTTCTTAACCCGTCAGCAATTTAAAATCAGTACTGTTTCATCTCCAGCAAAGTTTAAAGCTGACTTCATCGGAAAACATCTTTTCCGTGTTATTTAGGTATAACCCTTTCTTCAGAAAAAGATAGAAGATGGACCTTCTTTTGAAATAACATTAAAAACAACTAACGGACGTTTTCAGTTTTACATAGCTATTAATTTTAGTTTCTTGAAGGGCGTAATGATTTCTGTGCTGCCCCATTGAAACAAGAGAAGATTATCAAGAAGTTTTCACAGCTTATTTAAATTATATTGATTTTACCTTACACGAATGCTTGAGGAAGATTTACCCGACGTGCAATGAGCTGCTGTAACAACCCATTGAGGGCTAACCAAAGTTCCACCACAAAATGTAAAACCGGATCTTGATCTGACCTGGGCCTGCCACGGCCAAGCTCCTTTGGGTGCTTCACTACCACCAACAATTCGAGCGCTTGGTTTATATCCACACTCACCGTTTCCACCGTTACCACCACCGCCTCCTCCTCCGCCACCACCATTTCCACCGTCACCGCCTCCGCCGCCGTTTCCTCCGCCGTTACAATAGCCGCAGGTTTTCTTGCAGTTTCTCTGCATGTAATCTACCCAATTGGTTACTTTGCAATAACTTTCGTAATCAGCACAGTTTACTGTTCTGTCCTCACAAACTGAAAGACATATAAGCAACAATCGCTCCAGAAGTGATCTCAAATCAACAGCATTGCGATACACAAAATATTTCTCGGCAAGAATGTCTAAATTATCATAGATAACAAACAGATAAATTGCAATAATAATCTAACTTCTGTATATTCATTCGTAAATAATTTCCGTCCTAAATAGCTTTTAGAAACTCAGTGATTTTGTATAAAGATTAAAACCACCAGACGAGCATGGACGAGAACTGATAAAAGCCCAACCCACGTGCGACACCAGAGGTGTGGGAAACGATCTCCGACCACTACTGTGGAAGGTAGTTATACTATCTACCGCTACATGAAAGGAATGGAAAGAATATCAAATAGTGAGTCATTTACCCTCAGCAAATATTGCAGGAATGGCAAAGACAGCAATGGCCAAGACATGGAACTTCATCGTGAACTTCATGATTGAGATCAAACTCGCTTCAAAATGGCAAGTGAAGATATGCTTAGCTCCATTTCTTTTATCTCGATTATCGCAAGCTGAACGACAGCCTGAACAAATTGGAAACGTCTGCGCATTGGTATGTCAGTCAAAGGCGTCATGGGAAGATTTCTTTTGGGTCTGGGTAAACAGCAGCATTCATGAAGATTTCATAAGGTAAATATATTGTATTTATGGTGTACAGTTAAATAGGCTTATCTCAGGAAGAAAAATGGCATTTACGAAAATGCTACCAATTTATATCACTGGCATACATGTAGAAGACGCCATTTAAAATCTACCTGGAGTGAACTGCGATCAAAAGCTTCTCCTTGTCTTAGGTAGAAAAAAGAATAGTTTTGAGATAAACAAAAAGGACTCTGGGTTATTTTATTTTAATTTTGAACCATTCACGCCTGAAATAACACAGATAAGTCAGATTTCATATAACGTTCAGGTAAATGGATAGACGTTTCTTCTTGAATTCGTGTATCTTGAATACATGTATGTAGACATCTGGACAGTCTGGGTAAATTATTTCAAAGCCAAGGCCATTCACATCAATTTTTCCCTAAAGGAATAAAGGTGAAACTCCGCCTATGACGATTCTAAGTGAACAAAACTGCTTCAGTGATTAAAACACACTATATTCGATAAAGAACTAGCCTGCTGAGAAGGAGAACAACATTGGTCGCAAAGGCTGGATAAATTTTGCTTTTGGTGATTTGTCTCTGACCAACCTCAAGCAATGTTCCATGAACAATTTAATGTTTCAGAACTTTGGCATTCTCGTAATTTTGGAGACTGATAAGAAGACTGCGGGTGCCGAAACGCAAATATTGGATGTTTTAACGAATTTTTTCAACATGATTCATTCAAACTTGTACACAAAAGGGCGGGAAGGGAATCAACACCCGCCATTCCAGATCTCTTCAATTTCCTTTCGCTTTCTCTTCCCCTCTGTTCCCTGCTTCTATTAGACTGTGTCATCGAATACCCCAGTCTTCTGAAGAAATTATTTTCCATCCAAAAGCTTCTAAAAGCTGTCTTTTGTGATATTTAAGTAACATTTTACGGATGCCAACGCAATTACACCTCATGCCTTTAAGACTATTTTTTGCCATGGTACACATGATACTTAGATTTTATCAACTGATTTGGTAATGTTGATTGGCCACCGTAAACATTTTCTAAAGCTGACGTTTCGAGTGCTGGCCCTTCGTGAGGCTAACGCACGAAACGTCGGCTTAAGAAATGTTTACGGTGGCCAATCTACATTATCAACTCAGTTGATAAAATCAAATTATCACATAAACTGCGGTGTTATACAAGGATTTCCGGCCCTGAGAAAAGCCGTAACAACACACGTGAAAAAATATCGTATTTTTTCACGCGTGTTGATATACTCAATTAGCTGCTTACACGTCACTCGCCTTTGGCACCACTCGGTCAGGTTGATGAATGAATGGCAAAGCCTTCACGATTCTCATTACAAGTTGTTTGTCCGAGCTTTCTCGAATTATGGCGGCTAAAACACTAAAAAAATCCGTATCGCTGACAGACAGTGAGGTTCAAACTTTCCTAGAAGAGGAAGAAAACTAATATACTAAAAGAAAAACCGAAAGTTGCGTATTCAGTGGCTTTGGCGTTAGCATTTCTCTCGGCTGAGAATGAAAATCGACAACCGGAAGATTTGCCACTAGCCGATTTTGGCCGTTTATCTGAGAGACTTCTTCTGTCTGTAAGGATAAAGCCAATAAATGAGAATTTTGGAAATCGAAACTATGACCATTGTTGTTTTTGTAATCATGATTCAACGCATTTTTCCATCTTAAGAGTCAGCGCCAACGCACTTTACGATTGTTATTCGAGGATTGTCGATTCATTTATTTTTATTAATCAATGAAGTCGGCTTTTCCTCCCAGTAAAGTGCTATTGTGTTTATATGATAAACAAAATAATACATGGTTGCTTGTAGATATGGAATTTCTCTTCTCGTGTTCATCTCGACATCTCGCTCGTGAGCTATCGAGTTAAACACTCGAAGAGAAATTCCTTATCTACGCGCGCCATGTATTATTCTCTATTTATCTTGTATTTGATATGAGTTGATTTTTGCAATTTTGCAGTTGCACAAGGAGACGTTTGTTGTCTTGAGGTTTTCCTCAATGAATCGTAAAATGAACATTTACGAATCTCATTAGTTTTATGGCAGTGCGTAAGAAACCAATCAGTAACAGTGGAATTTGCATTTCTCATCAATACGATAGAAAGTCGTAAAGAAGGGACATTTGTTGATTCCAGTTAATCAAGGACATCATTTTAGAAGATCCAGTATTAATTAATTATTTGCTCTTTTCTGAAATAAAACTTTAATTAAAAAAATTGAAAGGTAAGCCAGCAGTCTTTTGAATATATTTTTTCATTGTATCACTGATATGTGCCTAGCAACGTTGGCAGCTTTTGATACTGCAACCTTGAACCTATTGATTCCTTTATAATTTTTTTTATCATTCTATTTTATGAGATAGCAACCTGGTTGCACCGATATTATTTTTGTCAGTCAGTCTATCAATTCACATTTGCGTTCACCGTAAAAATTCTCGATATTCGTTTCGTTTTCTAGTTCTTCACTCTTTTTTCGTTTCTTAGCAATTCTACTAATCAACAAACACCAAAATTTGTTTTCGTTTTCTTTTATTTCTTTTATTGTGTCACTAATAACCTGAGTCTTAATTTTTTCGCATAACACGATCGATCCACGGCCTCAGGTATCGGACCTTGGCGTAAACACCATATTTCCCAGGAGCAGCGCACTCAACTCCCCACGAAGTAATACCCTCGAGGAAGAACTTTCCACCGTACTCACACACCATTGGACCTCCCGAATCTCCCTGACACGCGTCTTTTCCACCTTGTGGTAGTCCAGCACATACCATTGACTTGTGGATGCGTACTCCGTAAGCCTTTTTGCATTCTCTGTCACTGACAATTGGAACTGACACCTGCATTAGAACACTCGATGGAGAACCTTCATAAGACAAATGTCCAAAGCCTTAAATATGAAACGCAAAAGAAAATAAAGTTACTTTGTTTTACAACATTTTACAACATTGGCGAGATGACAAAAAACAATGAAATAAAGGCTGAAAAAATGTTGGCAGCAGCTAAAGGCTTTGGGCTGAGAGGTTAAAGGAATGGTTCCAGTTCTCTAAAAAAATAAGTTTAGAACAGAGAATATATGGTATATGCTTTGGGTAAAGCAAAGTGGTTGTGGTAACCCCTCGTAGGTCTCCCTCTCCATTCAGACAGTGTAATCTAGAAAGATAACGAAAAAACCAGCTAACTCATGTAGCCTCCAACTAAGAATATTTGAATATTTTTCTCTCTTCTATAGGGTGCACTTAAGGAGACCTGAACAGTTTACTTTTTCACGTAACATCGCAATGCTCTTTACTCTTATACAGCACTATAAAGTCAAACTTGTAATTAGCGGCTCCTAATTGACTTCTTAATACAGGTTTCACAGAAAATTGGTATTATAAAAAAAATAAAAAGGCATTTTATGCCATAATTGACCACTTATTGTACAAAAGAGCGCTCAAAAATACCGTTAACATTGACTTGGGAAGATAAACACGGCTTCAATTTTTCTTGAAAGCTTCACTCAGTTATCTCGCTCTGAGATTTTTCTTTGGGTTATTCTTGAATACAGGTGGAGGACCATAGAAAAAGGCTGTTGGGACTCAGTAAAGGGTGTCCATGACCGCTCAATAGAGGTGACCGCTTAATACAGGTGGAAGTTACAGTGATTATGGGAAAAAATTTCGGGACTGTGAAAACTAACCGCTTAATACAAGGTGACCACTTAATGCGGTGCTGATTAATAAAGGTTCGACTGCACTACGGTTGAAGCTCAGGCTTAATATAGACCTCCGTCCAAATATAAAACTCCAAGCGAACGTTTAATTACCTGTAACCCAACACATCTTCCCATCTCGAACTCGACCCTTTGAACCAGGCAGGCAAGCCAGTTTGACGGTTTGGCTAATTTTAGCGGGCCTGGTCAGTTTCAACAAGGCGATATCATGAGCAAAACCTTTCGGTTTCCCGTAGCTGTTATGATAAATCACTTTTTTGATCTGGAACTCCTGTTCCGTTTTTAATCTGCGATTTCGGTAATGGGCTCCAAGTCTGCCAAATGAGGTACAATCATGAATCAAGATTATTGTAGCTTGATGATGACTATTTGTTTTACAATGCATAGGGTTAACCATGAAAAGAGTTTATTCCAGCCATGCCCTTACTTAGGTGCTATGTGTTCAGTTCTAGGCTACCCACTCTACTTGCGAGATGAGGTCTCTCAGAGACTGATGGGGTAACATCCCTGTACGCGATCATCATTAAATTAGTGCAAAACGGATTCATTATTTCAAATACCCTATTCTTTAATCACTCGATTCTACAACACTTACTTATGTTTCCTTGAAAAAATGGTGTCAAAAAAAGTCTTCTTATGATCATAACTTAATAAATTTGTTCTTGATCTATGGCCTTCTTACAAAGGTTATAGTCTTATATAATTTCAAGAATTGAGAAGGTTTTGATTAAAAAACTTCTTGGTAATTTCTAGCCCTTGACTGGAATTATGTGGTGATTTATCAATGTCAACAAATTTACTGAAAAAAAAAAGCAAAACAATGGATTGCAGAAGCACCCAAATCGAGGCTAATCCCTCAAGTGGCTGCTCAAGACACACGTTATTCTGTTCGGGGACGTAGTCTGCCCGTGATCGATGAAAATAACTAGCATGAACAAATTTGGTATATCTCGTTTTAGTTCCCTCTACAAGGAATTTGGCATCTTCCGTTATTCTTTTAAGCAGCAGTTTAAAAAAATGCGTCTACAGAACGAAAATGTTTCCCTTGACGAGGTATATGGCTACATTATTCCACGCTAGCAATGAAAACAAGACTCTTGCTCCCTTCAGTTTGCAACAGGTCACCATCCACGAGGAGACGAAGAGTGTTATTATTCATCAGCTCACCTTACACGGATATTTGAGGCAGTTTCCTTGTAAACGCAGTGTGCAGCTGTAACAACCCACTGGGGATGGACCAAAGTTCCTCCACAAAATTGATTACCAGAAGTTGACCATAGGATTTGGGCCTGCCACGGCCAAGCTCTTTCAGGGGCCTCGGTGCCACCGACAATTCGCGCACCGGGCTTGAATCCACACTGTCCTGCTCCACCGCTTCCACCGCCACACAAACTACAGCTTTTCTTGCAGTTCCTTCTCAGATGTTTTGAGACACTTTTCTTATTGCAGTATCCCATTTTTGCCATGACGGTACAGTATCGTCTTTTGTCGGTACAACCTAGAAACAGTAATAGAATTAAAAGAATAAATAACTTGGAATTCGGCGTACATAAACTGGGTAAAGGAAAGACCACAATAGATACTGCACACGAGTTTGCAATCTTCAGAAATAATAAACACAATAAGTTTAAAGAATCTTTTCAGGACACGGAGATTGTGTTCATTATTGATAAAATGATAGATTTTCAAAAATGTATCTTACCGTGTACGAAACTTTCCAAGACTGCGATGCCTAAAACACAGAGAAACAATAAAGTTTTCATGATAGACTGCTTTCACAACAATCCAAAAATGGCTTGTGGACTAAGAACATCATCAGTTTTCTTTATTTTTAATTTCATTTTATGTAGGACATGGCCTGAACAAGCACACCGGTTAGAATCAGAAAAAATGTACTTGAGTAGCTTTGAAATTCATCTAAAAGATGAATTTCGAGAGGACACGCAATTGATTCTTTTGTTCTTTGGCGAAAAGGTAAAAGAACTTGTAGGCGATCTGAGTAAACAAATCATTTTCCAAAGACAGAATTGTTTTCTTTCAGAATTCGAGTTATCAAAAATGGTTCGAGTTACAGAAAGCAGTTCATTTGTCACCACACACAGGTTAATAGCTCGATTTTATGTTACTCTTTAGGCCATCAAAAACACGCATGACTAGGCAAAAACGCTACACTGTTTTCATTTTTCAAGAGTGGCCTGAAAATATTGTGATAAGCTGTGCGGTAATGATAAAGCATGGAGACAATTGAAGTGGGAAGCTGGTTCAAAACCCCCGCCACCCACCAAAATATTTATTTGCACTCATGACAACCAAGGAAATGGCACAGAAAAAGAAAAAAAGCCGAAGATATAGATAGCGCAGATATTTCTCGAGGATTTAAAATTTTCTTCATAATTGTGAACAGAATCCATGCAAACAGGGGAATTTCAAGAGATACTGTCCGTATTTCATGGCTACGATACATATATCCCACATATACATATATCTAAACGTTGCCTCTGGTCTCCGCTCTGTACATATTTCTGCTTGGTTACCAAATCTTAATTCGACTATTCTCAACTATCGATAATGAATTCCTCTTTAAAAACAACGCACCACGCAGCAATGCCAGGATACGGAGTAAAGTAAGGGAATTTGAAAATTTCTCTTACAAATCAAACTTGACTAATTGTGTTTGATAACCTCGCAGAGAGTTTTAGCGAGAGAACAGTAAATATGAGCAAACAGTATGCATAATAACGTTCGAAATTGCTTGGGAGAATTACCCTGCCGAAAGATCAAACTTCCTTCCGATCGAAAGTTATTCATTGAAAATATCATGATGTCATATTAATTTTTTTTGTGATTCCAAGAAAAATTGTTTTACTTCACCCATACGTTCGGCCTGAAACATTTTTTCTTGAGTCACTTTGCACGTTTGAAATGCGTTGAGGTAGACAGATCGATACCGAAAATGTTCTGTGGTCAAACCGAGAAACAAAATTGGTTATCGCATTCTTGAGTATAAGCGTCTAATCTTATGATGATTCGGTGAATCTTTTCACGTCTCAACTTTTAATTTTTAATTAAAAAATAGAACAAGCAATAGTGACAGGTCTCACGTTAACATGTAAATTGTTTAAAGTCCTATCGAAAGACAGCACCCAAAGACTATCGAAACGATTTTTTTTTTGCGTATTTAATAAAGGTAATAATTTTGGGGGTTGTCCATGTTTTTGGTTTCAAGTAACACGTCTCGACTGAACTGTTCGGAAGTAAGACAAGAAAGATATACTTCAAAGTTTGCCCTGTCTTGATGCAACACTGGTTAAAAAAAGGAACACAAGCAAGTTATTTCATTCATAATCATTTAATTTATTTCCCTTTTTAATATGCATTCATTGTTTCATCAATCCATTTCCTCAAGTAGCGGACTCGGGCGTAGACACCATATTTTCCTGGAGCGGCGCATCCGATACCCCACGACACGACACCCTCTAGGAAGAACTTTCCGCCAGCTTCACATACCATAGGCCCTCCAGAATCTCCCTGGCAAGAGTCCTTGCCTCCTTGGTCCAGTCCAGCACAGATCATGGAGTCGTGAATTGATGAGCCGTACGCTCGTCTGCATCTAGAGTCAGACACGATTGGGACTTTAACTTGTTGGAGGACGTCTGGAGAACTACCGCCTGACGACAGTCTTCCAAATCCTATCAAAGCACAAATAGAGGTATCTGCATCAACTGAATTATCTACGAGAGTTATCCCTTCAAGCCCTAAGAGTGACGTCAAGCATCTAGTTTCTTCTTACAGCATCGCCCCTGAATCAAACGTTATTTAAGGTCATGACAGTAAAGGAGATGATCGCCAATTTAAGAATCTCTTGATTGTTGGATATATTGTTTTTGACAGTACCATGGGAAACTGATGTATAAAGAACAGTATGGAGCACTTGCATACTAATGTTAGGTTGTAAGGTTCAAACATCCACTGACTGTAAAATTTAATGCACGGCCACATTACCACGAAGCCACGAAATCAATACACAGTTATCAAGGGGTATAGTTGCCAACTTGGAATCACAAAACACCCCTAAAAGACTGGCTAAGAAATTCTTTTGACTCGTTGTAAAGCCGCTCAGTGTAGGTTTTCAAATATAGGCTATTTTGAGACTGCTTTTATGCTGTTTGGTACTCAAGGGGTTTGGTTTTCTTCATTTTCTGTTTCTTCTAATGTTTTTTTCGTTGTTGTTGTTTTGTTTTTTTTCGTTGATGTGGTTTTTTATATTTGCTTCCAATTTCACAACTGTAGAAGGAAGATTTCCCGCTTCTTTATTTTTAGGCCTTTCAGCTCAGTCTAAATCACTCTTCCACATGCTTCTGGCTCCAAACGGTTTCTTTTCCTGCTTTAGATTTCGACTGCGATTGAAATTTTGCCTGGTTTTTCTGTTTCCATCAGGCCCCAATCTACTCCTCCTACAATTTCCAATCAAATAACAGTTATTACATTTGGTTGCCCTAACCTGTAACCCAGCACTCCTTGCCATCTGCAACACTTCCACTTGATCCAGGCATGCAGGCCAAGTTGACATACTTGCCGATCCGAGCAGGTTTGGCCAGTTTTATCATGGCGATATCATGAGCCATGCCATAAGGTCTTCTATAGCTCTGATGTGAGATGATCTTTTCAATCTCCATTAACTGTTCTGTTCCTACGCTTTGCTTGCGCTTATGAGCTCCAAGTCTGAAGATAGAGAAAAAAATAACTTCCTTTATTTGACAAGGAATAGTCGCACCTTTCTTTTCATTCACTTCATATCTGAATTTTTTTACAAATGCTTCTTGAAAACTAATTTTAACTCGTAGTGGTTTAAATGACATCAAGCTAAAGGCCTATTATACGATACTAATAAGCAGAAGATGATGATGTAGTTAATAAGTTTTAAAATTCTAATTTCTCCTCAAAAGATGTCGAAATGTCAGGTTATGTCACTGAAAGGAGTCTTTTTACGTTACCCTCTCGCGAACACGATTGACAGTTAGGTATAAACCCTTTGAAATCGTCGCTTCACGCAAATTGATCGTCGTCCACGGCTATGATTCAGCAAAAGTCAAATATTTAGCCCAACAAAAAAACTTAAAACTCAGATATGCGTGTATTATAAAATCCCATAGCCTTTGACTCACCTAACGCGAATGTCACTCGGTGATTTTCCCGGAACACAGTGAGCAGCAGTGACAACCCACTGTGGATGAACTAAGGTTCCTCCACAGAATGGGAAGCCATAGGTTGTCATGATTTGAGCCTGCCACGACCAAGCTCCGTGAGGAGCCTCGGTACCACCTACAATTCGTACACTGGGTTTGTATCCGCATTGTCCTGGTCCTGATCCGCTGCACAGATTACAGCTCTTCTGGCAGTTCTTGGACATATAGCCTGCATATTTCCCTTTGCAGTATCCTTTGCCAGCCCAGTAACTACAACCTGACTTAAGGTCTGAACAACCTTAAAAACATGTCGAAACGAAAATAGGATGAGTTTGGAAAAAAATAAAATTGAGTTTCTCTCCATTTAGGGGCAGGAAAACCGAACTGCCTTGCTCGAGTCTCACAATACCAATTTTTTTTTCAACCATACACATAAAAACCGTGTGTTATGATGAAAGCTCATATGAATGAAAGTAAATCAAGCGCTGAACTGTCTTAAAGAATTGCATTCTACTATTCACAGGAATTTAAAATACTAAGAATTACCAGTTGCAAAACTTGCCAAAGCAGCCACGCCAAAAACACAGAGAACCACGAAAGACTTCATCTTGAGAGAAGAGGAATTCAGATTCTAATTTGTGAGTACAAGTGTAATTTCCCTAAGCCCTTAAATACTAATCACTGTTTAATAAACGTTTTCCTGGACAAACAAGGCAATCAAAGCTAAAGATTGAAAGTTTACTAGACCATATTCACTATCAAGTTGAGCGGTAACAAGTAAGCTAAAACTGTTATTACTTGTAAGTTCGGTACTCTTTCATCTGCTATGCATGAATGTATACATCTGGGGAATCTGTGTAAATTGTAGAAATTGCTGGCTATACTTGTTTGCTTAGCGCTTGAGACTTTGTGGATGAGTGTTCTTTGATCAGATGCGATTTCCGCAAGCAAGCAGAAATTCAGTGTAGAAGAGCAACACTTATGTATAAAGAAAGCTTATATTGAATTTAATCTTAAAATAGTTTAGTTTATCCTCGATCGGTGGCGACGTTCAACAAAAAAAAGTACTCGAGTTATAATTTTCAGACAGCGGTCCATGCGATCTTTATTCTTCCTTTATTTGAAATAACAATATCCTCTTTCTCGAAAGAACAGAGTTCATGAAGCGACGTAAAATCCAGGATACATGATACTCACTTCACAATTTATCATTTCACAACTATTTACCAGAGTGGAGGTGGCTGGTGGTGGATATTTACCAAGCTGCGAAGCGGTGAGGTCAATATCCGTCACTTGCCACCAACACTTTGGTGAATGGTTTTTTAAGTATAAACTAAAGCAATGAAATAATATAGCACAAAAAGCTGACTTCGCCTCACTGCAAAGACTTCAATATTATCGGACGCAAATGCCGAACGAGTTGCTCAGGGGTGAACAGCAAAGCATATTCAGAGTTTGTGTAGCCAATCAAAGCGCGCCTATCCAGTTTTTTTAAATATTAACTTAAAATATTTAACCAGCACTCGTACAGCGTATTGAAATGTTTTTGTTACCGGCATGCCGATATTTGTTAGCCTACGGAGCAAATATTCCAAGCAAATGTGAACGCACGTGGCGAGCTTTATTCAAGTGTATGTAATAGTCTTTCATTTATTTGCTTATCAAATGATGTTTGAGGCTTAAGACACTGATACATTTGAACCATCATAACCCTTTTTTCTTTTCTTCTCTTTTTTTTGCGATGAATGCATTTTATTAGACGAAAAAGTACCTGAAACTAAAGCTTTCCCAACTTTCTTTACTCGGTAACTTCCTGTGATAATAATTTTTATTCACCTGCTTTTATCTTTCATTTTGTCATGATTTCCTGGCAACAGTACTTCTACGATGTTACATTCCTTAAAAAACAATCATATTTCATACGGATTCCCTTAGAATATTGTAGCGATAAAAGATGGCCTCAACGGGGTTAACCTTCAGCCGTACAATGGCAAAAAAATTGGTAGGCGTAAAAAATGGATAAATTTTGAACTTAAGTCGTAAAAAAAGTTAAACGTAAAAAATTTCTTGTAAAAGTCATGGAAACAAACTAACTGTTAGCCATAAAATGACCAAAATTTTCATCCTTAGCCGTAAAAGCCATCGCCCCATTGGGACCCTCATTAAACAGTCAACAATTATTTTATTTCATTGTTAAGTTTCTTCCATCCACTTTATTCTTCTCACTAGGACCTTATTTAGAGTTCGGGTGAAGCATTTCTAGTAATATTGCTAACACGAGATTTGCAGGTTTACAAGAAATACGACGTTGACTCGCGATTTCGTCAAGGTATCATTCATTTTCTCGTTAAGCGTAAGTTTAAGTTAAAAATTTCAAAGATATTAATGCATGTCATTCTTATTGACATTACATAGATAGCATTATTATAATTTTGAAAAATGTACGGTGTTGTATACATTATGCGACTCAGACATGAAACATAAAGAAGAAAATACAGGACCAAAAAATGCAATATATTCATCTCCTGATGCAAGGAAAAGACACAGCTAAACGCTTTACGGCGGGCACCGTACTTGTTAACGACAGCCGATTTCCTTATTGCTACTTAATTCGCGGGTGAAAGAGTCGCAAAATTGAAGACACGTGAATGAAAATCCTCGCCAAATTTAAACAAACGCAATTCAGTAGCCTATTTAAAAAAGTTCATCCTCTGAGGGCAGGAGATCGATTACGAAAGGATGGAAGACGGCGGGCTCAGTGTAGTAATTGATGGCTCAAAAAAAAAATGACACCTGAAGATCCATCCGAAGATTTGTAATGATCAGATGATGTTTAGAAGCAAAGCCGCGAAGTACGCATTGAGACGATGCGTCTCAAAGTTGTAATTAATACACTTTTAAGTTAATTTCCAAACATCCATTCTATCTAGAAATTTTTAAAAGTTCTTTCATTCTTGAAAACTGAAATGAAGTTGGGAACGCTTGAATCACGAAACTTTATGCCCCTGTTTCTATTTGCTCATTAAAATCGCGGAAATTAAGTACCCGTGATAAGGTACACATAAACGAGGAAATACGCCCTCGTAAACAAGTTTTAAAGAATCCATCCATTATTTTCCTTCTTTCCTGAGAAAGACAGATATGCTTAAAAAAAAATTTGGGACACTTTTAGCTATGTGGAACTCTTAATTGTTTGATTCCGAAGGAGGGAACTTTTCCATATTGTACAGATGAACAAACTCAACTTAAAATAGATACCACCCCACAGAATTTCAACGAAAAAAAACCTCATTTTCATAATGTGAATTATATTCAACAAAGTTTGTTTGTCCCTCGCTCGAGATAGGCACTTGGTACTTAAATTTTTATTTATGGATTTCGGGTTGGCTTTCGTTCCTTTTATTGAAATTCGGCTTCCTTCAAAGTCATATGGAAAAGTTGTTTGATCAGGTTTAACACGAGGAACAAAGAGCAAACTTGCTAAGATTTGCCCCATCACCACTTGCAGCACATGGTGTTGCAATTGTGTAGCATTGTATTAGTGGTGACGCTCTTGCACATCAAAGAGGCAAAAGTTTGAGCCGTGAAAAATTCATAGTTGTTTTTTTCGAGATTTGATTTCTGTAATTTCTTAAATTACAGTTGGCATTGAAAAGTTTAATTTTCTCCTTATCATCCACAGGTGGATTTTGGTGCGTTTCATGCATCAGTTGGGAGGCCTAGTACAAAGAGGTTCTCAATGGGGTTTGCCGTCAGCTGTAAAATGGCAAAAATGTTCAACGATTAGGCGTTAAAGCAGACAAAATTAACCTTTAGTCGAAAAAAAAACTGTTAACCGCAAAAAAAATTTCTTATCTACGATCTGTAATTTTGAACGTGCCAAAATCTTAGACTGTTATATGCCTTGTCTTGTGGCTGATGCAGGAAAACAGACAATTACTCCATATCAGCTAAAAAGCAGCTCAGTCTGGAGTCACCCTCGATATTTCACTCTTATGGTAAAAGCGACCGAGTGACTGTCTTTTAGAGCACGGAAAATTAATCTTTAACTTTTCAAAACGATTGAACTAAATTTTTAAAATTTCTGTTAACTATAACAAAAAGAAAGTAAGCGTTAGCCGTTAAAGCCATCCCCCACTAGAACCCTCTATAATTGCCACTAAGTCAAGCCATTCTTAGCCTCACCAATGCTCGATAAACGGCAATCCATTTTGTTTTTAAATCATTACTTTCCTTATTTCGTGTTGTTCTTTTTTCGAAAATGCCTCATAGTTTTCTATTTCTAACATCGTCACGAGGAATATTCTGTGTTTTCATTAAAGAGGCGCAGGAGTTTGTTTTTCATTGCACCGTAATGAATGATACCTGATCAAAAAGGCGCCATCGTTTGTGAGAAGTAGATAATCTAACGCATGCGAACGTAACTAAAACGACTTACATCTGTCTATGAAAAGGAAAAGCATCGAATATTAACAAACGAGGAATGAGAAATGTAGTTATATATTTATTTTGCGCTGGTTTTCAAAATAATTTTTGTATTGATGTAAACCTCCTTTGTCTCAACCTGAGAATTAGATTGGCCCTGAGTAGACACAGGTTTTGGAATGACAAACTTCGACCAGAGTAGGACAATGAAGTTAAAAATGTTACACTCGTGACAAATAAGACTTCTATATTTTGAGCAGAAATTTTCAATAACGAAACGGCGAGTGCACGAGAATCTTAGTTATTTTGATTCATAGGAGGATATTTTTGAAAAATCGCTTTGAGACTATCATATCAATTTGTTATCAGTTTCATCGTTTTTCAAACCGGAAAGGACTTACATGGTTACCAACGAAACCCGACAATACCGTGTAAACTTTGTTGGTCATGGAGCTCCACGAGTCAGATTTTTATTGTATTGCGCGAAATCTTCAAAGAAAGATATATCTGAATAGAAAGAACAATAGTTAGCCAAATAGACAGGTAGATTGATAAAAATAAATAGATATATAAACAGCTAAAACAAGAATAAATGAAATTTAAATATAGTAAGAATGAGAAAAAAAAAATGAAAAAGTAAAATAATAGTATTCCGAGATTTGATTTGATTTCTAGACACCCGAAGTTGATCTCTGGCTTTGCTTATCCACCGATCGTTTCTTGCTATACCTCACGTCATATTCAAAGCAGTGGTGAATTTGAAAGGCTCTTGGCCCCCAATTCTTAAATTAAACAGCCGACTTCGTTCATTTGTTTCCAGTTTTGATAGCTTTTCATTGGCTTAAGGACGCGTGCATGACGCGCACGCTTCCTGAAATTGTTCTTGCCATGGCAGCCGACTGATGTTAGTGATGGATAAATAATGAAACTTTTCCCAATTATCAACTGCCATCTTAACACCTGGTTGTCGTGGTATTTTCCTATGATTTATGGGTCTTCAAGCTGACGGTAACGAGAGGCAGTGAATATGAGCACGTTTGCTCTATAGTGCCATTTCGTCGGCTGCTGGGCAAGAGAGAGTCTTCATGCTGTGTACCATAACGGCTGCTTATCTTGCGTCTGACGGTCACTATTCATTCTCAATGCTTGCCTAACAGTATGATCTCTCTGTGGTTGAGCCGTTAATCGGTCGATGAGTCAAAACAGGCAAAGATGAATCGCTAATGAAACGGTCGATTAACTGTACGAAACGAGCAGAGTGAAGTTCTTTTCCATTACAAAAAGAATGTCAGAAAAAAGATATCCACAGGCTCCGTTTTATTTATTCTATTTTTTTTCGGTGTCGGAAAGAGCTGAACATTACCCGGAATAAAGAATTATTTTTGTCAGCCAATACCATTTTTGGAGCCGAAGTCATCTAAGTCGGGTAAAGAATGTAATGTATTGTCAGCCCACGTTCCCTGCTGCCTCTTTGTTATGGTTTCATTCAACCAAAAGGACCTTTATGGAAAAGGGCAGGTGTATGACAGAGCACAAAAGAGGTCTGTCTTAAGTTCCTTTTCAGGGGACCTTAACTTGCCTCAGACACTACTTTGCAAAACACGAATGACGTTTTCCTTTAGTCCATGATTTCAGAGCTGTTTCAAAAGCGCAACTGATCAACCGCTAAACTAGAGTGACAGTGTGGTGACGGATCTCAGTGGAAATGCGAAAATATTATGATATTATTTCCGATGTCCACAAGTGCTTCAACCATCAGTTTTAGTACTATCAAAGCGAAATGATGTACGTTTTGATCAAATCCAATATTTTCATCTCTGAACTGTTTCACAGGGTTAAAATTGCACACCATACGGATGTCTTACTCACGGAAAATCAAAAACATTTATACGTAAATATTTAGTTTAACACCTCCATAAAAATTTCTAAACACCAATCTAGAAATGATCCCTTCTCTTTGCATGATAGATCGCTGATGGGTTCGCAGAATTTGCAGTAGCGAGAAAAAACGTTCTATGGGGCAGAAAAAAGAAAAAATGGAAAATTTACCATTCCCTTATGATTGAAACCGAGATCCCTTCAAAACTGGAATTTCTGATGGGTGCTACAACGCCAATGGTCATCTTTCACGTTATTCTCAAATGCAAAATACAAAATCGCTTTGTCATTAACATCCGATTAACGAAAGCATAAACCCTTTCTGATCCAATAACGTTAAGCATCCAGGCAGTTTCACTTTGACATGTGTTATTCGCCAAACTACAGACTAATTACATGCCGGTGTCTAATAAACTGATCTAAAATAACCATCTCTGTTTAAAACTGGCTCCCTGCTGGGAATTATATTGCGCAAGTGGACAGGGCACCCTTTGGCATTTTCTGTTCTTTTGTGCATTGAAAAATTACCTCGGGCGAGGTTTGACGAAATGCTGGCCAAGGAAGTCTCGTTCTTTAAAATTTGTCTTTCAATAATGATTTATTTATATCTAGAACTAAGTGCAAAGTTCCTTTATTCGAATACCATTATTCTTTAATTGGAGTTTATGCTAAGGTGATGTTTAAAATAACACCGGGTTGTTTGAGTTCAAGCGTTCTCCAAAGAGGCTTTCTTGGAGTTTGACTCAACGCAAATTTAAACTCGAATCCCTTATGTATTGCCCTTGTTTGAAGTATTTGTAAATAATCAGTCGGTTTACCGAGAGAGGGACATCACCAAGGCCCAGTTGCTTTCCACTGTTCTTAAATGAGGAACAAACAAACAATACGTGAATTAAACACCCTCTTTGCGCCTTTCTTTATTTCAATATTTAAACAATCATGCGATTTGTCATTGGTCGGTGGGCTAAGTCTGGCACGAGCAGCATACTGAACGTTATTATCAACTAGAGAGGGAAACAAGTTATGTTATCTCCCTATTCCACATTCGGAGCGAAAGGAGCATCTTGTTAAGAGACCACTGAGTGATCATCTCGTTTTAAATACCATCGTTACAAACATGGAGAAGGACTCCAGTTCTCGGTTGGCTAAATGTGGAAGCTTTTCCATTGCTGACATTCTAAACGTCAAAAGCCCGAGCGCATCGACTAATGATCTCTCATCTGAAGAGTCTTTGTCCAGAGAAGACCCTAGGACACCAACAAAATTCAACAAGGAGCTTTCAAAGCCAACGAAGAAATCAGACGACAAAGTGCTCTCCCTTGAAGGTAAGGGCCAACTGAACCAAGAGGAACAACTACTTCAGATCAAGAATTTTGAGGATACGATACAACATGAAGATAAATAATTATGTATTTCATCCTTTGTTGATTTATAAACATTGAACCTTTTATAGGAACCTTCACGCTTTTGAATCTTCATGGACCCATGACGTTTGATAATCATCCTTTATTAAGAGGTCTCCATTCACTTCGTCTTCTTCATTATAACCGAAAAATTCATAGCGGTGTTACTGCGCTTTCCACTTAAGTCAGTATTCTACTTCAAATTTCCGAACCATTATCTATGGCTACCAAAATAAAGCGGTGGGAAACTTATTTCTTTTAAAAAGAACAGTTTTGTTGCGCACAGCACGCAGAGAGACGCTATCCGTAGAATGACACCACGTGTAGTTTCCTAACGGTGTCAAATAGGATGAATCAAGTCATGGTTCCCTCCCGAGCGAAACATAAAAGCAACTTTGAACCCTTTAAAGAATGTTTACTTGAAGTTAATCGCAAATGAATGAGCTGTTATCTTGTTTATTCCAAATATTATGTTAACCGGAGAACCGTATATTAATTGAGTCTAACAGAGGACTCACTGAATCTAAACAGTAGTCTCTAGCAAGAATTTCCAACAACCCTTTTTCTAAAAAACTTGTCGATTCAAATATAGAGAAGTAATGAATATAATAGACAGGTTTGAGTGGGCATACTAGGGGGTTTACATTCAAATTTCCATTTAGTAAGAAAGGGAGTTGGCAGGAAGCTTTTAATTATTGTGAAGAACCTAACTGCAAGTTTACAGATACTTATGCTTTTTATTTCATATTATCTTCGAAGGCGCACGTCAAAACCAAGGGCAACCTAGTGTAGAAACAAAGAAGAGGCCACGCACTGCCTTCACCACTGATCAGATAAAAGTCCTTGAGAGCGAGTTCCAGAAAGGCAAGTACCTCAGCGTTGCGCGCAGAATGGAGCTTTCAAAGCTGTTGGAACTCTCAGAAACACAGATCAAAATATGGTTTCAAAATCGCCGTACTAAATGGAAGCGGAAGCTTGCCGCTGAGATGGATTACGCCATTGCTGCCCAGGGATACCTGTACCCTTCACACCCGGCGTGCCACGGGCCGAAATGCCACTTTGAAAGTAGTTTAACGCATTCCAGCCGCATGCAGCCATCATTCCTTTCAGTTTTCCATCCACCTATATTCACGAATTCATTGAAACAGTCAACAAGGGGCTATCCGCTTTCAAATTTCAGCTCAGCCTCACTTTAGGGACAGCTAAAACCTTCATAGCCTCATTTGCATAATATTCAAGGCTGTGTCGATATTTTACAAACTCTCCTTAGCATTTCGTTTTAAAGCTGGTGTTTAAGATAAATGATAACGTTCTGTACCTGCTGTAGAAATGCCAGATTATCAAAAACTTTGACAATAATACATTTTAAATTGGTATTAACTTCAGTTTCTCCAGGTGACGATTTCGGTCCAGGAGTATATATCACGTGCCAGCTTCTTTCAGTGGAATATCTTTACAAACAACAATCAAATTGAAACAAGAAAAAGTGTTTTCAACAGGAAATCACGAAAACTGTAGATAAAGGTAAAGCGTTCGCATATTGCATAAAAGATAAGGAACAGTTTGTAATCAAAGGGTCCTTTGTAATAACGGTGTCGTAAACTATTCAAGGAAACCGTATAACTGCCATTTTAAACTTTTCCACCGAATGTGATTTAGTTTATATTGTTCACATTCGCTTTATCCTACGATAAAGTAAACTAACGAACATTTACAAGAGCATGTTAAATTTACAGATAGTTATTAAACACGCATGGGATAAGTTAATTGAGCTTCAATGATTAGTGTGTGAGCTCGTTTTCGTTTTGTTAGATTTCATAATTAAAGCTTAACACAAGCCGACGATTTTTTAATTAAAAATGGGCAAAATAATTGCAGCTCATGGCAAACACACTTCAAATATTGAATTATCTCTCCCTTATGATCGCCGAATTATGAAAAAGCAAGTATGCGTGAAATTATCGGCGACAAATTAAATTGGGCTGTTTATAGGATCCCTTTCTTTGTTATGACAAAACATCGGTCCAACAAAGACGGCAATTCCAATTAAGCGCTGGGTAGAGCAGTGTTGTTTTAGATTCGGTTAAACGGCAACGAAAGAAATCGGGAAGGACAGTTTTTAGCTCTCAGGTTGTTTGTGCACCATCGAAAAAGTGCGTCTTTGCCAGGGACTATAAGGGCAACAATCTGATAATTCCAATTAATTGACTAAATAAGGAAGCTATCAAGAGCAATAAGCCACATTCGGAGAACCTGCGAGGTCTCTCTGAAATACAATAACGAATACAAATGTCCAACGATTAAATCTTTTTCCACATCATCGCCCTCTCACCAAGATTAGATCAATCTCTATACCAAAAGTAATATGTTTTCGGCAGTGAACTTTGATGTTCCGCAGGCTTGTTAAGTTTTGAAAAGCAAATAATTTCACCCATGCTGAATGGTTAACAGTGTGTGGTGCAATTAGAGGCGCTGAAAATTTGTCTTCAAAGGTTTCATTTATTAAGTGCTTCCTTTAAAAGCTGTTAAGAGATCACAAAATGAGTCACGGCTAAAAGTAAAAACATCCGTTGGGTTTAATTGCAACAAGATGTCGATAATCTGTAGGCAGACTTCAAAGTGTCGCTGTTAGGCTTGCAGGCGATTCACAAACCACTTTTGGACCTATTTAAAATCCACTTATTTCACTCGACAGTTGAGTGTCAGGTGAATAATTATTAAAAACTGCGAAAATTTAGACTCATTTAACGGAACCAAACAGGGCCACTGAACTTGATTCTCCTTTGCCAGGGACTTCGTGGATTAACACCTACTTTAAAACATCACGACAATGCCTGTGAGAATAAATAGCATATTCTAAAAGTTTGAATGGACATACACTGTACGATTACCGAGTTCTCACGGATGGTTGGTTTCAAGCAAATCACGCATCACGACAGGTGAGTTTCACATGCAAAGTCACAGAAATCAGTTCAAGCAGCATTCTGACATAAGATATGTCATGGATTCGTCCATTACAATAATCTTTTTTATGGTTTTGGGGATGAAAAGGAGTCTTTCTCTTACGGTTGGTTCATTTCTTTTAGAGATCAGTGATGAATTAGTGATGATTCGGCTTCGCGGCGGCTCTTTAATTTTTTTCCTTCTTCAACTTAAACCACTCTTCCTAAACAAGGGGGTCTTCTTCAGTGGAGGAGTTAGTGCAGGTTAGCCAATTTAGAATTTCCGGCCAGTGAAAGCCACACAAATTCAACTGCTGCCCCTAGGTAAAAAGAGCACCGCCCAGCCACAAATACAGATGATGGCTAAAAAAAAGCACGTTTCATAGAAAATGTGCACATTAACTCCCACCCTCTGTCCCCATGGCTACGGTTGCGATGGTTAATTCCAATTGCACGAGTTTAAGCCAATGGTGAGTGATCATCGGGGTGGGAGTGCCACGTGTTCAATTTAGAAAGGAATAGTCAATTGGCTGCAGACTGATGCTCACAAGGGAATTTATCTGAAAATTGTTTACAATATGGTCAGAAAACTGGTGTTTCCAAATTCGGTGCCGGGCGCAAGCGTGTCGTATGCTATCCTCGTGCACAATCTTGAGGTGTGTAGGTAAAGACATTGAAGCGTGGGAAAGGTAATTTTTTTTTACTCAAAATTCGAATGGTTCATATCTGTACGTTCGACGAGAAATGAAGCACGTGGGAAGTTTTGTTTAAATAGTGCCACAAACAATGCCATCGATCAAATAATGAACTCGAATTGACTTTGGATTGGCTTTCAACTTGAAAATCGTTTCTGGAACCTGCGAGACACACAGCAGGAATAGGATGAATATCTCACAAGCCTCGTTTTTTCGTTACTAACATTGAATTTTGATTTGTTTTATGGCCCAGGCTGTTCACGCCTTGAACCAGGAATTGAAAGGGGAAAAACTCGGTCAAAAACGCATGGTACAAACGGCAATCCGTCGATTATTAAAAGGTATCGACTCGCTGATTTGGTGTTTATTCGAGTACAGTTGTCATTAGGAAAGGTACTCATGCAAAATTTGTCATTTCGTTTTCCTTACAGAGAGTATGACATTTTGAGATCTTTGACAGTAACAAATCGATAGTAAGGTTAAAAATCTTTAATAAATAAACTCAAGAAAAGACGCCCATGTATTTGTTTAAAATGTTTATATTCCTCCCTTATTCATTATAATGTAAGATTTGACGTGGTTCTGAAACTAGATGGCTCCAAATGATCACCGCACCTCGGTTATGGAGCCTATCAGCTTATCGACGGCTACACTCTTTCCAGGATGCAGTCGAGTTGGTTGGCAATCTGGACTACTGCAGTCGTTTACTTGCAAACCTTCAGTTAAAGCTTGTCACTCGAGATGAAATTTGTATTAAAGGTGACTTATCTCTGTCGATGCATATAAATATATATATATATGAATATATGATATATACATACTAAGCGCATCATTTTTTAACTTTTCTGCCAAAAGAGGAAAAACAAGGAAATCAGCTTTTCTTTTGAATGGCCCTGAGGAAGTTGATTGTCTGAATTTTAGCACCTTGTGTCTGTAGTTTATGTACCAAATTTAGGAATAACAATCAGCATGAGTTTCTAAAACTAATGCGTAGGCTACAAAGACAAAAAAAAACGGAAGTAACTAAAGGATATAGGAATAGAAAGCTGAAAAAGCTGGGCAGCTGTTGACTAATGTTTTTGTCTAAAATTCTCTTTTCCGTCTTTATAAATTTCCGTTTCTTTTTGTTTCATTTCCATTTATCAGATTATTGTAATGATAAATTATTTTAATGTTGAGACTTTTTTGAAGCTAGGGAGATGTTTGTGCTTTGAGGCCATAAAAAACATGATTCTGTTCTATTGTCTCAGGGCTAATGATGGCTTCAGTCTGCTCCCAATTATTCGAACAACTGGCAACAATAACTCAAGTTTCACGTTAGCTCAAGTCTTTTTCTCTCAGGCCATTTTCTATATTTTCTATCGACTTTTATCGCGGAAAACACAAACGGAGGCCTTTAAGAGAATCTCAAAGAGGTAATGATTCTTATGGCTAACAGATACGGTTTTGGTCAATTTACGGCTAATTGTTATTTAGAGTCCGTTGCGATTAGAAGACACATTTTCACAACTAACTTTTATTACGACTACATATTTTTCAGTTCTCGTGCTTTTCTTTTTTACAGCTTACGGTTAAACCCATTAAGGTGTAACCACGGATAAAAAATAGGAATTACAGATCCAGAGTTCCCAATAACAACTTTGGATCTTTACTAATAACTTTGAATCGATTGTTATAGGTTTGGATCCGAAATAGGTTCCAATATCCACTTTTTTCTTTCATTTATGGGAGGCACTTACAGGCCACCGAGCGAATCAGGTTTGTCTGTGAGTAGCAAATCAAAACGAACAACATTGAACAGCACTCTTTTTTCCTTCATATTTCTTTTTAATATTGTTCTATTTTCTTACATTACGCACATGCACCAGTTTAGTTCAGCGCGTGATACAATTAACACTACAATATTGCTTTACTCTTTCCACCGTACAGGTGTTCCATTTCACCCAACAATATTAGTATCAAGTTTAACTAAAAGGAACACTTTGTTCTTGGTTCCAGTCTTTTTAATTTCCGAGATAACTCGAATGTTAATCAGTTTTCTGTAAAGATTTGAGTTACATTGAGACCACTGCGTAAAGCAATTTTCAAAGGAGTATCGAAAGTAATTCGTCTTGCATTGTTTTTACTTTACTTTGTTCCGTGATTGGTCCAGAAAACCCGCGCCGCTTGCTAACCAAACACAGTACTGTCAGTTCAAAACTTAAATCTTATGGTGATTTGTGGTCACTCGCTCGAGGCTAGACAGTTTCCCTGTTTTTATTTTGAGTTCTGATTGGCTCAATGTGACGCTTTCATTTGGTCTTATTGACTGTTGTAATTATTGTTACTTAGGTTTAGCGAGACTCAATCAAAAAACGGTTTAATGAGATTCCATTGGATTTTTGCTCAACGTTGACACGCGCCCCAGCGTATTGTTTTTCTAGAAAATTTTTACGTGTTCGCTTTTCTATGTCATTAAAAGCTATCAAAAGGCGACGAGAAAGGCTCGGACTATAGTTTACTGTTGTATATATTAAAGAAAATATCTTTGTTATTAAGCTAAGGCCCCACGAAGGGAGG